GCGTTGTTCATATAATGCATATAATCCGAATAGATATAATATACTTACATTTATGACTAGTTCAGCACATAGCATTAACCCGAAATAACCCGAATAAATCTTCTGATTTTGAACTGTTCATTATTTCTGGTATTAAGATATACATATATAATCATATATGATAATTTCGGATTATAGTGATCACAAATTTCCAGAATATTTTTGGAGTATTGCAAATAAGATTTCATGTTGAATGGAATTTTTTACCGGGATTTCTTAAAATTGCCAATTTTATCAGTTATACAATAAAAATTTTAATTTTCCTAATATAGGGATTAATTAAAATAATTTTTTATCCCTAAATTTTTATGGAACAAAAGGAACTTAATCCATGTAATACGTCTAATGCACCAGAAGAGCCTACTTGGTCTACTTCAAAACAATACACAGAACCAAAATTATTACATTCTCCAGATATGTCTGAAATCATGTCTAATGACTGGAATTTCATCATGGAAAATAAACCTGAAATTTCTCTGGAAATTAATACAAAGTTGGCTATTTCCAGCATAGAAAGCATCTTTAAAAATGAACAAGTCGCAGCTTTAATGGATAAATATCAAATTATTCGAATACTTCATAATGCTTTGTTTCAAGGTCTAACTATAAACTTACACACAAGAAAGCCAATAGATTATGTTTTATTAGATGATATTTATAGTATGATCAATATTTTTACTGAAACATGCCTTCTTGAATATTTATATTCCCAGCCTGATTATATTTGTACACAGAGTGTACTAAATAATAAAAATAAACGGATGGAGATAATTAAAAATATCGTAAAAGGAGAAAACCTATCTCTCTTTTTAGAATCAACCAGTAGATCCTTTAAAAAATGGTTTTCTGTTATAGCAAATTCCCAAACAGGGTGTACACTTGGCTATTTCAGACACTCTGCGTGTATAATGAATGAGCAATTATTTACTACTTCATACGTATCTATAATAATAGAACCAACACTAAACGCATTTAGACGAGGTTTAGAAGCCGATAGATATACACACAATAAAATAGATTTATTCAGCATGGGAGAGGATGGAATATATCACATAGACAAAGCAATAGATCTATTTATTGATAATAGATGGTTGTTGCATGTTTATTATAAGACTCCTGAGATACAGGAAACTTTTAAGCTTTCAGAATATGAGAAGCAAATACTTTTACAGCTTTATATGGATTTATCTCTTGTATCAGATGTTATATCAGAGGTACATAACTTACTTGAAGATGACCAGGAATATACTGATTTATTATGCAATACAACTGTTTCAAATAAACTCAGTAGAAAAACTAGTTTTAAGCAAAAAAAGAAACTTATTGATTCTTCCCTTAAGAAATTCATAGATAGTTCAGATAAATCAGATTCTATTAAAAATTATGTCATAGGCCGAGTTGGGCAGTATAAATCTCTTATAGAAGAAAAAGACAAACTTACAGCAAAAAAACAAAAGAGAAACAAATTTAATAAAAATAATATTTTAGCTGCATTAAGTACAGCAATGGGAGTCTTTGCTTTTTTGTATAAAGTAAAAACTAGAAATTAAACTTAATAAACTTAATTCATTTTGATAGTTCTCCTTTCCATCCTATTCTTTCTCTTCTTCTTCTTTTCTTCTTTATATTTACTGTACTATATCTTTCTTTATTCTTTATTCTTTATTTTTTTATAATGTGTACATTTATATTTTATTTCATTTATATTTTCATTATGGAAGGTTTATAAATCAAATAACTATAATATTATATTAAGAATATTAGTATATTTAGGGATAGGTCGAGTTATATCATATAATGAAGTATACAGAATATGTAAGTGATTTACAGCCATTTATGTAAAGCCATTTGGTATTATAGTATACAACAGTATAAATGTATTATAAGATAATAAAAATTCAAATTCGTCTATATTTTATACAAGAACAAACAAATTATAGGTAAATATAGTAATTACAACAGGAATATTCTATGATTTATACTATATTATACGTAATATACGACTTACAACAGTATAAAGGATTATTCCGTTGAAAACAACCCGAAATAACCCGAAAATATTTTATTTTACTGTACGAGGAATGAAAGAGAAACAGAGAGTAAGAAAATTTTTTATGTCATTAATACATTCAGTCATAAATGCACCGAAAAAAATATCGGAGTGGATTGGGCTGGGCGTACGTGCACCAATTTACATGGATTTTCAGGCAACAACACCAACTGACCCACGGGTAGTGGATGCAATGCTTCCGTACTTTAAAGAGAGATTTGGGAATTCACACAGCAGAACACATTCTTATGGATGGAATGCAGAGAAGGCAGTGGAAAGTGCTCGGAGTAAGATAGCTTCATTAGTGCATGCAGATCCAAAGGAGATAATTTTTACAAGTGGTGCAACAGAAAGCAATAATATAGCAATAAAAGGAATTGCGCGGTTTCTTAAGCAGGATATGAATGAAAAGCCACATATAATAACAACCCAGATAGAGCATAAAAGTGTTCTAGATACGTGCAGAGATTTAGAAGAGGAAGGGTTTGATGTGACTTATCTTCCTGTGAATAAGCACGGCTTGGTGAGTGTGGATGACTTAAAAAAGGCAATTACACCGCAAACAGTTCTTGCAAGTATTATGGCAGTAAATAATGAAATAGGTACAATAGCCCCGTTGAAGGAGATAGGTCAAGTGTGCAAGGAGAACAACGTATTCTTCCACACAGATGCAGCACAGGCAGTTGGTAAGATACCAATAAATGTTAAGGATATGAACATATCACTGATGAGTATATCTGGGCATAAGATATACGGGCCAATGGGAATAGGTGCACTGTACGTTACAAGGGACAGGCCCAGACCACGTATACAGCCAATATTCAGTGGGGGTGGACAGGAAAGAGGAATGCGTAGTGGAACTCTCCCAACGCCATTAATTGTAGGGCTAGGAAAGGCTTGTGAAATAGCTGAAAAAGAAATGGAGAAGGACACCAAGAAAATTCAAACACTCTCGAATCAGTTGCTACAGGGAATAATGAAGGAAATACCAGATATAAAGAGGAACGGGGGTGTACACGTATACCCTGGGTGTGTAAACATTTCATTCCCGTATGTAGAGGGAGAGTCACTGATTATGGCCCTCCCCAGTCTAGCAATAAGCAGTGGAAGTGCATGTACATCTGCATCTCTTGAACCATCATATGTTCTCAAATCGCTTGGTGTGAATGACGACTTAGCGCACTCTTCACTGAGATTTGGAATCGGCCGGTTTACTACCAAGTCAGATATTAAGAAGGTTATAAAAGAGGTTGTGCAGAAAGTGAAGAAGCTTAGAGAACTTTCTCCTCTTTTTGAAATGGCCCAGGAGGGAATTGATCTGAGCACAATCAACTGGAATGCGCATTAAATAAATCACTGGAAGTGCCAGCTGGGAATAATTCAAAGTTCAATAAATTCATATTTTAACGGATTTTAAATTCAGAAACAATTAAAATAATTAATAACGGAAACAAATCAGTTTTATTTTCCTAATTAAGCAACAGAATATAGCCCGAAACAATTCAAACTTTCAATTTACACCACAAAATTTCGGGTTGTCACTAATATTATACTTAAACCTTCTTATGTATACATAACAGGCTTAAAAAGCAGACTTTTATCATAGAAATCAGAAGATTTCCTAACAGTTTCTATTAAACTTGTTATTACAATAACTCGCACGCCCAAAGCATTAAGCACTTTTAATAAGAAGAATACTTCACTCCTTCTCTCCTCTGCCTTTTCGGCAATTAAAAGAGTAATTAGTGTGTCTATTCCCAATAATTGTGTCTTGGTTATACTGTGCGTATTTATAATGTCTTCAAGGACTGTGATTAGTACACGAATATTAGTGGCAGTGTGTATTTTAGTCCCAGGTATAACAGGAATGGATCCTTTTGTAAGAATAAGCTGGGGGCATAAATGATGGTTAGCACGCAAAAGGCCGTAAAGAAACAAAGTCTTCCCCACCTGTCTTCCTCCAAGTATTTCAATATTTACAGGATCTAGTAATAAGCAGGAAATACAGTTGTACATCTCTATTCTGTCGTATAAAATTGAATTAACATCTATAGCAGTAGAATCCTGTACAGATATGCCATCAAGCATTAAATCATCTGATATTTCTTCTTGTGAGAGTACTTCCTTAATAATTCTCTTTTCTAAGAGGGCTGAGTCTGTGGAATAATTGGAATTTCTCTTAATTGGGATTAATTTACAGTTTCTCAGCACATTCGCAGAGGAAGATTTAATAATATTTCGCATATTTAAGAGCAAAAAGTTTTTTAATAAATGGAATTTTCATTGTACAAGCGAAGGTCTGTGTGGTCACACACTTATGTGATTCCAACGTATTTCTATCCAGTGGCGTTCTGGGCAGGGACACAATTTACGTTTGGAGAAGCAGGCACAAATGGGTGTGCAATTTGTGTGTTTTTATTGGCTTTAATCCAAGGATTCTTATTTCTTTCCTCATTCTGGGGGAGTAAAGTGTACGAGATTTCAAAGTTAATGAAAGTTGCAAATGCAGAAGATGCTGAGATGATCAAAATATCAAAAAAACAAGTGATGAACAGCAAGTCAAAGGTCGGATTTGCACCAGTACTTTCAAAGGTTGTGGTGATTAAGGACAAGAAAGAGAGAGTTAAGTGGTTTGAGTTTGATAATGATGTTTTCTACTTTAATGGGAGTGCGATTAAGAAGTTAGAGATAAAAACAGACTTCTCTCTTGAGAGGTACTTGGCCAAAAAAGTTGGTGTATCAGACATGCTTACGGAGACAGAGAGAATTATCTGCCCAAAGAATGAGTTTAAGATTGAACCGCCCACATTCATAAGGATGTTTGCAGAGCATGCGGTGAGCCCATTCTTTGTGTTTCAGATATTCTGTGCACTTCTTTGGATGCTTGATGAGTACTGGAAATATTCTCTCTTTACGTTCTTTACAATAATTGCATTTGAAGGGGGAATGGTCTTCCAGAGACACACAAACATTAAACAGCTTAGAAGTTTGAATCTTAAGCCACAGAAAATACTGCGGGTAGCTAATGAGAAGAAGGAGGAAGTTCTTAGCTCGGATTTAGTGCCTGGTGACAGGGTTATCATAGAGGGAGCCATACAGCTGCCAGCAGATGTCCTAATTATAAAGGGGTCTGCAGTGGTGAATGAGTCTATGCTTTCTGGCGAGGCCACTCCAGTGCACAAAGAGGCCATTCTTAAGGAGGATATAAATCTTTCCCTATCCCACCACAAGAAGAACATTCTTTATGGGGGAACAAAAATACTGAAAGTAGATGAAAAGGGCATTGAGTGCATTGTGATTAGAACTGGGTTTATGTCAGAGCAGGGAGAGCTAATTAAATCCATGATAGCATCAGAAGACACAGTAAGTGAGAACAACTATGAAGCGTACTTGTTTATTCTGGCTATGCTGGTATTTGCAGTGATTTCTTGTGTATATGTAGTGCGTGAGAGTCTATCCATGGGGAAGACATTGTACAAAATTGTTCTGGAGTGCATTATGATATTGACAAATGTAGTTCCTCCTGAGCTTCCCATGGAGCTTACAATTGCGGTGAACTCATCTCTGCAGGAGCTAGTGGGCCTGGGTGTTTACTGCCTAGAGCCATTTAGAATTCCCTTTGCAGGGAGAATAACCGTCTGCTGCTTTGATAAGACAGGAACACTGACCGAGCTGAACCTTCAGCTGGAGAAAGTGGAGGCAAGTAACAAGGCTATGGCACACACAATTATTGGAACGTGCCACTCCCTGGTGCTTTTGAATGGAAAGGTTGAGGGTGATCCACTGGATACGTGTGGTTTTGAGTATGTAAAGGGCTCTCTTCTCACAGACACTCAGATATCCATTGATAGCAAAGAGTACACGGTGATTAAGAAGTTCTCATTTGACAGTGCTCTTAAAAGGGCAACCTCCATCATACAGGCAGATGGATCTTTCTTTACTGTTATGAAAGGTGCCCCAGAGACTGTGCAAGAGTTCTTAGAGAAGGTTCCAGAGAACTACAGTAGGTTTGAAGAGTTCGCAGAAAAGGGGTACAGAGTGATTTCTCTGGCAACAAAAAGACTCGGCACGCTTTCTAAGCAGCGGCTAAGTACACTCGATAGGAGTGAAATAGAAAGCGGCATGGAGTTCATCGGATTTGCATTCTACAACTCAAAGCTAAAGGACAATGCAAAGGAGACCATTTCACACTTAAAGGAGAGTGGGCATAAGATAATTATGATAACAGGAGACAACGAGAAAACAGCAATCAGTGTAGCAAAGCAAGTAGGGTTATACAATGAGAAGTACCTCAGTGGAAGCACCCAGATTGAAAAGTTCTTGGATGAAGTATCTCTGCTCCCAGAAAAAGAGAAGAAATCAGTTGTATGGCCTTCAGTGTTGGCCCGTGCCGACCCCGACTCAAAGGAAAAGGCAATTTCTCTTCTGAATGCGATAGGAGAGTATACGCTCATGTGCGGTGATGGAACAAATGATGTCGGTGCACTGAAAACAGCACACGCAGGTATTGCACTCCTAGAGAAAACAAAAGGGAAAGGAAAGGCAGTTGCCCTCCCAGGAAATATCGGGCAGTCCATGTTCATACTGGACGAAGAGGTTAAAGTAAAACTAGGAGATGCAAGTATCGCAGCCCCATTCACTTCCCGTACAGGATCTCTCCAGTCAGTCATTGATGTAATCTCTAGGGGCCGCTCTGCACTGGTAAGCACTGTACAGATGTACAAAGTCCTTGCTTTAAACTGTCTTCTATCTGCGTACACTCTCAGTGTATTCGATACAATGGGAATAAAGTATGGCGATTTCCAGATGACTGCAGCAGGAATACTCTCTGCAGTATCTTTCACATTCTTTGGTAAGGCACAGCCCCTGCCAAGAATCAGCAAGGAGAAGCCCGTTGCTAAAATATTCAGCAAGTACATCGTAATATCAGTTATACTGCAGACACTTGTACATATTCTATCGTTCTATTACATATACCTTGGTGTGATAGAGTATGGATCTATTGTTATGCAGGAGAAGTTCACTCCAACACTTGCTAATACTGCCATGTTCCTTCTGGGCTCTGCCCTGCAAGTGACTACTTTAGTGGTAAATTATGTTGGTAGGCCATTTAGGGAGAGTCTTACAGAAAACAAAAAGCTTTTGAATTCTTTACTTCTCTCCCTGGGGATGGTTGTTCTGTGCACGTTAGAAGCCATCCCAGAGATAAACAAAGAAATGCAGTTTGTAGAAATACCAGCAAAAATGAAAATGAAACTGCTTGCCACAATCGGTGCAAACTTTATTCTGTGCCAGGGCATAGAGAAGGTTTCATTTGAGCTGTTCATGCGCCGGCCTGCATCTGAGCAGATTTATGATAAAAATAAGTAGGACTTATTACACATTGTATTTATTTTATACGCGGATGTTCAGGATTAACTGGGCAGTGTGTAATTAATTTTATACAATAATAAGATAAATAAATCATTAAGCCCGAATATTCCAGTATGATTAAATATATTGCATGCATGCGTGTTTATGCGCATAAAGGATCTTTTGTTTATGTCCTATCACTCAGTATCCCCCATAAATATTCAAAATTTACTCAGAATATCAAAATATTTTACACAGTGTGCTAATAATTCTGGTGAAATATTTAAATTTTATACACACTGTATAATAATTCATGGCATGGGACAGATTCATAAAGAAAGAAGTAATCGGTAAAGAATCAGAGGATTTACCAAGTATTGAGTCAGAATACTTATCCAGCGTAGTAACAGAAGGAAATAACGACTATTTCATAATAAACCAGAAAAGGCACCTGCTCCCAATCCGGAATATCGTAAGAGTAACAAAAGCCCAGGATAATTCAGAGGAGTACTTAATAAACAACAAAGTAACAGGAATAATCCTTAAACCCACAGGAAGAATAAGAAAGTTCTTCAAAATCCCTGCTGTACGCCCTGAGTCAGTGACGTATTTCAGTGACGGATTAGTTGCAGGAATATCACACAGCAGGGAAGAAGTAATTTCATTCACTGTGGGGGGACCAAATTCAGATTCAGAATTCTCAATAACCAACTTAACCGTATCCATACGGCTAGATAACTGTCTTAATATTACAGTGATAAACCGTGAATTATATGTAAATTACAGTGAAGGTACTTGTGTTTTAGTCCCTGTTGAATCATACTAAGTAAAATATAATAACAATAGTATATAAAGTATTAATCATAGAAGTAATAATATATTGTACACAGTGTGTAATAATTACTATTTATTAGTATATGTGTATTAAGTAATATTGAATAAAAGTAGATAATTAATTACACTTTGTGCATTATATATTATATTGTATACAATGTATAATAAATAATAAGGTGTTTATTGCTAAGATATATCTGTTAAAGAAGTATCTACTCTCTTATTTTCTTTGTACTGAATTAATAGATCTTCAAGCAAAATCCCAAGTATGTTTCTGTTATTAATCGTATTTCTAATGCTTTTCTGAAGAACTGCATACTTTGGCACTATTTTATGTTCTTTTAATTTACTGGTTGTGACATTGCAAAACTTTTTACTGATCACAGCATTGGTTTTGTCAAGGAATATTGTTATGTTTTCTATGTAATTGGCGTTATTAGAAGTAGTCCACATTAAATAGTCGTGTGGTGTGGATAGAACAACGCTTTTTGTTATATAATCATTGAATTCTGGTATGTTATACTTTTTTACAGAATTACTCAGCGGTAAATTGAAATGTACTATGAAATACCCCATGTACTTAGGTGTAACAGTATAAAACTCTAATACTTCATTGTTTTCAATAATTCCCATTCTAGGGGCATAACTATTTGTTATTTCAGAATAAATATTTTCTATTTTCTGGCTGTGTAAGTCAATAAACAATGAATCTGTGAGTATATTTGAGGACAAATCATCTGACTCTATTTTAATAATATGCGGCAAGACCTTATACATATTATATATATTATACATCTTGATTTTTTTTATACCGTAGAATAATTCATTTTCAGTATAATTAGCTAATACTTCTACATATAAACTGTTTAAAAACAGAGGAATAGGAATAATGTGATCATTCTTATTATTATACGATTTATGTGTAAATACACAGAATAATAGATTAATATCCAAATATTTTTTATATAAATCAGTATTTATAAAATAAAATACAGAAATATTTTGATTGTTACTAGCTACATCTAATGGTACAATTATATCCTCATCTTTATCAGAGAATGACCAAGTACAATTAGACTGATCATAAATTAGCCTATAAATATGGCCTATGTATATGTTGTATAGCTTAGAAATATGCCATTTAATCTGTTTTACACTATTAAAGCTTTTATCTACAGGTATAAAAACAGGTTTTAGCACTTGTTCGTCATTATCAACAAAATAGATCTGTAAAAACTCAGTGGAATTGCGCCCAGTAAGTTCTATTGTTGTATTAATTTTTTCATATTCCTGTGGTACAAAACTATTAATTGTTTTTGGAATTGTGCATTTAATTAACCCTTCTTTTACAATTACATTCTTCCCTAATACTTTAACATACTCCCTTTCTTTCTTAATAATACACTTACAATTCTTATAAAATTCACATAAAATACCATATAAGCAATTAAATACATCAATTTCTAATGAAAAAACACGCTTGCCCCCGGGGTTAAGTATATAATCAGAAATATTAAGTGATGTAGCAATTGTTTTTATGCAAGCATCTATCTTTTCTGCTTCTAAAATATCTTCTTCTTCGTTTTCAAAATTCTTCACTTGATTTGATATTCCTTTAATAAGATTATATAATTGAACAATAATTGTTTTTATGGTTTTGTTTGTTATGGAAATATTCCTTACATTTTTTACATTTGAGATAATTTGAATGTTTGTTATTTTCTCATCTGATAGTTTCTGGCTCTTGAATATCTCTTCTATATCACTAATTGTGAATACATTGTTAAAATCATAAACTACTTCAGTCATACTTAAAATTGATAATATTGCCATATAAACTGATGAGCTCATATACTTATTATGATGCATAGACATATAGATATTAGATAGCTTTATGTGCTCATTATAAAAAATACGTGTTCTTACGATAGATTCTCCCATTGTAATACCATTGCACTCTTTACATAAATTATAGCACGGTTCATGGATATGTAGAACATATTTTATTCTTTTGAATATATTTAATATGTCGTCTAAATCATCATCTGAATATACATTAGTAAATTTAATAGATAATACCTCATCAATAAGGCTTTCAATGGATTTTTTATACATATTAATTGAGTTTTTAAGGAATTCTAGACAATTTTTTATAAATTCACTTTTCATTATATTTTTAAAATATAAATTGAACTCTTGTCTTAATTCACTCTCATTGGTTCTTGTAGTATTCTGGTCTTTATCGATAAGTGTTTTCAGCCTGTACTGTTTTAAATTAATAAATTCTTGGTGTTTCTTGATTATATTTGTTATCCACCATTCCTTATCAAACTTACACGGGATTGTATATATTCTCTCAGCAGATTTTATGTACTCTGCCCTGTCCGTGAATATATTATTATATATAGTACTAATATCATCACGTGTTGAGCTACTTGATCTGTGCATGTTAGGCATACTTGTTTCATTATTATTGGATAGTTCTGTTATTTGAAAATTATCATAATTTTCTTCATATATTAATTTGTGGTCAAATTGATTTCTATTTCTGGATCCACGGCCTGTAAACACGCTCCAATTGCCTAAATTACTGTAGAACTTGTCCAGTTTTTCTTCTTCTTCCGTTTCTTTTTCATTAAACGCACTCCTCCACTTTTTATATCTTTTTTTTTCTTTATATTTCTTTCTATCTATATTTAAATCTATTATTCCGTATGCATCTGCAACTAAAAATCCAATAATTAGTGATACTGTAAAAGTAATAACAAGAACTATATTTCTTCGACATATTCTTCTGTTGCCGCCCTCCATTAAATATAAATATTTTAGATTTTTAAATTTTTAAATTAAAAATTATTAACTGTCCAATTAAAAATAAATTGTATTTTTAGTTAATTAATTAATATAAATGTTGATTTCCATAGGCCCATAGACCCCATAATCGCCTTTGAGTGCCATTGGCCTTGTGTAGCTGTCTCTTGACAGACCCCAGTAATTTTATTATGTTGTAACAGCAGCTGGCATAACACTGCAAAACTATATAAGGACGATGGAGAATAAATAAAGGTACAGTTTACATGAGTAGATTTAGTTTACATTCTAGAGGCAGAGAGAAAAAGCAGCTATACATGTCTTATAACCAATAGAATCTTTTAATATTTGTATAATAAGTATTTTTGGTTTTAGTAAATAATTTATTATATATATCGTATTATTTTATTTTATTACTAATAAGCTAAACCAAAATAGAATCTTATTATGCTATTTTGGGGTTATTTGATATTCTTACTCTGAAAGCATATTCATAATAATAATGCTTATTGTAAGTATAAATACAGATAATGTTACATAGTATAGCTTTCTATAAGCATAATTTACAGATTGTACTTTCTTATTAATAGTTTCTAATTCATTCACCATCCGGCCACACTCCTTTACACAGGCAGTGCCGGTCTGTGCTTGCAGTTTTTCTATCTCAAGTAGTATGACCCTAATTGTGGTTTTGATTTCTTCTATGCCACTTACTCTATCATACAGCTCTAGAGTATTTGATTTTTCCTTCTCCATAAATATTTCCATTTTCTTAAGGAGATGCTCCCTCCTTCTCTCAATGCACTCTAGTATTTCATCTGGAAATATCCCCTCATCAACTGAGGCAGCAGATAGTTTTTGTGGGTTTAGTGTGTCGAATAGTGTCCTTGTTCCTCTTTCCACCGCATCTATTGTCTGTCTCATCTCAGGAACTATCTTCTCCATTCTAATTATTTTTTTCATTACGTGAATAGTCTTTTTCTTGACCGAGTCTCGGAAATATATTCTTCGCTGGCGCCGTGCGGCGTGGGAGGGATGGTGATGTTGTGCTGTGGTGAAATATACACTAAATTCCTTTTGGGAGTATGAATCACCCTATCCGGCGTGCGAAGTACTTTTTCTTCTTTTTCTTTTGTAAATATTGGCATAATTTCTATTTCTTTATGTATATTAGGAAGAGTTTTTGACCTTTTTGATTGCCGTCTTTTTAGGGTGACTTCGGTTGACTTTATCCTTTTCAGATAGTTTGTTGTCCAGTGAGTCCTTTTCTTTTTCTCCATGCGCTTGATACTCTAAAAAATAAAAATGCTTGTTATATATTACACTACGACTTAAATCATACAATTTATTCTGAATTACTCTGTAGGTGACTGACTAATGAAGATATTTCAATTATTCCATTAACTGTGGGTATCAAAGAAAGAACTTGATTTGCTTCTGTTAAGGTTAGTTTATCTCCCACCGTTGTAATTATTTTAATTAATTCACTTCTGGATATCTTTTCAGTCTGATCGATTGCTATTTCCAGTAAACCCTGCCTGAGCTCTTCTAGTGTCATACTTTGCTCTATAGGTGTGCTTGGTTTCTGTGTGCTTACGTACACCATAATATTAAAAAAGTTTTAGTATAAATTTATAGGCATAGAAGATATAACAAAACATATCCTATAACTATGTATACTTTATTGGACATTGTATCTCCTACTCAATAATTATGTTTTATTTGCTAATTAGCTGTGTAATATAAATATTATGTTGTGCTATATTGCTTTTTCTATTTTAACATAGCTCGAAATTTAAATTTCAAAGTATTCTTAAAATAAATAATATTCTGAAGTATTAATATACTTTAGTAATAGAAAATAATAAATAAATAGAAAGTGTTTATTTTTTGTAAGACATTCCTGTACACATTTGAGTTTTATTCATAAACATAAAATGTTAAAATAGAATGTGTACGATATAAATGATATTTATATAATTAGTACAAAAATACTGATCATAGTATAAATATTGATATAAGTATAATATATTTGCTGATATAATTAAATATCATTATAATTTATGTGTTAATATCATTTATATAAAAAATCAAATAATTAAAGTATATAAGAGAAATAACAAACAGAAAAATACAATGATACCATACCCAAAAACAGAATTGCCAATAAGCACAGTACAGTGGACAGGAGCACTAATAGTAATAATATTAGCTATTTCTATGATTATGTTCTGCTGTATATCCTCAATGAATAGAAAAGCAGAAATAAGATACAAGCACTTACTAAGTATTCTTGAGAAAAGCCAAATAAACAGTACAACTATTCCTATGAACAATACTACTGATCATGTAATTACATATGACCAGTTCATTAATAATAACAAAAATACAGAAAAATCAATGCATTCAATGAAAACCACTGAATGCCCCAAAGTATAAGTAATTAGACTTTAATTTCGGATTATATTTATAAATAATAAATTATTTATTCTATTAAAAATTTAAATATTTTAATCAAAAAAAAATTTAGATGATGGAAATTAACAGAGAGAAGCTAACAGATGAATTAAATGAAATAATCAGAAGTCAAGACAACAAGAGTATAGATGAATGCGCTGAAGAAGTATTAGAAGTAATATTACACCACTATAAAAGAGAATTCGTATTTAAAGAGCAGTATGCTTCTATAAGAAGATTTGGATACAATGTGTTTATTTCGGAATTGGCGGATAAAATTAAAAGTTTAGATATTAAATGTGGATCTATGTATGTTCTAGCACTAGTTAATACGGCAATAGAAGATACAGAATTATACATGGATAGTATACAAAAAGCAGCAGATATGAAAATAGAAAGTGCTAGTGAAAAAGCAGCATATTATGATATGGTGAATGAAAATCATATAATCACAGCACTTGCGTATTCATATAGGCCCAATTTCTTATACAATATTGTAAGGACTATAGATAGTAAGAGAATTGATGCTAATCTAATTAATGCAGATTATTCTGCTATATTAGATAGCCTTTTTGAAATAGTTCCAAAGTTTGGATGTTCAAGGCTGCAGAGAGCATTAGATATACTATTACAACATGGAGATGATCTTTCTATGCTTAAACAGAATACTGAAGAAAATATGAAAAAGCTTGGATTGTCTCATGATGATATTTATTCATTGCAATTATATGCAAAAGAACAGCAATTTAGTAGATTTAATTTTATAAAAGAAATATATAATTTAATGGCTATTCAAGACATAAATGGGCATCAATACAATTTTATTGATATTCTGCCTAGCCTATGGCATCTACATAGTCAGACCGGCGAAAATTTTTTATCAAATAGTAACGAACGCATAAATCAGCTTATATCAGAGTTAAATATACTACTGACCACAGAAAAACTGTTTATTAATGATTATGCACTGAACGATATTATTAATACATTAGAAAGCGGCAATTTTGACATAAACAAATTTAAATCTAACATAGTGAAAACCTATTTAGAGTCTATAAAAGGCCAATTGTCTAGGATTAGAAGTTTACCTATTGTTCTTGACACATCAAATATAGAAAGCTCTGAGCCTGCGGATCCACAGCCAGCCAGCGTATTCTGGGATAGAATAATTAAGATATCTTTCTTTGCGATAATTGGAATTCTTTTCTTGGAGTTCTTGGGATGTGATGTATTAAGTTCAACTCAAGACTTATTGGCTTCAATTATTTCTGGATGGATTTAATATAAAAATTGTATTTTTAGAATAAAACCAGAAAATCATTTCAGTGTTTTTAGAATAAAATACAATTTCACAAGAATAAACCAACTAGACAGAAAACTGTGCAATAATTGCACTAAATTCAATAAAAACAGAAAACCATTTGCCATCCAGTTTAATATCCAGAATGTTTATGTGATTATGTATTTAAATACTATCCAAGTTAACATTAAACAACCCGAGAACAAGATAATACCCCAAAATTTATTTGTAATTCAGCTAGTAATTTAATAATGGACTACAATATTGCCAACTTTTTTATAAAATATAATAAGAGTTGGCATAGTACCATGATAGTTATATTTACATAGAAATTATACTAAAATGAAAATAATATTGAGGAGTTATTTTTATTCTAATTCTCATACTATCATGCGATATGTCATGAAGTATTAGTAATATTTGGATTATATCTTTTCTTCTTAGTTTTTTCAACTGAAGCTATGGATATGTATTCTCATTGCAAGATCAAATCTAGCTTAAAACTTAAATTGATCATAATTTGTTATTCTAATTAACAGAAACTATCTATTATGCATATTCCTTATATAAATAAACTCTTTTTCAATTCAAAAAAACTATGTATAGTATGCATGGAGTTTTTTCATAAACACAGTTACTTGTGTCTTGTTAATGTCAAAGTTGCATATAATAGATGTAATGTAGAGCGCAAATATAACAACGCAGTTTGCACCAATAATATATTCGTAAATCTGTCGCTTTCCGGCTTTGTTCTGATAAATATCATATACTATTTTGATCATGAAAGCACACCCAAATATTTGAGGGATTCCCATGCACATTATAATGTCATTTATTGCAAAAAACTTGGTTATTGTTGTATGCTAAGAATAGCATTTGTTAGCATGACATGAGTTATTGTAATGTTTTACATAAACATGACACAGCTCAGACTAGATCGGAAATTATTGTTACACAGCATGGCAACATAATTTAAATTGATTTTACGGTCTATAAATACGTATACAAATTCAATAAAAGTCAAAGTTTAAGAATGCCTTTTCCTAAGAAAACAACTAGTAATGAAGATAGGGAGTTAACTGAAGAACAGAAACTTCAAAATATATTACGCCACTCTGAGTCAAGAGCTCCGTACAAGAAAAGAAGAGAGGAGGAAGACTCCACAGATTCTGAAATAGACGCAGAGCTAGCGGCAGAGCGTAGAGAAGAAAGAATAGTAGACAGGATTATAGAGAAAGCTATGCAATATATAAGAAATAATGTGAACTTTAATAATTCGTGTAGAAGTGTTATAGAGGATTTAGACAATGTATGGTTCGTTGCGGACAGGAAGGGAAGACTTTCGGCCAAAGAGAAGGTACAGTTGGTACATAGAGGAATGGATATTGCGAATAATCCAAATTGGGCCGTTTTGAGGAAGCAAATACAAAAGTATGGAAGGGACTTAGAGATTGAGGAGAAGATATCTGAAACGAAAAGACCATGGACAGAAGTAGAAGGGGATTTAGAAAGGTTAATAATTGAATATGGGAAGAGAAAATTATTTGAGGTGCCAGATGTGAGGAAGTGTGGAAATAGCTGGGAACTATGGGTATGTAAAGTGTTATGTTATATCACGTTTGCGAAAGAGTACACCATGAAAGAGTTGCAGCAGGAGATTGAACTGAATGCGAATAAGTATCCAAAGGGATGGGCTTATGTCAGATGGGAGAGTTCAATAGAATCAATCATGGATCAATTAATTAGGTTAAGTAGAGGTGATAGGGAGGAGACAGCAGTGAAGAAGAATGAGGTGAAAGAGACTCATTCAAGAGGGAATAGTCCGCTTAGGAGCATAAATAAAACGTGTTATCATTGCAGTAAGCCGGGACATATAGAAGCTGAATGCTATCAGAAAAAGCAGGAGAAAATGGAGCCAGCCCAAGAGGTGAAGCGAGATTAGAGAGAGAGAGAGAGAGAACTATTTTGGAAACACGAGCTACCAAGAGCTGAATAAGTATAATGCAGAAGCGAGAACGGAAGAGGGCAGAAGGCCAGAGGAGAAGTTAAGTAAGGCATAAGGAGAAATATGAGGTCAGATAGGGTAGTTCTTACGTCAGATGGGAACTGGAGTGATATGAGAAGGACTGTAGAGAAGAAGTACCGTAGGGAAGAAGTATCGTATGGAAGAGAATCAGATTGGAAGACAAGAGAGAAACAAAGATCGAGAGATATCAAAAGGAACCAAAGAAGGAAATTTAGAGAGAGATAATATAAGGAGATGAACACAGAAGGATGGGGTTCAAGGCTTAACAAAGGGGAGGGAGTGAACCTACCGGGGGTAAGTTTAATATTATCTAGAAATTTCCTAGAATCACATTCACACGTAAGGAACTACTAACAGCAGATACAAGCTAACGAGCATCCAATAGGATGGGAAGAAAAAAAAAAGGTAATGTTAAAAATAAAAATAAGGATGAGCAAAGGTTAGGAAAATAGAAGAAAGAAAAGACAGAGACAAAAAAAAGGGTGGAAGGATTAGGATCAGAAGCAAGGAATGCTAGGTATAATCTGAAAACAAAGTAACTCAAGTTGGAATAAGAAAACTTTCGAGTGGTCAAAAGGTTTGCCCAGGGATGTTGTATGCTAAGAATAGCATTTGTTAGCATGACATGAGTTATTGTAATGTTTTACATAAACATGACACAGCTCAGACTAGATCGGAAATTATTGTTACACAGCATGGCAACATAATTTAAATTGATTTTACGGTCTATAAATACGTATACAAATTCAATAAAAGTCAAAGTTTAAGAATGCCTTTTCCTAAGAAAACAACTGTTATTACAATAAGACTAATCCAGACTACAGTATTAATGCTCATCCCTGTAAATACTGATATTATAAATAGTATTACACCTAATATCTTTTTCCTAGAATTCTTATATATTAAGCATATAGAATCTTTCCATGCATTAAGGTTGAATAGCATAAATATGATTTGTACTATAAATGCAGTCACAAAAATACTAATTGCAGATAATACTATTTCATTTTCAAATGCAGTGTTGTTCAATAAATTAGTTATGAACTTCATTGCATCAGCTCCCACACAACTAATTGATTTTGTAATCAATAAAGTACACATTGATGTCAAAACATAAAACACCACAGACACAAATAAATTTGAGATATTGTTGGACAACTCGGATATCTTGTCTTCCTCTTTATTCTTCTCAGCTGTAGGCTCAGTAGTTGAAAAGTTGAGTATTGATGGGTACGCGTCTTTGTCATTAGTAATGTTTACTATCATGCGAGCCATTCTCATTATAGAATGTTTTATATGGCTTAGTCCATTTAAGTTTCTCTTTGCTGGTGTTATTCCATCATACATTATATTTATAGCAAAAAAAATTAATTTAAATAACCCGAAAATCAGAAAAAGTTAAAATACTAAAAATTTTCTTTATCCCTGTACAACAACCATCCGTCTGAGGCCCCTCGAAACTTATATCAATAAACTGTTTTAACCAAAAAAAAATCCCTGTACAAAACGTAGACGGATTCAAACTTTTTAGTATTCTCATATCATGCAAATTTATACATTCATATAAAACATCTTTATTTGATTTTGGATAGATGGCCATCATAATTCTACTTTTAATGTAGTTCATTGCATAGTAGAAATCATTACTAGATTTAGTAAGATTGCTAGAAAAAACTATAAAATGTTTTAAAATATTAATGAATAATATGGAATAATAAGTAAAAACCACAAACATCATTATACAGCATAATTATAATTTAAATATGCTTTTAATTTGCAGAATTATCGCATAACTAATACGAATTTCTAGTAACATGTGTACTGTATTCGGATTATATCAATACATAAAGAAGACAGTTTCTTATATATTTTCATATTTAGTTCTTATATAAAATCCATTATACTCTAAAATTACATAAATAGAATAAACTACGCCAACATACCTTGAATATACTTTAAATGATCCGAAATAATAAACTTTTTGCTAAAACCAAATATTTAATGCGCCTGGGAAGTATAATAATATTTTATTTTTAGTCTATATAGTTGGCTATTCTCTTGTACATTATTAAAACTCATGCAAATTTTTTATTATTCTTATCTTATATAGTTTCAATTCCCAATTATACAACCCTATACGACTTCGCGGATGTGGGCGTGAGGTTCCCACATGAGCCATGGTTCCTCTCATACGATAGAAAACAACATATATCACAGAATTAGTCTATTAAAAAATGGCCAGTCTATACGTACATATAAGAATTGTTTATAAATTAATTTAATCTAATATGACAACAAGTTTCTATGGAACATAAAACAATTTGTTGCTCTATGGAATATTAATATTATTGTTTTATTTTTATACATGGCAAGACAGGGAGGCGTGCAGAGCAGGGGTGTTGCTAGAATATCTGGACTTTCAAAAGGATTCTCAGTAAGAAATGAAACTATAAATATAAAGCGGACTCTATTTCTTAAGCCAGCCACACACTCTTCCAGAAACAGTATAACATGGGCATCTAGTGTATATATACTTATGTGTATAGTAATTCTTGCTGTTTTAATTAACACACAGACTGCTATAATATATGAAAGTATTAATAAGGGAGAATTAGTGCTTCTACTGTGTGCTCCAAATCCTTTATATGTATTCTTTATGTGCTGCTTGATTTTAATAATGTCTTATGTATATATGAAGGTATTTAAAATATCTATGAGCAAGGCATCCTATGTTATGATTCTGTCTTTTTCTGTGGGCATTCCCATTCTCATATTGGACAGCATAGCATACCTTTTACTAAAAAAACATTTGGTGGCAGCGTATAATCTTATAGCAGGAATGCTTCCCTTTATTATTATAGGAATTCTTTCACAATACATTGCTAGTATAAATTTAGCAGATTCAGTGGCTCCCACAGAGGACGGAAGAACCAATATATTGCGGCAATTAACCATAGTTATAGGAAATTTCATCTGTGCCGTTTTATTTTACTTAACACTATTATACTTTAGGGAAAACATGATTTTATTTAACAGATTACCCGAAAAATCTAAATAATATTTAACTACTATATGTGCAGAACGTATAAAAGGTGTAAAGCGTTTTCTGTGTCTGAAACTTTAAATTGTTTTAGTTTATAAGTTGAGGAAGAGGAAAATAAACAATTTAAATCAATCTATGCTTAATTATTAAGGTGGCTTTATTATGTGAACTTAAATGTTTTATTTCTAGATTGCAGCGGTTTATAGACTGGTTATTAATTATAGGGATATTCTGTATGTGCCATAAAATATATCCCAAATTTTATACCCAGAAACTATTCTATGCCATTTGTTTAAAGCTTTTATTTAAGAAGATTCTTATTTAAAATTTGGAATAGTTGATGGCACTTGAATAGGAAAATAGGCAAAGTTGATGAAATTATTTTAAAATTATAGGTATTTCGGAGTAGCTAATTAGAGAGAGACTCATAATAAATTGCTATTTGTTTGTTTTTACTTCAATTAAAGGATGACACATGTCAATTAGTCTCATGTAAAATATTGTTGTAATTCTATTATAGTAAATGGGCGAAGGCAGCACACTGAAAAAAACCTATTCATACATACTTAAAGAGTCTATTTATTTTAGAAGAGCCGTTCTTTTAAAGCCACTGACTAAGCCTGGATATGCTACAGCATACTCTCAAGTCGGCCTTTGGATCAATATTATATTTCTGTTTTTATCTATGCTATGCAGCTGTTCTCTTTATAAAACGCTGGATGGTTACACCAAATATAATATAGAAGAAGGAAGATCAGTTACTATATATATTTGCCTGGGGCAGTTGGTTCCGGTCTTCTTTGTAATGCTTTTATTTAGTGGGATTATTTATTCCTTCCTATTTAACTTTACACTAGTTGAATCCGGGTATGTTATATCTTATTCTATGTCCACAACTCTTCCAGCAATATTAATAGGAAAGTCTGCGCAGTTGTACTTTAAGAACTACCTGTGGCCAATAAACAGCCTTGTATTCGTGCTATCCGGTGTGATTTCAAGTATTTTTATAATTGTGAACTCGAAGAAGAAGATAAAAGGATATTTTAAATCGTGGTGTATCTTTATTGGATGCAGTATAATGCAGATTGGTATGCACTTATCGGGCGATTCAAGTATTTTCGGTGTTTTACACATATGGAAATTTTCACTCTGGTCTTGAATTATAATATTAATAACACTATATACGATACTAATAAATGTTTTTCTGTTTTTATACTAAGTGCAAGGAATAAATAATATTTATTTTTAATAAATGATGACTAGTTCACACTAAATCATATTAGAAGAAACCCCAATAACTTCATAATTAGTTCTATTATTGTTTTTGTTGTCACAGTACTTCTTACTTATGCATAAATCTAATGTGCAGTGTAGAGAACATGTCCTTTAAAATTTATGAATATGGTGCCGTTTTCAAGTATAACCTATACTACTGTTTTTATTGTGCTATGTGCAAAATCTTATAATTATGTAATATTTAGGGTGTAACTTAGATAAAATTTATAAATTCATTTTACTTAAAGAATAAATATATTTTGTACATGTACGGATTTAAAATAAATTCAAATAGTGAAGACATAAAAATCTGAAGAAATTCACATAAATTAATAAAAAACTACCAAAAAACAACTGAAATACAGTAGTATAAAGGCCATGTCACAAGAGAGTTAAATTTATTTCTATTCAATAAGAGACAATGCTCTTCCAAGAGACCAGCTTATATCAGTGGGGATGGTTGACACATTTTTAATCGGTGTAAAGAGACCTACGCCCAAGTTCTCCATAAACATTACAGTGTATAGCACACTAACGCAGTCTGGTGCGGGAGTAGTATGTGGAGAAGGGTTGCTAGATGAAGAGGCATGCGGAGAGGTCTTATTCGGACTATTAATGCTGTTTTTGCAGACAGAAGTGGCAATTTCCTTTATGTCTTTAAACTGCGCAGTGGATGGAGTTTTAATCATATGCAACATTTCTGCAATAAAAGAGGAGACAAAAATCGTGTTTATCTGAGACAGGCCGGGAGCAACTTCTTTTCCATGTGTTGTACTTTGTATCATTGTGCTTATTGTACTTTTTATATGCCCTTTGCACTTGCCTATGTCAAAGGTTGGAGAGCCCCACTTGCAGTAATTTTTAGTGTCCATTTCGTGTATCTGATTAAGGCCAGCCACCAGCCCCATGCCCAGGAAAGAGCGGGAGAGAACGTCTTTGTTTTTCCCGTGCACTATTCCCTCTTGAATGCTTTGGGCGTCCTTATCTACCTCAAATGAAATCTGTGCAGACCCACCCCCCAGATCAATAATCCCTATTTTCTCTTTGAGTTGTGTCACAAAAGCAAGTGCTGCCCAGGCGTAAAATCCTTCTTCTTTCCCATCAATTACACGCACTTCCACCTCTTTTTTTTCAGTTTCACTAAGAATTGTCTTCTTAATTCTCTCCAGAAGGCTGTTTCTGGCACTCTCACTAATTAGCCGCAAACCAGCAGTTCCATTAAATACAACAGGAAAGTCATATCCTGTGGCGTGCCCGTGCTTTTCCAAATAAGTTGTTCCAAAAGAAAGAAGAGATTTAATGTCTTCTTCTGGATTCTGGGATAGATGTATCCCAGGAGAAATATTCTTAAATAAATGAGACTTAAGCGCCAGGCCTTTTTCGTTGAACTGGTATATATTTAGTCTAGTTCCGGTTGAGCCGCCATCAAACACAGCCACAAACTTGTCCTTTTCTATACTTTGTCTCTCTTTTTCTTGCATAAAAGAGCCCACTGCTTTCGATATTGACAGCAGCGCTTTTCTAATTCTGGAAATTTCTTTCTCCTGTCTGGTAAGAGTAGAAAGCGCATAGTTTATGTTTCTATCTATAGCTTTGCTATATTCTTTCTGCTTTAAGATATTTTCTTCTCTAATTTTGTTTGAGCTTTCTTGATTTATAGTAGATGGGTGGATGTCTATGTGCTCTGTTATTTTTGTTACATCCTGTGCCTGCTGCAGTATATTACTCTTAGATCCTGTGCTTTCTTTATAGCCATGTGCGTATGTAAATATAGACAAAAGAAGGAGTACCTGCATAAAGTAAATGCGTGAGTGAATACTTATGCTATAATTGAAACAAAACATACTAAAACCAAAGAGACGGCCCATAACAAGAAAACAACCCATCAGTAAACAAGAGCTCTAATAAATAGATAGACAGACAACTAAATACTAGATATTATTACAACATACTATAAAATAATATAAAATAGAATCAGTACATACCATATATAAACTGCACATACAACTTTCTTGTGTTTTCTATGGTGTAATAAGATGGATTGGAGCGCACTATATGGCGGTATGTACAAACAAATGCAAGAGCTTATATAAAACAGGAAAACTTACCCCTTTGATTTGGAGTATGCCGAGTTATGCCATGTGAATATTATTTACTATGTTTTATTACACTGGGAATAAAATGCCACAATTTGAAATAGAAATTGCTGAATGATAAAAATAAGACAATTATATGCTCACAATAAGACAAGCACAGCCATATCAGACAATTATACTAAATTATACCAAAATTTCATTTATCTCAACATACACATTCAAATACACTCCAAGATATATAAATAAAAAGAATATGTAAGACAATCAAATAAATATACAGAACACATAGTATTTCGGAGTATAGTCAGAGAAATCTCCTGAATTGTAAATAATATATGTTGGTATAGCCCGAAAATTGTCATAATTGTAATAGAATAATTCTTTAGTTTCTTTATGTTTTTCTGTAATAAAATGGTTTTGTTTGGTTCTGTGCAGAGCGCTTATGGTTTACTGTGGGAACATGTAATCCCTCAAATTTATTTTCTTATTAATATTTTTGGGTTATATTAAATAGGTGCACATGTCTATTAATTTCTTGTTCTATTTATTTTTTATCCAATGGAAGATTCAGCTAGTGCAGTGCTGGCACGGGAATTTCAATCTCTTTTAGATGCATTAGGGATAGAAGGAGAAAAAAGAAAGGTTCTTCTGAGTCTGCCCGATGAGCAAAAGCTCCATATGATAAATGCGCAGAAGAAATCTGCGCAGATATCAGGTATGGAGATAGCAAAACATCTAAAAAATATTAAAAGGCCATTTTCAGTGGCATATAGCATAACAGACATAGAGGAATATATTAAAGAAATTCGAATATTACGATTAAAATTTGTGGAAATAACAGAAAAGGAAGTAGAAAAGGCAATAGACGAGGATTTTCTAAAGGATATCTGGGGGATTATTTCCAGTCTTTCGCCAAAAGCAGAGCTAGGGGATGCCCGAATGTATCTTCAAATTGAAAACAGCAAGCAAAATAAGCCAATATATAAAATATTAGAGCCCACAGTGAATTTCTTCCGGACTGTGCTAAAGTCTCCTGCAGTAATTAAAAGGATACAAAAAGACCCAGTGTTCTTCAAGGAGATATTTATGCACTTTCCTTCGGAGTACGCAGATATATCTACTATAATTCTGCAAATTGCTGTGAAATGCTCAAATTCCCACATGGACATATTATTGGATTATTTGTTCAAATCATCAAAGCATGAGATGCATGCATACTGCATTCCTGCGTGTGACATTCAAATGAAAAAAATATTAGATGAGCTTTACTATAATTTGTCTTTTAGAACTATGAGTAAGGAATATGTAAGTGCGTTTTTATTACTAATGATAGACTTATACTCCGAGCCACCGATGATTGGAATCATGCTGGATAGTTTGCTGAGAATGTGCGGTATAGGAAGAATTTTAAGTAAAATTGAAAGCACCTTTTATGATACAAGGAAAACAGTGGGAGAGCTAATTGATATGCAGGAAAAGGTGCGCAGTCTAGCTGGTGAAATAGATGTGCGAGAAATCACAATAGACACAGAAGAAACAAAGAAAGATCTTGTATATATTATAAATGTACTAAGTGTTCTTAATAGGATAAACAGCAGTAGAATATATGATGTATTGCAGTATATTCGTGGATGTATATTAGAAGAGTCACTGTACAAGAACAAAGATATAAAGAAAATAGAGATAGAAAGAGCAATTAGAAAAGAAAAGACGGAGAAGGACAAGGAGAGTTACAAGTGCATATGCAAAGATATTATTCTAGGAAACAAAGGAGGTGTTTTGAAATTTGAATCCCCTTCTGTGATTACTGCAAATTTGTCTAAGGAAAAGAACAATGCAAGTATGGATGCAAACCAAGCCAATGCAAAAACAGTAGGGATTGGCGCTACTTGTTCTACAGATAAAGTGACTTCTGATAAGTCTATAGCTACAAATATTTCCCATGGCCCTGCTTGTTCTATAGATGGTGTGCCAGAAAAACCCATTTCAGGGTATAAAGAAGAAAAGAGCAGTGAAGGAATGATACAGGCACCTCTAAATAAAAAAGACACAGATGCAATGATTGGAGATTTTATAAAAAGAATTGCAGATATAACTCTGACTAAAGAACAGCAAATAAAGCTAAGAAAGCTAGTAGGAGTAGGACAGCAAGAGGGCGAAGAATCGGTATTAGAAGAAGGCGCACTATTAGGCCCGAAGCTTAATAAGATAAACATTCCAACCCCTCCTTCTGGCATGAAGGTGCCGTCTCCACCATTAAGTATGAAAGTGCCACCGCCATTAGGTAAGAAAGTACCACCGCCCCCTAGCATGAAAGTACCATTACCTCCATCGGGTATGAAGATGCCGCCGCCCCCTAGAATAAAAGTACCATTACCCCCATCGGGTATGGAGGTGCCACCACCTTCTGGCATGAAAGTACCATTACCTCCATTGGGTATGAAGATGCCGCCGCCTCCTGGCATGAAAGTACCATTACCTCCATCGGGTATGAAGATGCCACCGCCTCCTGGCATGAAAGTACCATTACCTCCATCGGGTATGAAGATGCCTGGCAATACAAAATTGCCAAGTGTGCCAAGTCTACCAAATATGTCAAATATTAAGAATTCAAGTGCACCACAGCTAAGCACAACTAGCTTAAAAAATATTGAAAATGCTGTAAAGATGCCAAGTATTCCAGCGCCAGAAAATGGAAAGGCATCAGAAAAAAAGAGGCAAAATTCAATAGAAACGAAAGAGATTGATAGTGTGGAACCTGCGAAGCCTGGCCCAAGAGCCATGTACATAGAGCGGGCTGCTCTGCTGCACCCAGCTAATCCACAGCAGCTGCCATACGATGTACATATACGAAAGCCTGGATCGACTGGTCTGTGGAGTATGCTGGATAAAACAGACCTATCACTATTTACAAAAGAAGACTTTTCTATTTTTGAAAGAAAGAGGGTGGATAAATTAGTAGAAGAGGAGAAAATAGTGATAGACGAAGTAATGGATAAAAAAAGGTGTAAAGCAATCGACATTGTTCTAGCAAGAGTTAAAATTCCTTATGAAAAATTAATCAGTGCTGTGGAAGAATTAGACACCAAGCCATTCACAGAAACTCTTCTTCTTGGCCTTCTTAAAAACTACCCAACTGAGGAAGAGCTGGATCTTATACAAAAAAATCCGGTTTATCTTGCGCCCGAAATCTTCTTTAAAAAAGTCGCCCATGCTCACCTGTTTAAGGACAAATTAATGATACTTCATTTAAAGCTAACCCAGCCAACAATTGAAACAATTCTCATACCAAATGTACATAAACTAACAGAAGGCTGCAGGATTCTCCTTCAAAAGAGGAGCATTCATGAAATACTAAGAATAACGCTGGGTGTTATTAATATTCTAAATGCAAATGGCAGGAATCAGGGTGCTTGGGGAATAAAGCTAGAATCATTTACAAGAATCCCGGAGAATGTGAATATTCTTCATCTTATACAGAAGAAAATAAAAGAAAAGAAGATAGAACTGGGAAGTGCCTTTGCGGTATTAAAAGAGGTAGTAAAAATATCAACAGACATAATTGATACAGATTGCATGGAGTACAATATGAAAAAGGAGCTTATTCATGCTATTAGTCTACCAAAAAAACAGCAACAATCGCTTTCTGCACTATTAAACACATTAGATTCTTTGCAGAAAGAGTATCTTAGGTGGAAATCTATTATGGAAGAGTTAAGAATATTTATGGGTGAAAAAGAGCTCACAGGAACTGGCTTACAGACTCTTTCAAAGTATATTATTACAGTACTTACTCCCATCCTGCCAAAGAAATAACACAGAGTACAATATATAAGATATAATTGCTATATAACAGTGGCCTGTATACTATACAGATTTATTCCTACTACTATACCTGTGTAAATGGCATTTAATAAATATTTTTGATTATATGTGTGGCAAAAATCCTTATGCTATATTTTATTTCTTTAGTATATTAATATGACACATCCAACAAAAGAATCTAAATAGCACTGCCAGTCAAATGTTATATAAATACATCGTAAATAACCCGAAAATTCTAATTATTTGGCACTTTATATATTTGACAGCTATATATAAGATATAGTACATATAAAATTGATCTATTGTGTATTTCGAATCTCTTTTAGATTCGATGGATGGGTAGCACTATCGGAGGGCACACTACTCACTGCTCCTGGGCAAAATATGCAGAAATTAAGTTCTTGTCTGATAAATCTAGTGCAGTCTAAACATAGACTATTTTTGCAGCCTGGACAGGAGTGCAGTTGAATGTTATTCTCAAAGCATCCCCGGCATGTTCCTTTAATTGCTGCAACATAAATAGGAGCTGAGTCACTCCAATGAAGAGCTTTGAGCAAATGAACGGGTGCACTTAGTATGTTCTCACAGACTGGGCACACTCCTGGCACTTTACACACTTTTGTAGTACAAAATGGGCATTCATACCCCCACTCTTTCAAGTCAAGGTGGCATGCACATATTGTGTTCTCATGTATAGGGGATGGAAATCCTATTTTCAACATAGACAATCGGGCTGAGGCACTGTGCGGAGGAGGAATGCAAATTAGTCCTAGAAGAGTAGAAAGATCTTCTGGGCAGTTTACAATGCCAAAAACCCCGCCGCTTTCCTCGCTTAATTTTCGAAGTATTTCCATCTCGCCTGCCATGTGGATTGTATGCATAATAATTCCTTTATTGATTAAAGTGCTTTTCAGAATAAAGGGGCTGCTTCCCACAAATGTAAATCCAGATATAATAAAAACTACTTCTTTCAAAAAGGAGCACCCATGAAAAAATTCATTTATCGTTTCAAAGGCAGATCCAAGGGAGAAGTTTCCTGCTCCTTCATTTTGTGAGAAACACATTTCTATTTCTTCTTCCTCGCAGAGAATTGAGCTCACCAAATAAGACATGCCGCCGCACACAACGGCCAGCCCTACTGTGGAGAGTGGGTTGCTCTCTATAAACTCGCGAAAGAACTTCATAACGCCCTTTTTTACATAGTACTTCCTTGACGGAAGAAAGTCTCTTTCTTCAATTGAGTGAGACATGTCAAGCACCAGAAGAATCCGCCGCACAATTCCTCTCTGCAAGTTTTCTGTTCGCCTGTTTACATTTAAAGCAAATATATCGTCTGTTCCACTGTTCTTCTCCCATGTGTTTTGGAAGGCCTCTTCCCACCTAAATTTATTAGAATCCATAAGTAGCTAAAATTCTTTGTTTTTGTTATGAGACAGAAGGAGCTTCTTTTAGGAAATAAAGAGCTGGATTTGTTAATCGACTGTGCACAGGCAATAAATCTGTCTGGAGCAAGCATTCCTGGGATAGACAAAATCGTGGATGTAGTCGATACGGTGGATGATTATGAAACAGTGCATGCCCTGGCAAAAGGTGGGCACAGTGAAGTGTTTGTTGTAAGATGCAAGTCTGATGGAAAGATATATGCACTGAAAAAAGTGTTTAAGCAGGACATTATCAATGACCCACTAGTCAATCCTATAATGAAGGAGAGAGAGTCTATGATATGTGGGAGAAACTCCGAGTGGCTTCTGGGCCTGCACAAGTCATTTCAAGATAGAAATGCTCTATACTTTTTGACCGATTTTATACCTGGAGGAGATCTAGGAAGTTTGTCATGCAGAGAGGGTGTGCTTCCAGAGCGAATGATACGCTTTTTCATTGGGGAGCTGCTAATGGCACTGAGGGAGCTGCACGGCCTTGGCTTTGTTCATCGGGATATAAAGCCTGAGAATGTTTTAATTGACTCAGATGGACATATAAAACTTGCTGATTTTGGAAGCACAACTAGCCTGTCTGCAAATGACCATCATGTGGTTGTTGGCACGCCAGACTATGTGGCGCCAGAGCTGCTGAATATGTGCGGCGGACTAAGTATGAAAACTGACCTGTGGTCACTTGGGGTTGTTGTTTATGAACTAGCATTTGGGTGTTCGCCTTTTTATCATGATACAATTAGAGGAACATATGACAATATAATGAACATCCGGTATACTATGGAGAAAACGGGCTCTGCTGAATTATACGACTTAATTAAAAACCTGCTCTGCGAAAAAGAAAGCCGGCTTTCTCTTAATGATATTATGTCGCATGCGTTCTTTGCTGGGTTTGACTTTAGTGGGAAGGGTGCAAATAAGGCTGAATATATACCAACAGTTCTTTCGGTGGAGTCAGTAGAGAATTTTGAGGTGGATGAGTTCATGCCAGCACAAACCACGCTTTTGAATACGATGGATAATGCACGGAAGTTTATTGGGTTTGGATATGACCCAGACATACGTGCTGAGATAGCAAAAGAGAAAAAGCCTGAAAGCTCTACTGAGAAAACCTGTTTGGATAAAATGTACATGGGCGCAGAGGTGGCATCTGAGGGTTCTTCGTCAAATTCTACTCTATCAGTAGAGAAAGAGTGTGCAGAGGAGGTTGCACAGGACTGTAGCAGCATATGCAGTCTATGCAAAAAATCAACAGCACCTTTACAAGAAGAGGCCAGCTCGGTTGTAGTCTTAACAAAAGAGAGAGAACTTGAAGAAGAATGCCAGGAGGAGTCTAAAACATCTAATGAGCTAGTAGATACAGAGGAGTCAGACAAAAGTACATCAGGCCAAGTATATGACGAGTCTGCACAGGATAAGGAACCTATTATAACCAACATTGAAATATCAAAGAAAGATCTACAGGATAGGAAAAAAAGCCTAGATGTACCACAGGCATCCGAGGAAACAAGCTTTGCAAACATAAATACACAGCTTGACATAAATTTGGAATGTTCACAGGAGAAAGAAAAAGTATCTGCAGTAGAGAAAATAGTAAAAAATGAAGATTTTGTGTGCTTTTCGGGTAATTTGGGTGAAGATCTGGAAAAACGGAAAGCACAGAAAGAGCGGGAGAATATAATAGCATATATTTGTGAAATAGAAGAGTCATTCAAGATGGGATACGAGCATCTGTTAAAGATAGATACCTCACCTCTTGTAAAGAGCATGGAGTACATTGAGCAAGAAATTCAGGGATTTATAGCCGCAGTCAAAGAGTCACAGAGAAGAGAGTCAGAAAGCGCATTTCAAGCCAGATGGGTGATAAGAAAGCTACAAACGGAAATACGGGATACGCAAGGCCGAATAGAACGAGAGGTGGAGACGCGATTAAAGCTTACAGAGCAAATAGAAGAAGCAAGGGTAGAGAACAAAGAGCTGCGTGAGCAAATAAGGCGGCTAAAACTAGCCTCAAATGTATATAACTTTCCTATTAAGATATATGTTGATAAAAAGTGGGAATCATCAACGTTACAGCTTGAAGAAGACTATCTACGTATAAAGGACATCTGTCTTCCGCTGAACAAAATATACTTCCAGGACATAAAGAAAAACGAGCTTCTAAGAATTAACTCAAAAGCAGAGCTTCTTTCTTTCAAGCTGCTTCTTCCTTCAGAAGATGATGTGTACACAGAGCAAACAGAGTCTTCATCTGACCAGGTGGCCTGCACAGGAGAGAATGCTGAATTGAAAAAAGAGCTGGAGAAGGAGCTTCAAATTCTTGAAGGAATTGAGAAGATGATTAGAAGCACATCTACATCCTGCAAAACGATCATTCCGATGGCACTAAAACAGAAAGAAGGGACAGAAAAGAAAATATCTGAAATCCAGCAGGCACTTTCTCAAGGATTTGCAGCAGATCCAACAATCATTCGCTACAACAATCACACATTTAAAGTCACTACTTTTAAACAGGGCGTCCAGAACTGGTGCCATGTATGTAATAGGCTTCTATACGGAGAGGTAAAGCAAGGTCTTCTCTGCAAGGGATGTAAAATGGTCTGTCACAAGGAGTGTCACACGCTAATTGTCTACTCGTGCGAGCTGCAGCAAGCCATGGAAAGAGGAACATCTATAATTCTAATGGCAAAGCAGCTGGAGGACAAAGACAGAATCAAAGCTATTGTAGGAAGTGGTCAGCCATAACCCAAATATTTCAGTTATATTTAAATAAAACCAGTAAATCATACAGTATACAAATAATATTCTTAAATTTTACTATACATCAGAGAGTTACTAAATCACATTCCCAAGATATTATAAATCCAATATAACTAGAAAAAATTCATACCAGTGTGCACATTACACTATGTATTAAAAGGCATATCTTAATATGCGCATCAACCAGCAACAATTTTCTTTGCATACAAAAATTATCTTGTTCCTATTAGCATTTATATCATTAAACCGTGTCCTATTGTTTCACTGACTTTTCAGAGTGATTTTGAGTGTTTCTAGAATTGTTCTGTGTTATATTAAAATTATTAGTATTTCGTGCCACTTTCAATATAAACCTATTCAGAATAATTTTATATTTATTTAATTTTTGTATAGCTTTGTTATTTTTATGAACTATCAGAGAATATTTGTACTCGGATTATTTATACTAAATATACAGAAGATAAGAGGAGAGATGGGTGGTGTGATTATTGAAGACATTTCTCTTAAAAATGACATTCTGATAGAAGACCATACACGAACAATAGACGATTATTTTATAGCACAAAGGTGTATAGATACTTTCTGTATTAAGAACATAGGTGAAAGTGTGATTAAGGGAGTATTTATACCAGAGCACAATATACAGCACTTATCATATTACGACGATCTTGGCAGTATTCATAAAAAGATATTCCGTAATAGTATGTTTCTGCTTGGATTTAGGTATCCTGTAAAACCAAACGAAAGAATTTCTTTTTCTGTAGAAACAATATATAAGGGAACTAAAAAAAGCAATAGTGAAGTGTGGCCATTTGACAATGCGGCGGTTCTTAAAAGATCTGTTGAAAGCACGTATTTTAATATATTTAAAAGAGCAGTGCCAACGGATGATTATTACAGCAAAGTATAATATGAGTAGAGAATATACTATTGAAATAGAACTAAACTGTAGAATATCAGATAATTTGGATGGTTTTAGAGTTCATTCTATTTTATGATTGTTTCAGATGTGTAGGCATTTTATATGAATAGAAAGGTCTATTATTCAGTATAATCATTGGAAATAGATTGTAAAAATAGAACAGCACAATATGCCCCGAATTAGATGGGGCTATTTCATTTTTAAATAAGCACTTATTGGCTTTTTAGTTATTCCCATTTGTTATTTTCTATTGGCAAGTGATGAATATAGTTTATTGGAGAGTATTACAGGTATTCATTAGCTTATCAAATATTCGATCTATATAAGCCAGGCAGGAATTAGAAATACATGAAGACTACAAACACACTCATAAAAACTAAAACATTATTCGCATTACTATTATTTATTACACTGCTTCTTAATTTTGCAATGGCCGGATCAGAAGATGACAAGAAAGATGAAAAAGCCGGAAAAGATGAAAAAGACGGAAAACCAGATGACAAGAAAGATGTAAAGGACGGAAAGGACGGAAAGGACGGAAAACCGGATGATAGCAATCCTGATAAAAAATAATGTATAAATTATGCTAATGGCTAATTATATATGAGATCTGTTTATTCAAATATGTTTAGATAGAAATTAATAAATAATTTGCAGTTATATTCTGTTTTTCTATTTTCTAATTTTCGGAGCATTCCGAGCATTCCGATTATTCCAGACTATGCGTTTAAATAGTACTTTAAACCAATATATTATAATAGGCTATAATAAAATAAAATGTAAAGTAAAAGTTAAAAGTATAAATAGAGACAATTATTATGCAGAAAGGTTTATAATTTATGTGACAAGGAACTTTCCATTGAATTTTAGTCAAACAAAATAATGGAGAAAGACTGACACACTGTAAAGATAAATTCTGAGTGGTACTGATGGATGGCAGACTATTAAACATTTTTATGTGTTAGGCAGTTAGCTGGAAAAAGTGAACCCAATTCCTAGGAGAGGTCCATTTGAGGAGACCTGCCCACTTAGGTTTAAAGAGGCTCCATCACCAATGGTAATATCAGAGGAAACAGAGACAGCTCCATTACTACTTGCTGTTACACGAGTAGTTGCACCGGGGCTGTATATAGTAGTTCCAATAGCACCGCCAATTGACTGCAGAACTGTAGGAAGACTTGGTACTTTTTCTGTGTTCTTAAGGATGTTTCTCCAGTCAATAGATGCCTCGCCGTGCAGGCTTAGAGACTCGTCTATGCTCTTCTCAATTAAAGCACCTGCCGGGCCTGCTGTGTGATATATACCTAGCACTCTCCAAGAGTCAAATACTTTGCTTATTATGCATGTAGATGCAATTTCTTTAGAATACTTCTGTATTAAAGAGGAGAATGTTGCAGATGACTCACTCTCTGGTGCTATGCCGCTTTTAGAGACAGACAAAATAGTTTCCTGTCCTATGTGCAGGGTTGGAGACAGTTTCAAAACTGAACTTATAGTGAATATTCCACCATTTACTCTGCGATGCGCCTCTAACAATCCACTGTGTAGTTTTTCAGAAATATTTATCTTCTGTGGCGATATGCTTAACAGTTGAGAGAGAGTGTTTGCTTTCCATTTCTCTTTAAGACCCTTAAGCATTCCAGATGGGCTTATCTGCTTTGTACAGAAATCAGCCTTAGAAAGCTCTACATCTGGATTTATTGCCGAAAGGCTGACCGACCATCTTTTAAACAGCTTAGTATATCCAATGTCAAAATAGTTATTGGCAGCCCCCCGCATGCACGTAAGAGACAGGCCTTCCTCCTTTGCAGGGATTATTTTTCCTAGGGCAGATCCATCTCCAAAAAGGGAGGCTGAAAAGAGCTTAGAGGGGCTTTTCATTGTATAGTTCATGCTTATTCCTCTGTCTGTGTTTGATACTGTGATGACCGATCTGTTTAAGAGTACTTTTGATATATCCAGCTTTGTTCCCTCAAATATATAATTTTCAGGTGAATTTTGCTTGCTGGTATTTATTATTTCCTTGTAGGTCTCGCATGTATTTCGTTCACGGGGTTCAGTAGTCTGGTAGCTCATTTAATAAACTCTGTATTCTAAAATATTTTAAATTAGAATGATTTCAGCTGCAGCACAGACAAGCACGTTAGTAGTGCTTGGACTAAAGTCAGAGGGCATTAAAGAGCAGATGGAGGAGCTTAACAGATTGGCAGAAGGGGACTATTTTACAGATGAAACCTTCTTCATTAAGGACACGACTGGGCTATGTCTCTGCGGGAATGCAAAGCTAGTTGGTGAGCTAGTGAAAAGATTGAATAAGATAAATCTAAATGGGGAGTGCTTGCATGCTCTTTCTTTAACAAGGTATATGGCCATGTATAACATAGGAAAGCTATCTGTGGGAAAAGAGCAGGTGTATAAACCAGCAGTTAAAAAAATAATAGGAGAGGAGGAAATAGATATGTGGAGAGCAGAAGCACTTGGTGAGCAGTTTTTAATATACAATGAAGACACTCTTTCTAACTACCAGTTGTCTAAAATGTTTCCATGCAAGCTGATTAAATCCAAACCAATTAAAGAAATGGAAATAACGGTAAAGGATGAGCTGATATTTGCACAAAAGCAGAAGAATTTGTTTGTGTATGGTGGGTATTTAGACCTACTGGATGGGTTTGTGCTGGACGACATTATATCACACTATACTCTAGGGAAGCATATAGTCATTGGGTGCCAAATAGACCCAAACCAACAGCTTTGGAGCATATATAATATATACAGCAAAAAAAACATAAAAGAAGTAATGATTGGAAATGAGGAGGCATTTTCAGTATCTGCCGGGATGACTCATTATATGATATCCAATGAAAAAGGTGTGCAGGTGCGGCAGATGGAGAGCGACGAGCTCATATATCCAGAGTACTTTAATATTGAAAATGAAAAGACAGAGGGATTTATGTCAGATAAGGACAACGTGGTTCTAATAGCAAAGAAGACCTCTATAAGCACCCAGATAATTCTGCACAGCTTAGATTCAGGAAGAGTAATACGAAAAAGAGTTTTCACTAACATAGAAAGCTATTCCGTGGCATTTGCGCCTGGAGAGGTATCCATTGTTAGTGTACGAATGATAGTAGACAAGGTAGGGCACTTTATAGAGATATGGAATGTGGATGGGAAGATAGTGATGTCAAAGGCTTTGGGAGAGAATGTTAAGAATGTATATCCCAGCAAGCACACTGTTGTGGTGCAGACACCCACATCTGCTAAGATACTGAAGAGAGTACAGAATATACTAGTAGAAGGGACCGTGGTTAGAGAGCCCATTTCAAAGATAGTGGCTGGGGAGATAACTCTTTTGCTTATAGACTCTGGAGACATATGCGTTATTGGAAAGGACGGGGAAATACTCAATAGAGTCCTGGAAACTGGAGCATCAGATATTCAGATGTCGCCATTTGGTTTATATATTTCTCTTCTCTCAAGCGAGCAGGTTAGAATACTTGACATATGCGGAAAAGAAGTATTTGCATCAAACATAAAAAGGAACAATGGATTTTTCTGGAGAACGGTGGTCAGTTCATCAGAAGAGGTGATTTTGAATGAAGAAGAGATACAGAAGTACAAGACAGAGGATAGTCTCAGAAGAAAAGAAGCAAGAAAGCAGTTTATGCGGGATAATGAAGAGAAGATAAAGGAGTGGAGAATGTTCTTACATGAAATGAAAAGATTTAAGTCATTGAATGCACAGATACACAGTTAACCTAAAAATAAATAACCCTAAATATACTATAATCTACTACATAGAATACGCATTCGGTATAGCATGAAGCTCACTTTAAGATGATTTTTAAATGTTGAAAATTTATGAATATGTAAATCAGTGGGTATTCGTGGAATATCCCAAATTCAGCTCTCTTATTCTTTATATACACTTATATACACATTCTATTTCAGGATTACAGGCTAGTATGCCACATAATATTCTGTTATAGCTTGAAATAAATTAAAACAAATATAGTCATCTATAAAATTACCATGCAGTTTTGCAAGATGTGCTAAGTCGTGGTATCCCGGCCTTCTTTCTTTTTTTAGGCTATGCAGAAATACCAAATGTTCTACTTAACTATAAATATTTCTACATTTTATTTTACATGCGATGCTCTAAGAACAGCCCATTTGTATTTACCAATGCACTGACTCGGTGCTTAAATGTCCTTGATGGGGCAAGAAGCAGCCCGCCTCTTATTAGAGAGATACTTGCAAATATAGCAAGAAATAAAGAGCTAGTTGGGCCCGTTATGAAAATACTGACATCAGAAGATACGCTTCGAAAGCATGGAAAACAAAAGCTTCTGCAGATGGTGTTGGCGATTTGGACTGCAATTCCTGAGATGGCAGCACCGCAAAAAGTGCTGACATATCTTTCTGCGCTGGATAATACACCGCTGGCAAGAATCCTTCTATTAAAAACTGCTTTGTCATTGCTAAAAATAAGAGAAACCGGCTCTGAGCTAGATATGCTACGGCTATTTGATATTTTAGAGTCTCTTTGGAAGAAGCATGGCACAGAGGCAGACTATTTGATACTTTCTATTTTTATTGAAATGCTAGATGCCCATCCAGAAATGAAGCCAAGAGCACATCATCTTATGACAAATCAACCCGCTAGCATGGCAGTTGCTCTAATTCCTAAGATGATATTTCTTTGTCTACAAATAGAAATGCCATACACTATTCCTTCACATATTTTCTCGGCTAATAATATGTCGGCGTACATTCGGGTGCTAGATGCGATTTTAGTAGTATGTGCAGCATATCCGAAAGAAAAGGTATTTTCAATGTTTCCAGATCTAACCAATACTATAAAAACGCAGATATCTAATTTTATTAACAAAGAGGTGCACTGGATTGAATACAACATGAAGCACGATAGAAAGACACCCTTTACACACAGTATGACTATTCAAAAAATAAAAGATGTACTGTCCTCACCAGAAGACCCCAAAACAGTTGTACAAACACTTAAAACATTACTGAATATTTCTTAAGACATGCCTGCATTAGAATGATTTAAGTGGCCTAAGCACTAGCTTATTAATATAAGACAAAATATAGAAATAGCTCAGAATTAAACAGAATTAGAAATAACTCGAAAGAAAGTAATAAAAGCTATGGGAGGATATTCATGCATGGAATAACTAAACAACAGCTATTTTGGGATGATTTCGGCTTTTTATTTTCAGTTATATTGGGTTATGCTGCGAGTGGGCGGGTTGTGTCTTTTTGTACTTTGCATTTTATTTTATGTGCTATGGAGTTAGAGAAAACAAGTGAGAAGAACCCGCATCTGATACAAATATTAAGAAAGGGCCTGCCGGATAAACTTTCTTCTAATATGGAAATAGAGATAAGATTCGGGACTTTGATGGACAAGGCAACACAGAAAAGGCTTAGCATTAAAATGCTACATCCGTGCATTATGGAAAGGTCTGACACTTTATGGTTTGAAGCCAGTGTGACAGAGAATGATTTTACCCAGATGAAAAAGTATTTTTCTACCATGTTCAAAGACTCTGAGGAAAAGTTAATAATTGACACTCTTTTAAAGGGCATTCGGCGATCTGAAGTTAGAGAGATTAATGGTGAGTCTGTGCGTGTAGATCCTGTTATAATCAAAAAGAAGAAGCTGTTCTTTTTGGATATTTTCTGTCCTTTTAGTAAATACGACATGCGAATTAGTGTGTGTGAAGAGATAGTGCAGAAAGATACTTTTGGCATGCAGCAAGTACAAGGAAATATTCGAGAAAAAAAAAGAACTACATACACCCATCCACTATTTGTAGTAGATGTAACAGAGGTAAATTCAGGGAAAGAAAGTGCAGATATAAAATATTTTACACCATCATATGAGATAGAGATTGAGGCAAACAACAAGACATACGAGAAAGATGTCTTTATAAATATCGTAAATAATTCAATAGACGCTATTAGGCAGGCTTTAAAGCACAGATAGTGGAAATACATGACAGATAGTTAAGGAAAAGAAAATAAAAGCGTACACTATTATTTTTATTGTTCTATTGTGGTTGAAATATTTTAGGGGAGTTCTCGAGTAGTAGTTGAATTTATTTAATATAAGTAGTTATAAATAATTTTATGGAGACGACTGTGCCAGACAAACTTAATAAGAAAGATCAGCGAGAATATGTTATAAATCTTATAGCGCATGTAAATCACGGAAAGACAACTGTTATGGACAATGTACTGGAGTATTTAGGGGTTATAAGCAAAAGCATGGCAGGGGAAGCAAGACTGCTGGACTCTAGAAAGGATGAGCTTGAGAGAGAAATGACAATGAAATTATCGCCAGTAAGCTTATTTGTGGGGGGAGCAAAAATAACTTTTTTAGACACGCCAGGCCACTTAGAGTTCAAGTCATTAACAGAATCAACTTTTATTATTTCTGACATATCTTTGGTAATTGTAGATGTAATGAAGGGGGTAACAGAAAGGCTTCGGCAGCTAGTAAGGAATTCATCGGATAACCGGTGCGCGCCGTTGATCCTAATCAACAAGATAGACTCTCTTTTTAAGCTAGGGTCATCAGGGGATGAAATAGAGCACAGAGTAAGTACGATAATACAGAACTTAAGAGAGGTAGTGTCTGTGCCAATTGACTGGGACTTAGGAAACATAATAATAGGAAGTGCAAAGGACAACTGGAGTATAGGATACAGGTCTATTGCAAACCGAATAGTTGGAAAAGATGTAGGCAAACTGACTATGAAGAAGGCACTGCGGATAGTTCGTACGGTATATGCGCAGAGATCCGCTGAGCTGTTAAAGCTATCTGAGAGGGTTAAAAGAAAAGTAAATCCAGGCCTTAAAGATAGAATACAGCCCAAGGACATTGTATCCCATGAGTTTGGCTTTTTTTCTGCTTTGCATGCATCAATTGTCTCTATACAGCCTGCAGACTTAGTAGGAGAAGATATATCAGCAAATGAAACTAGCTTAGCAGAGAGTGATGTATACAGCATGTATAATCAAATATATCATAAAGAAAGCACAAAATGGATAAGCTCAGGCAGAAGCACGGTTTTAGCTGTGATCTGCTCGAATACACTTGTGGAGGGAACTATAACCGCAATAGGACGAACTCTTCACGGGCAATCTTTATCAGTAGGAGACTCTGTGATGGTAGTTGAGAGCACAGGGATATCAGAGTGTAAGATAGAAAACCTTATATATTTTACAAAAACATTTGATAATATAGAAGTGGCAGAGGGGCTTGTAGGGATTCAGGGCCTGGGCTGTAAGAAGAAAGGTATAATATGTGCAAGCGGGGGAGATCCGGAAGAAGCCAAGAAGCAATTAAACCAGTTGAAGTGGCCTATTTTTACTCCGTTATTTACCGATGTAATTACACCTGCAGCAGAGTGCTATTCTTCTGTGATAGAAAGGCTAACTCGTCTATCACGATGCGAGCCAGGCCTTTTTCTAAGCGCCAAGCAGGGAAAGATTATTGTACGCAGTGATGGTGTGCTACAGATGGACAAGATAAAAACTGATCTAGAAGGCCTGAATTTCACTACAGAGGATCAGTCTGAGGTATATCAAGAAACTGTTACTAAGGGATATGGAGTTGTTAAAACCCAAGCAGACAATGAGCACAAAAACTATGCAATATATTTAAGCTGTGCAGAGGACAGCTTAGAAGAAGAAATGGAGAGGAATGGGTATAGAAGACTTTTTGGCCGAGAATGCTATGTTAAGTATCCAGAAAATGCACCACATATGTTAAAAATGAGCATTTCAGCACTTCTTCAGAACGGGCCTTTTCTTCAAGAGCAGTGCAACAAAATCGCAGTAGAGGCGGTGCCTACTGAGGATTTACCCACTGGCACTCTTTCCCAGATATATTTAGAGTCTAACCCCAGGCTGCTTACAAATCACACAATACTATATGTATCTGTTCCGTCAGTTTATGCGAAAGCCACGAATACAACTCTAGTGAAATGTGCCAGCCATATTCTTTCCACTAATGTAGAGGAGTCTACAATATGTTTTGAAGTTCGAATACCAGTCGCTGAGATAAAGCAGCTGACGAATGTTCTTAGGACACAGACGAAGGGTGAGGCAGATATTCTTCCCACCCAGACGCTTTACTACACAACACCAGATAAGATAGAGCACGAGCAGGCGCTCACACTAGCACTTAGAGAAAGAAAGGGTTTATTCAGAAAAGAGAGAATAGAGTAATACAACAAGAATAAAATATCGAATTAAAAATATCCAACCATTCAAACAAAACATACTTGCACACATAATCAGGGCCAGAAAGAATGATTATTATACAATATTTACATAGAATTTCTATACAAACTAGAGCTTCTTGAATAATTGAAAATAACCGCTAGCAAAGCTTTTCTTTTCTAAATATTTAATTAAGAGTTTTAAAATTTTAAGTCATATGGCACGGAATACTAAAGGAAATAAAAAAAATGCTGGCGGAACACCAAGAGACTGGCCGCAAATGAGATTCGGTAAAAGAGAGAACAAAGAAGACCCATCGAACTTTATAAAGCTAGGAGAGTTTTCCCATACCGTAAAGAACACAAATATGATTGTAATAAAGCTAACAGAAGACATTATTCCATACTTTAATGCAGGGATATATGGAGAGGGCGACAGGAAGATAGCAGACATTCACGAAATATTTGGAAAGTTTGACAATCATGTATACGCAAGCATTGTTATTGATGGAAAGTTAGACATATCTAATTACAAGGCAGGATCAGTTTTCCGGGCAGATAAATTTAAATGTCTTTCCTTTGACAGAGTGAAGGGGGCAAACACACACACTCCTAAAGCAGCTGCTCCAAAGAAACCCACAAACTTACCACAACAGTTCAACAGAGGAAGAAGCTCAAAGTTCAGAACAAATACACAGAATGATAGAGTTCGGCAGTATGCAGAGTCACAAATAAGACAAAACAAACGAGATGCAAGAGATCCAAGAAAGAGAGAGGAGTTTGCAAGAAAAACATTTGAGAAGAGAGGAGGTGAAGTTCAAAGAAACAAGAGAACAACATTCACATACGATGATGAATAAACTACTATTATATTTATTTTCTGTGCGAATCCACACTCATCTGAAGTTTTAATAACTAAACTGTACAGACTGTATTTATAGAAAAATTTATAGAATGTTAGAGTAGGAAATACAAAGAGCCGAAATAATCCAAATTTTCTCTCTCTAATAATTAAATAAGAATTTTAAAATATCCCAGATAAGTGGCAAACATTCTGAAAATACTGTTTAAATTATTTAAAGGATAACATAAGGACATTCCAATTAAAAATTTTATGAATAAAGAGACAGTTCTGGTATTCGCGCTAGGAATGATTTTCTATCACGGGATATGCAGTTCCACAAAAGAAAAGGGAAAGAAAGTAGCAAGCATTCTTGCATTAGTACTGTTTTTTCACAAAGCAGTTTTTAATATGCACATAAGAGAGTTTCTTCATAAAATAGGGAATAGCAAAAGTGCTTCATTAAGTGGGGTTGTTCTATTTGTGTGTATTCTTGCTGTTATGGAGTCTATTATTATGTATGCAGTCCAGGGATTCTTTCCAGGCACAATGATTTATATTATAGAGCGGATGGGCGGATGTGTAGTTCTTATTTCACTCCTGTTTATTTTTTCTTCTCTATGGATTCTTTCCAAGAACGATATCACAGAGTGTATTTTTATTGATCAGGGAGTGTATGCATATATAAGGCACCCATACTATTTAGGGCTATTTTTGCTATATATGGGCATATGTTTTATGCTTGTCAGTGTATGCAGTGTGATTATTGCTATATTTATACTGAAAGACCGGGTTATAGAGTATATTTTAGAAGAGGAGAGCCTTTTGATTGAAAAGCATAAAAGCTATATAAAATATAAAGAAAGAGTATACAGCGGAATTCCAACCAGAATATTAAGCAAGATAAAGTCCACAGACTCTTTTGTTTCAACATTTACACTAATAAAATAAGTGATACTCTGTTTTAAAAGAGCGCAGTACACATTTAGAAATAATAATAGCAAATGCAGTATAGAGTAGATACTTTTCATAAATTATCAGTTAGATATATAACAAATATATTATACAACATCAAGCTTTTTGTACACACAGAAAGAATAACCAATTTAATTTTTAATGGATGCTTTGTTTCTAGCTATAGTTTTAGTTAAAATAAAGACAATGTGCTAGAAATTCCATAGGAAATAAATTCTAAAAAATTTTAATTAAGAAAATGCGGCAAATGATCATATATAATATGCTTAAGGTTATGCTTATGTGCTCTCTTGTGATTGCAGTTTATGCCACATCGGCAATAAATCATAATCCAGAGGTGGATGCACCCCAGGAAATGTCTAAGGAAGGAGCTGCTGAGTATGAACAGGCAGTAAAACAAACCAAGTTCTATAAGAAAATGAAAGGAATAACTGATGAAATAGACAGAACAATAGAAAGGGCCAGAAAGTATTTAGCAAGTGGAGACACGAATATGTTGAGCCAGGAGAATAGTAACTACCAAGACTTTTTAGAACAGAACAATCTTACCCCAGTACAGGATGCATACTTAAGTCAAGTTTATGTATATAGTGGGGATTTATATGATCTATTAAGTATTCCAAAAATTGCAGAAAATATTGAGGATAAGGTGCACAGAAAAATTGTTATTAAAAGAGCATTAAATATTGCTGAATATGACATGAGAGAATGTGAAATATGCATGAGTGTAAACCATCCAAATGTTTTGCAAACATACTTTGTATATGAGGCTATGCCTGAGTCCTACCAAAAGGACAATCAAACAATTGTTTGGCTATTTCAAGAGTATTTAGAGAATAAAATACCAGCAATATATAATGAGGGCTCCGTGCAGGAAAAAGCACTAAAAATACAGCACAGGACAATTATTAGAGATGTTGCCCGTGGGTTATCATACTTGCATAAGAATCGAATTATTCATTTAGATGTGAAGATTCAAAACACAGTTGGAACATACTCAAAGAGTAGGGGAAGAATTATTTATAAAATAATAGACTTTGGATTCTCAAGAATACTAAACGAAGAAGAACCCTCTATCCATATAAAGAACCGGGCATTTGGGACAGACCCATTTAGATCACCGGAGGTATATCTTAAATCTATTCATGGATATTCTTCTGATGTTTGGTGCCTGGGACTGCTAGCTGCGTATGTAGGAAACATACATATTGCAAGTAACAGGTGGGCAAAGAAGAAGGGTATTTCAGTCAATATTACTGGTGAGCAGATACCAATAAATGCAGATATGGGGCATGTATACGAAAAGTTCCTTAATGGCACCATTAAAATAGCAATAGGCCCAGAATATCCTGTTATTTTGGCAGAATTTATTAAAGCATGCACTGTTAGAGACGAAAAAGAGCGCCCTACCGTGGATGAGCTGTTGGAAAATCATCCATATTTACAATCTAACAATGCTCTATATGCAGAAGAAGTCACTGGGGATGTTGAAAAATACACAATTTAACCCGAATATTTAAAATAAAAATGTGTATGGACATTGTGTTAAATTTAGCAATGCATCTGATTTTTAATGAAATATGCAAGAACTTGTATATAAAGCAAAAATTGATTGTTTAGAAAATACTCTAGTATTGTCATTTATTTATATACATAGATCATTGTGAGTCATAATAAATGATGTTTTTCATACTTGTTTATTTATTTGTGCCCAAACACAGATTAATATAAGGCATGTGGTCGATGAAAAGCATACAAAACCCTATTTTAATTAGTATTTTATGTCCATATTTGATATATTTCGCATTCTATTTAATGAAATAAGAATTAAAATAGAATTATAAATAGAGAAAGAAATAAGAAAAAACAAGAATTTAATATACAAAAGATGTAAGGAGAGAGGAGAAGAAGTAGAAATAACAATACAAAAATGCATATAAAAATATTTAAGAAGCATAGCGCGCAGTAGATAAAATGTTAAATATAACAATAAGGAGTACATGCAGTAACAACAATTATGAATTTCGGGTTATTTCTGGCTTATGTATTAGAATAAACTAGGAAAATATATTTCAGATATATTTATTAAAGGAAAAAAAATATATAGAGAATAAAGCAATTTAATTAGATACAGCTTAAAAAAATATCTAGAATTATTAATAGAAATAGAGTTAGAGAGCGCATAGCAGATGATGAAATTTATTTTTAAGCAAATATATTCTATAGTTGTTTGCATATTCATAGTGTGGTATGCAGTAACTCTCATAATATTTCTATTTACATTTTAAAGAAGCAGCAAACATTCTGACACAATGTCTTATTTGCTAGTTTGTATTATATATATTGTATATGGTGTTTATGGCAATGAAACTAATTGCACGAACTTGTAGAAGAAAAGCTTTTTTGTACATTCTGTTGCTTGGTGTTCTCAGCTCGTACTACTCATCAGACATTGAGAGTGTAGAGAATAAAATAGCCAATTTGGCTATTTACAGTGTTTTTTTAGCACCTGCATCTTGGAATAGTGTTATATTTCAGGCATATATTACTAAAAGATCACCGAAAGAGGCCATGAGCATTAGCAAACTAGTTATAGAAAACAATATAAAACAGCTTAAGAGTATGCTAAAGAAAACATCATCAAAAAAGCCATTTAAGCATTCATTAATAGATCTTTTTATTAAATACAAAGAGGTATACCTAAAAGACTTTTCAGAGCGAGACAAGCTGTTTGAAAGCAGTATAAACTCTGGGCAGGCGGGAGATATGCAAAGAAAGCAGATAGACAATTATCTGTCTCTTTTAAATAAACTAAAAAAGGGAGAAGAAAAGCTTCTTTCTAGTAGCATCAAGAAAATAATCCAAATTACTGAAGATAGGAGCACAAAGAAAGAGATTTTTGATGCGTATAATAATGTGCTTGAAAAAACACTAAACTCGATGAGTACCAACACCCCTGTAGCCAACACGCTAAAGAACACAACGCAAGAGTTTATTACTAAAACCAAGGAGCAATTGCTAGACATAAAGACAAACAAGCACAACTTTAACTTAGAAAGAGCACGATTCAATCTTGGTGGTGCTATATATACGCCAGGCCTTTTGGTGGAAATCGCAGGAAAGCTGACCACTAGCGACAAAGAGAAGTTTGTTACTGATTTGGTGCACTCTCTACTATACCCCCTAATACAGCTAAAGGAGAAAGTAAGCGGTAGCTCACCAGAATCCACAAAAGAAGAGGTTATTAAATATCTGCAGTCTGTTACAAACTCAATTGATGTATACTTTTTGAAAAAAGAAATCAGTTCATCTCAAGAGCTTAGATCTGAATCCATTTGTAAAAGAACAGAAGAAATGCTGGACAAAAAGAAGAAGTCACAGAAAATTGATAAAATACAAATTGAAAACACTAAAAGGATGGTTTCTACCTTGGAGGAAGCAAATTCTTCTCTTTTCAAAGACTTTGTTATACTAGACAGTAACATAATATCCAAATACACAGAATACATCAAAACGGGAGGAGGAGACCCTAAGCTTAAAGAAGAAATAGAACTGTTTTTTGACCTGCCATAGCCAAAAACAACTATACTTAAATAGCTCTATTAAAAACTAATATGCACTTTAACAAAAGCACTCTCGTATTTATACCCAAAGTGCATAGAAAGGTATAATAAAGAAAAATCAAGCAAGCTAGGCATATTTACTCTAGTCTATTTATATTATGCACGTTATGTAATGCCAATAGAATCTAAACTCCCTCCACAGAAATACCGAAACTCCGAAAATGCTCGAATTATAAAACATACTGCTATTTATATACATCTACACTATTCTAGCACCATAACTGCTTTGACTTATTAATATCATTTATTCCTGCTCAGATTTGTTTTTACTCTTTTTCTTCTTTTTCCCTTTTTTAATGCTGTCTTCTTCATTTACTACAGCTACTTCGCTGGACACAGGACTCTTTTCCTTTTTATTCTTACTTTTTGCCTCTTTGGTTTTTTTTGGCTTACTAGCTGGCTGTGACTCTTTTACCACCTTGGTTTCTTTTAGAAGGTCTGGACAATTGGGTCTTGCATGGCCACTTCTTCCACAAAATACACACTTCTGTGCTTTTAGAGCCTTTTCTTTTTCTTTTGGGCAGTCTGCAGCTTTGTGCTGCTTACTTTCGCATACATTGCATTTCATATTTCCCTTTTTAAGCGGGCATAGTGGCTCTGTGTGCCCGTACCTTTTACATAATTTACAGAAATATCTTGGGCAGTCGCTCTTTTTGTGGTCTGTTCTCTTGCAAACATGGCACCCTGGAGGCGGTCTATTGCACTCTCTTGCCAAATGCCCGGTCTGGTTGCATCTATAGCATGTTGTAGTGGACTGGAAGTATCTATTGCACTCAATTGGCTGGAGCTTTTTCAGATGGTCTATTTTGTAGACCTCTGATCGCCCAAAATGAATGAGAGAATATATCTCATTTTCAATTTCCTCACAAATAGAGTCATTCTCTGAAAGATTGTTTATTTCATCGCACAGCGCAGGATCTGCTATCTCCTCCAAGGCAATAATCGAGTCATGGGAAAATTTAAGCATGCAAATTTTTCAGAAAGAGTTATTCTTATGCTTGGCGTAAATATTATATCCAAGCAGTTTTCAGATGCAATTATGAAGTGGGAGCCAATTACAGAAATGATTGAAGAAGGCCTTGACCCAGAAGAGATAGAATGCATTTCAGTATCTATATCAGATACCCTTTCTGAATTTGGGCGAATAAATAAAACAGACCAAATAGTGCTCGACTTAGAGGATTTTCTGTATGATGTATTTGAAGAGTACGGAGTATGTGTGTCCGATGATCTTCTGAGTGAGTTAGTAGAAATTGTGCTAAAAACACACAACAGCAAAACTAGAACCAAAGAATAAATAGAACTAAATAAAAGAATCTTTATAGATATAGATATTACTAAAATGAATTAAAAATTATCACAGGCATCCATACAAAAAACAATTTGTTCTTTTGTTAGTCTCTGAACGATATCAGATTCTACAAACAAGGCACCTGGCGTAAGAACTCCTTTTTTATCCCGCAGAGACTCTTGGTTGCTCAAAATGGTCTCTGCAGATACTAGAAGAGCAATTGGGGTGGTTATGTAGCCAGGGTCTGGCCCAGAAACTACTGTTTTATACGTTACATTATTATTGTTTTTATCAACGCCTTGCGTGAATATCTGTGTTTTAAACCCGGAGCATAGAATTTCCTGCACGGTTGGGCCTTCTGTCCGCACAGCACCGCAGCTCAGAATATCTATGTAGTCATAAGCAATTGACCGCAATGCCCCCGGCAGAAGGTAAATAATACCAATAAGAACAGAAAGAAACACAAGATAAATCATCCCAATAAATGAACCAACCGCGATGTAGCAGTGGCACATTGGATATATCCCTCCAAGAAGACTGCTAGTCTTTCTAAGAACATAGGAATCAGATCCTGGGAAGATTGCTGCATACATATTTATCTCTGAGCAAAAGAATGGCATTTTCTTTACTTTTGGTCTTTTGCTTACCAAGTTTTCTTTTTTTTCTTCCCTACTTGCCAGTTCCTTTCTTGGTTTATTACTATTATTTCCTCGCTTTTTAAGGTTGTCTAGACTTGTTATAATTGTTTTGAATGTTCCTAGGTTGATTCTGCTATTTACCAAATGCATATAGGATTCCATGCTATTTGCTCGGCCATCTCTCTTCTTTATCTCTTGCATAGTATGTACAACTCCTATGTCCAGAGGAAGAGAGTCAAACCCGCACGCATGCGCAATAATCACGCCCTCACTCTGTGCTTTCTCTCCAAACATCTTCATACTCTCTTCTATAAACCCAGGCTCTCCGGTGCAGTCAACATAGTGGGAGTGTGCTCTAATCGCAGCCTCCACTATACCTAGTCCGGTTATTGCAAATGGCCCTATACAGTTTATAATTACTCGGTACTCCTCAAATATTTTTGCTAACTTTCCTATGTTATCCACACCAGTTATGTGCGTAGATACCCGAGAAAGCGCATCCGAGTTTGCCTTTTTCACAGAGATGTCATGAAATGTTCTTTCTAGCTTTTCTTTGCTCCTACAAGTCACACCAACAGATAATCCGGATCTATGCTCTAATATGTACTCAAGTAGCTTCTGTGCTGTAAATCCATTCACACCACAAATTAGCACATCCTTTCTTTCCTTCTCTTCTGTCATAGATCTTTTCAAATAAATAATTAATTAATATCTTTAATTAATTCGAATTTCCTGTTGGTGTGCCATTTCTTCTTTTATATTCCTATTTTCTATTTAGATTATTAAACTTGTTTCTCTCCTGCTCTCTGGTGGTAAATGGAGTGTTTCCCATAGATCCACAAAAAGTCATTAGAATGTAATTGATTATAAGAAAGGAGAAATAAATACTTCTTCTTTTTCTTCTTTTTCCAGTTCCCATCCGTCAGAAACCAATAATCTCACTTCCTCGTCTGAAATAGGAGCGTGCGAAAATTGACAGTTCTTTCTTCTACAGTTTTTCTTTATGTGGAATAACTTGCACGGGAACTTTGACAGATCATGTGAAAAAGTGCAATTGCTGCCTCGTATACATGCATTTTTTACAAAATATTTGCACAAGTGTTTCTTCTCTGGCTTGTATGGCATGCTTTTCATCATTATATTCTCGTCGCTGCTGTCTTTTGCGCCGCTTGTTTTTACTCTTTTGTTTCTTGCTATTTCTCTAGGTTCTCTGAAGCGAGGTACTGATAATCTTGGAAGCCGTGGCAGTTCTATAATCGCCATTTAAATTTAATTTTTATTCGCTTGTATAAATAATATATTGACAAATTAGCTTTCTTGAAAATAAAGGGCTCACAAATAATTTTTATATGGAAAAATCTAGTAGAGCAGGAGGAGAAGGCGATATGGCTATTTCTATAAGAAGAATTTCACTAAAATTATTAGGAGCCAGGGTATTTATTGCTTTAGTAATTCTTGGTGTGGCTCAGTCTTTGGATATAAAAAAGACATTGGAAGACAGCAAAGAGACTGTAAGCAGACTCTTATGCATAGAAAACAAAACTGACGCAGAAAGAATTGTTTGTGCAGAGAGTAACAAGATAGATGTGTCAGAGTTAGGAGGAAATGCTACTCTTTCTGAGGCTGAAGAAAGCGGAGAAGAAAAGAAGGCAGAAACAGAGAAGAAACTGGCCATATGCAAGAGCAGTTTAGAAAAAGCAGATGAACTACTGAGAAGGCAGGAGTACTTAAGTGCTTTGAACTACTTTAATATTGCACAGGGGGAGTATATTCTGTCTGGAGTAAGCGATGAGTCTTCTTCTATTCTTAAAGAAATACAGGATGGGAAGTACAAAACACTTCTCAAACTGGGAAGATTTGAAGAGATAATTGATGAACTAAGGAGCAGTGTAGATGAGGATGATGTTAAATTGGTGCAGAAAGTATCTGGATATATTGCGCTGAATATTAACTCACCTGAGGATGAGCTGAATCATGCGCTATTAGAATGTCCACATTCTTCTACTTTGCTAGTTCTTAGGATAGAGCAGAGAATACGCCACAAGATCTACAATCTAGCTCTTTTAGATGCAGAGGCACTTTCTGAGATAGACGGGCAAAAAGAGAGAGGAGAACTGCTGATGATGCAGTGCTACTTTTTGATGGGGAAATCTGGGAAAGGCCTGTCTATACTAGAAACCATGTCGCACCTTACTACTCTTTATGAAAAGGCTAGCTTCATTATGCAGAAGTACAGTAATCTAAACAAAAACAACTACCGATCTACACAGCACAATTACATGGTATGGAAGAACTTTGTAGATAGAGATTTAGTATTGGCAAAGCTGATTGACTCGCGGTTTGTTCCCACAATCTTTACGTACACCAAGATACAGGGACTGGAAGTTCTTGTTCGAATGGGAGTGGAGTTAAAGCATCCAACAGAGCAAATACTTGCACACTCTAAACAAATTCTTGTAGAGGGCAGTAAAGGCGCGATCAAGACCCAGGATGACTGGAAGAGGCATATAATTCTGATGATTAATCTGGGCAGTTTCTCCGATGCTTTTGATATTATTAAGATAAATATGACAGAAGGCACTCCTGCGTACGATGAGGTAAAGGAGCTATACAATCAGAAGATAAAAATAGCAAGAGAAAAGAAGGCAAAGATAGACGAGATTAAAAGAAAAAAGAAGGAAGAGGCTGACCAGAAAGCAATAGACGATGCAATCAAGAAAGAAAAGTCTCGTTCAGAGAGGAGAATCCGAGTGGTTAAATCTAAAAGAGGAAGAATTGTTGATGCAAATGGATTCTACAAATTCCTTGGTCTAAAGCCTGGATCTTCAGCAAAGGAGGTAATGAGTGCGTACAGAAAAATAAGCAAAAAGGCAAACATCTCCTTAAGAAAGAATAGAGGTAACCCGGAAGAGAGTAAAAAGGCCAATGATTTAATTGTAAGAGCAAACAAAGCAAAAGATGTACTTTCAAACAAAATAAAGAAGGAAGAATATGACACAGGCTATTACATGACAGATAAAGAGAGAGATACATGGGGGTACAATGACGATGCAATGGATCAGTACGAAGAAAATAACGGTTCATACGGAGGTGGAAACCATGGCGCCGATTTATTCGAAATATTAATGAATGGCGGCGGCTTTGGCGGAGGCTTCGGTGGAGGCTTTGGCGGCGGATTCGGCGGTGAAAGCTTTGGCGGCGGCTTTGGAAGAGGCGGCACCCGCAGAGTAGTTTACTATATGTAATCAAGTTGCCAATAGATTTGGTTCACTAATAAATAGTTTTATGTGATTCTTTAAATATGTGGAAATTCACTTTTTGTTTCTGTATACTGTTCTACTTGATTTTTGCATGATCTGTAAAATCCCTGTTGCTTTTATTATAAGCGCTGCCTCTGCCTTTACAATATTATGTGTAAACTCAAATAAATCTTGAAATAGTAATTGCACTTTAAATTTACTTATACTTTATTCTCTAATTGCTCTTTCCTACTGTATAATACGTATTGTCGCCGTATGAGAACTCTTCTGCCTTGTCTGGTGTGGGCATCAGATCTATAGAACATATTGATATACCTTTACACATCATACTTGTTGGTGGCTGTAAAGTAAGATCTTTTAAGTCTGGCAGCTCATTCTCTGAGTTAAAGAAAGAAACCATCCTCCCATTCTCTAAAACTAAATTCAGCAGCTGGTCATATCCTAATAGGCAGCCAGTCACCTCTATGCCACCAAAAAAGCATATTCTTATATCTTTCCCCAGATATTTCTCTAGGTCAAAGACTTGGTCTCTTTTACTTGTCTTCTCGTCTTCTTGCATATTTTTTTAGTTGGCATGTCTCTTATTTCTAGAAATGTCCTGCTTAAACTATCCTACAACGGGCAACAATACCACGGATTTGCATACCAGCCAGGGCTACCAACAGTAGAGCACCATCTATTTCTGAGCCTTATCAAGAATAAGTTTGTAGAAATAAATAATGGGCTACCTATTCAGCCAAGCACATTTGTATGGCCAAAGGAAATACTTGCCTCAATTGCACTAATGAAGTATTATAAATGTGGTAGAACAGATGCAGGCGTGTCTGCTGCAGCTCAGTTTATATCAATACACCTTCCATCCAATACTGAGAAGGACTACCCATACGATATAATGATCAACCAGCATCTTCCAAATGATATAAGAGTGCTTGGATGGATGTTTGTGGACAAAGAATTCAGCGCAAGGTTTACGTGTATTTCTAGAGAGTATGAATACTATTTCTCTAAAAGGCCAGCAAGCATCCTAAACATAGAAACAATGAAAGATGCATCTAAAAAGCTACTTGGTACACACTGGTTTGGAAGACTTTGTAAACAGGAGAAGGAGTCGTCAAAACAAAAAAGGCTTGAAAAAAAGCAGAAACTATCCCCTGATGAAGTAACGGCAGAAGAGTCTGTTCGTACCGTAGATTTAATTAGTTTTGAAAAAGTTTGCACCGATGAAATAACAGGGGTGGAAGTGTACCTCATGAGAATTAGGGCCAGGTCATTTTTGCATAATCAAGTCAGAAAGATTTTCTCTTTATTATTTATGGTAGGCTCAGGGTCTGCTATAGAAATAGAGAATATCTTAAATAAAAATGAAGTACAAAAACATGACATAAAACTAGCCGAGCCTGCTCCTCTAGTTCTTTCTAGATGTGTGTTTTCTAATACAGATTTAAGCCATTTAAAGTCTTCTCAGGCAAAGAACCACCCGCATATAAAAATATGTGAAGATGTTCTTGTTAGGTCCAAGGTAAATGAAAGAATTACAAAGGAATTCTTTTTATAGCCTGATATAACCTGCAATTAAATTTATTCCTGTTTGGTCTATGCTATGGCAGTTTTTTGTCCTTTATAGAGTGCTTGCTTTTCTTTAATAAATCTTGTTTAATTTGCTTTTCTAGAAATCTTGTGGCCTTCTTTGCTGTTTTCAGGAGAGGGCTGTCCGTGCGGCGAAATAATGCCTTTCTACTCTTCCATATAGCGTGCTGTTCTTTAAGTGATGGAGATTTCTTTTTTGCTTCAATACTTATACCCATTTAATATTTTTCTATTTTTATAATGCGTTCTATTTAAAATAATAGTTTAATGCATTTAATATTCTATCTTTACACATATGAAGTAATGCAATAATAATTCTAATTATGGATCTCAGATTGGATTTAATTGTATTTGTTTTTTTGCTATTTATGATTATGTACTGGTTAATACAATGTAGAACAATCTATATTAATGGAGGATTCTACGCTATAAATATGTATTTTGTTTGAACTTCAAATTGTTATGTATTATTGTCTTTTTATTCCATGTAGTATATAAATATTCTTAATTTTAAAATAAATATGTATATAATTTACTTATAGGGCAATGGCATATGAAGAGGTTTATTCTAAAATTACAAACAATTTATTATAAAAATAATCTAATGTAGTTAAGAGTATACACTGATAAATAACAGCAAATACATAAATTGAAAGTTTAGTGGCACTTTATATACATTTCGTATTTTAAGTTCTATTTTTATTAGAAGCACCCATTTCTCTGTTGGTAATGCATGTTTACACATGTAAATTAGTAAAAATCTGGATTGAATAAAATTTAAATATAACATACACTATGTATTAGGTAACAGAAAAGAAATAATTGGCGACAATAGATGTGGCAAAGCTGAAAGTATTCTTGAATAACTCAAATAATACTTAACTAACATGAAATATAACAATTTTTATTAAAAGATACTTGCTATTTATTAATTTTAGATTATTGTTTTATAGTAGTAATATACGCTAAAATATCTGAAGTACTAGGCTCTTCTATTATAGGTCTGTCTGGATCGTAAAGAACATCATCTTCTGTGTTTTGTGAAATAAAATCAGCCTCTTTTGTGATTTGCACGGTGTCATAAAACCTTTGAAGATGCTTATTATATCCGGATATTTCATCTGTAAGTGTGATAAGCAGCTGTTTAATGTTGTTTAGTGCAGGAGTGTCACTATCTATGCACTTTTTCCTAAAACTATGAGATATGCAAATAATGCTTTGAATATGAGAAAGTTGGTGTACTGTTTTTAGAATTAGCTCACTTAATACATATTGTACGTATTCCTCTTCATACCTTCCCCCTACAGTGTTTCTAAGCTTTGAACTTCTCTTTTTCTTCTTTGAATTCCCTGCATTGCTGGATAAAAATGTATTTGTAATGAAGGAGCGGGTGTAAACAGTTTCACAGTCATCGTCTGCATACATTCCATTAATTATTTCTTCTCTTTCTCTATCCTTTCTCTCACGCACAGACATTAGTCTCTCTTTGTTTTGAGTGTACTGTTCTAGTGTATTCTGTATACTTTCAGAGTACGCTCTTACTTTCTGTAATATATTCTCTAGAACATCTGCTGTTTGGACATAAGAATCATCTGAAATGTATTCATTGACTCTTTTATACTCTTCAATTCCTACAAGGTATTTAAGTCCTTTAGGAACTGATCCCAATTCTAAATTTAGCTCTGCCGCTGAAAGAATGTTTTTCTGTGACAGAAGAATATCTTCCATTCTCTGCATGTTACTTGGAGTCTGATTGCTTTTGTCTGAGAAGAACTCTCTCCACAGGCCTAGCTTCATTCTTAAGCTACACACTTTGTCTTTTGCTGCATTTCCAGCGCGTAAATAACAATTTAGTGCTTCTTTGTGATCGCCCTCTCTCTCTAAAGAATCGCCAGATATAAGAAGAAGTGACTGGATTGTGTTAATAAATACTTCAGAACACATTTCTTCTTCTGTGCACTCTCCTCTGCATAGTTCATTAATGTCTAAAAGATATAGATAAAAATCACGTATGCACTCCTTTTCAATGCTTAGCTTAAGATCGGTAATAGAAAATACACACTCCTTATTTGCATTCTCTTTTCTTAAAATATATTGTTTTACCATATAGAGAGTCTGCTTCTTCTTATCCTTTGCCACTTTTGCTATTTTAAGCCTTCTTTCAATCTCTTCGCTAATACAGAATGGGTTTATCCTGCCTGACTGGCCAACTAGTAGAATATCATTAGTTTCATCGTGTGGTGTATCGGTGGCGTGCATTATAATGTAGCATAGAGTGTATGCATACACATTCAAAGCAGATTGAAGCAAAACACTCGGCGAAATAACTCCAATGCACTTCTTTATAATTCGCTCTGGAATTGCATACTGGTCTATGCTAAAGAACGATTTGGGCGAGATGGTTTCTTTGTAGGTAAACTTCTCTGCCAGAATGACAATAAGTTCTGGCCTGCAGAAGAATAAATATATCTCCACTGCAATATTACACCATGAGTAAATAGTATTGATTGTCTTAGTATCATTTACATAATTTGGCTGGCCAGTCTCATTACTATGTGCATTTAAACAAAGAATACAATCTATCTGCGTAATGGAATATTTTTCTATTTGGTCTAATATAGGCCTGGCTCTCTCTCTATCCTCATTGAATAGCAATTTAACTATCTCAAAAAGAGTCTGTGTTTCTATGCGGTTTGAAAGAATACTTGCAGAAATAGCATTCAAGTACTTGGATATTGACAAACCATGTTTCTTGGCAAGACCAACTGCGTTGGGTAGTTCTTCAGATAAAACCAGCTTATCTATCTTATTCTCTAGCATAAAGCCTAGATAGAATGTTTCTAACATTCCATATACATCTACCATTATAATAGATATTTCAGAAGCAAAAACTATTCTGCTGTCTTTTCCTGTTCGAGCTATTCTTGTTTGCACTAGTTCTAGCGCATTGCTTCTAGATAGCCCCAGAGATATTTTGTATATTTCTGTCCAGGCCTGGGCCTTTACAGATATGAGTATGTATTGCTGGTCTGTGATAACAGGTAGGATTGATGAAACATTTTCTATAATCTGCGATATAGAGCTATCGCATTGAATATGAAGAGATTGGCGCTCGCTATTAAGAGTAAGCACCGCTTTATAGCCACATAAGTCAATTTCATGCCCATCCACAATACTTGGTATTTCTGTAGTGTATTCAGATTTCTTAGCTGAGCATTGTATGCTTAGTTCTTTAACTCTTTCTTCCATTGGGATTTTCTTTTCTGTTCTATCTGCCAGTGTAGCTTGATTTTCTATTTCGGTTGCTGTATTTGCTTCTCCTTCTCCAGCCACTCTGCTGTATATTTTTCCATTTACTTGATAGGTTATTTTTCCATTGTATAGTGCGTGTAAGTTGTTTGGCACTCCTTCAAGCTTTATCTCCCTACTATACATAGGCGGAGGAATTGGACACTTATATAAATTGTACATAATCAGCCTAGCACCATCAATGTCTATCACGTCACGGCCGGTTCTATTAACACACGTGCTCTGTTTTATTGTTACAATATGCTCTGTTAGGACTAGCTTTATTTGGTGGCTAGGCATGATTATCATGTCTTTTATTGCACCGGGCAGCACAGAAGTATTCCTGTCTGTTGTGCATACACTAGCTATATTCTGGTTGGCCTTTAGGTAGAGACAGTTGTTTTTAATATAGTATACTTTTAAGTATAACTCACAGCCTTCTCTGTTGACAATGTACATATAATCATCTTTTGTTCTTATACACACAATGTCATTGCCTTCTATGTTCTCCTCTTTTCGATCGCACTCTCTAAGATGGAATAGCTCCTTGTATTTAAGCCCATTCCTTTCTAAAATATGTATTGAGTTGTTATCTGTCACTGCATATATGAGTGAAAATCTGTTGTGCCAGGTGGCTAGCTTATATGATGATCTTTTCTCAAACACAACACTATTCTTTTCCAAAATGTCCTGCACCTCTATGTTCTGATCATTAGAAACAGAAACTCTTTTCATACTGTCTACATACGCACTTTCATTGAGCAGGTATTTCTTTGTCTGCATAAGCCGGCTGTTCATAATTCTATTACAAACAGTAATTGTGTCTGCAATTGGCTCTAGATTATACGCGTATATACTTAATATCGAGGCAGCCATCACCAATATATACTTTCCGTCAGATGACCATTCTGCATGCACGGTTTCCTTCAACGGGCTTTCCTGTACAAGTTTTTTTAGCTCATCGCTGTACTCTTCCGTTCTGACCATGTTAAAGTGCCTGTCAAGTAGAACTATTTCATTTTCTGTAAGTATAATGACACTCCCGCTGGTTTGGTTAAAAAATGTATTTAGAATATGCACGTCCATATCCCCAACGCACTCCCATTTATATCCGTTCTTTTTTTCTGCCCAAAATATATGCCCAGATTTTGCAGCTACTTTAAAGACCGCTCCTTTCTCTTCAGTATAAAATGCAACTGGAGTAATCCCTTCTTCAATTCTTCCTGTCATCTCTACAGATGTTTCTTCATTATATACAATTCCATTGCTTAAAACAAAACCATTTGAAATCAGTGGGTCTTTATATCTGTCTGTTTTTGCATGGTGCAGTACAATATTCTCCATAAAATTTTTCTCTCCAGTAACAGTCTTATAACAGCATGCTAAGAATCTCTTAATTATCAAGCAATAAAATATAAAATTTAATGCACCGCCAAATTACTCTTTCATAGGGATACTGCCCAATTTCTGTAGTATTTTATAATTTCGGGTTATTTCTTGTTATATACTTAAATAAATCCATTAACTAACAAGAAATTTAAATATCAGAAATGCAATTGGCCACAGATGCTTTAGTATACAACCCAAATCAACTCTAAAATTATAAAATAGGATAAATAAAGTGTATGCTGCGAAATTTACTGATAAATTATTTAAAATGGTTTTTAGTTATTTTCATTTTTAGTACACTGTAACTCGGTAATATTCCAAAATAAAATTTGTAATTTTAAGCTATTTCGGGATATTCATAGTATTATACTGTTTTAACATGAATATAGTATGTCTATTGTCTTTATATTTAGTGTTATTATATAACTGAAGATTTCGGAATTATCCTCTTCTTCTACCTGTGTACTTTGATGTTCTAGGAACAGCCAGGCCCTTGCTCTCTCTTTTATTTTTCTTTCTGATGATCCAATCTCGGTAGGAAAGGTCTTTGTTTGCCACTGGCTTTTTAAATGTGGAGGTTTTCTTTTTTTCTTTTATGTGCACAGAACTTCCTTTTGCTCCTGCCATCTCAAGAATAAGATAGGTTTTTCTTTTCTTTTTACTGTCTTGGTTCTCAACAAGTGTTCCTCCTGCAAATCCGTACTTTGAAGCACACTTAATAATAGACTCCATCTGCTTCTCTGACTCTGGGTAGTACTGCAGAACAGCCATCCCTTTTGTTTTTAATACATCATAAAGTGTATAGAAAAATGCATTTAAGAGTTTTTTAGAGTCTTTCTGCACAGCAAGCCACTGAAGAACACTTACGCTAATGGCATAGTCAAATGATGCACTTTTAAAGGGAAGCCCCTCTCCAATATCAACAGCTGCAAAGTCGCAATAGTCAGACGCTGGCTGTTCTGCGTACATAATCCCTTCTACCCTTTGCTTGGCTAGTACCAACATATCGGTACTTATATCAATACCAACAGTGTAATTGCTATTATCAAGAATATTCTCCGTGCTTATACCACTTCCACAGCCTATATCCAGAATAAGAGAATCTGTTGGATTTCCTAATATCTCTAAACACTTCTGGGTTAGTTTGCTTTGTATATTATTCAAACTGGTACTGCTGTTGTACTTTTCTGCTACATCATCAGTATAGTATATTTTATTTCCATAGCTCTCTGGTCTTACCATATGAATTAAAATAATAAAAAATTTACAGCCCCAACGGCTAAATATAAAGAATGCGTTAAGTACTTTATTTCCTTTCATACAGCAGTGTGCTGTATATGTAAACAAGAATGAGTTTTTGTTTGTGTTATATTTCTGTTAAATATCTAATTATTGTGTTAAGTATCCTTATAAATAAATCTTTAAAAGCTAGAAAAAGTTCGAAAGTAATAAATTATTTCATCATTGGTAAATTTACTAATTTATAAGTGTAAGCAAGTAAAACACTAAAAACTCGTCTAAATTATTATTCTAACGTTTTTATATAACAAACCGGCACTACATATATTATATAAACAGCAAAATTTAAGGATAGTTTGTGAGTTCTTATGAATATATTCCAAATATATTCTAGTAAATATCTTAGTTTAAATTGTTTTAGGTTTGCTTTTTATTGAATATATAGCTTTATTTCGTGTAATTGTACTTATTATTACAAATAAAACTAATTTTTAGTTATTTCTAGTTGTTTGTAAATAGAAAATCTTATTGTTTCTTCTGTAATATGTTTATTGTGGGAACTTAAAGCAATAAAATAAGAATAAAGGTATTTAATAATCAAAGCACAGTAAAAAAATATAATCTATGCTTTATAGCTGTAAAATACTCTGAAGTACATAACAGTAGATTATAGAACAAGTAATGGGGACAAATAGGTATTTCAAGGCGGTTATGTATAAATATTTGATTGGAGTAAGAGAAATAGTACTTATTCCTTTTATTATTATGAGTTTTTGGGATATTTATGGAGAGAATATGAGCTACTATGCAAAAATACAGATAAATATGCAGCATAGATGCATAAGCTTTGTGTTGTTAGTAGTTACACATTTATTTTACAATAGTCCAATAAATAGAAGGCAGAGAATATTTCCCGAAATTAAAAATATGAATATAAAAGGCCTTTTATCGTGTGCTGTAACTTAATGTGTTTAGTTTCCATTCATGCCCGGCAGGGAACATATGTACAACTGCCATCCCTGCTTAAAAACATCTGAAGAAGTGATAATACTCGAAAAGTCTTCAGAAATACAAAATAAATGGATACTCACATGGGAATATAGCTGCAAGGCACACAGTGTTCGGAATGGGATCTGTAAAAATCACGATATCCTCCATTCATTACGTATACATTAGGGAACCGTAAGTATGGATACGTGCTTGTAAGTCTGTCCTCGTTTCTTAAAGAAATGGCCAGCCTTGGTGCTCGGACAGAAGAGTACTCACAATACAGGATAATGATTAAAGAGGAGTTTTGCTTGCTTTCCACCATGTCATTAAAGAAGTTTGCCATCTCCTTTTGTGTTGTTATGTTAAGTGCTGTTTTTATGTGTCCTCCCAAATATTCGTACTCAAATCGGCAGTCAATAATGACCACTCCAGGAGTATGAATCATTGTGGCTACAGTTTCTGTAGAAACCCTAAGAATGCTGTCTGATGGCCCTGTCCCCATTGCAGGCAGAGCATACGTATATGCATTTATTTCAGAATTCGCGTGTGGAGAAGAGTTTGCGCCAGTGTGGGTCTCAGACTTATTAATTAGTGTGCGTCTGCTCCAGTGCTGGTTGTTCTGGTCTGTTTTGCTTCGCTGCAACCGAACCAGTTTCTTTGCTGCTCTCGATGTGTTTGTGTCCACCTCCTGAAAAATCAAAGATCTTCTTTTTTTATCAGAAAATGAGGATTTACATGGTGACTGTGTGGGTGCGTGTGAAGGCCTCTCCTTTGTCCTTCTTTTTTTCTGCGAGGTTCCAAACTTGAGAGAGCCCTTCTTAGTCTCTGCAGGCAGAATGCAAACTTCAGTATTAAATATTTCTTCAAAGGATGCAGGCACTTCCTCAGAGGTGTTTTTCAATTCACACGCAAAAATACCTTCATAATCCCCAGAAGAACTCAAGTCTTTTGGCGACAGGCACCTACCTTGCACAAATGTCTTTCCAATTTCTTCTATTTCTCTGTCATCTAATATAATATCTAACTCAGATTCTAAAGTACTCATGAAGGGCAGTACAAAATAAAAATATATATAGGCAAACAAGAAAGAATATTCAATCAGGCCCACTTTAAAACATATACAAAACAATCTTGCTATTTTTGAATATATTACGGTTTGTTTACTCCTGAATGTTTGAAAGGTTTACAATTAGGACAAAGCCATACGAAACAAGTCAGTTCCAAAGCGACAAACACTTCTCTGTAATGAAAATGTTTTCCCTAGACCCAATAGGGGCACTTGCAGCAGATGAATTTACTGCATGGATAATCCTCACTCTCCTTCTCTGCTTTATATTCTATTTATACTCCATTCTTAAGAAAGCCGCAAAGAAGAGGATATTCGGCCCAAAGAGAACCGGAATTGCAAAAGAGGATGTGCCTATTAATATAGAGGACACGGAATAAATAGAGGGTTCCAGTTATATTACTAGAATTTACACAATAAACCATAGAAAATCAGCCTAACCTGCTTAATAGCCCAAAACATTTCATATTATAATATTTATTATCACAACAGCAGGCGCACCCCAAAATAGATTAATCCACTATAAATATGGCATAAGTGACTATTTCTAGCTATTTGGGGACCCTGTCCTTTTATAGAGTAATTAGCCTTTTCTGTGCTTTTATAGCCAGCATGGAATTATTTTCATTTTCGTTTTATTTTTTAGTCCCTGCATGTCCAACCAAGTTATAGATGATATACAGACACTGAGAGTATTAGAGAAAAGTGAAATTCCAATGGGAAAGGGAAGCAGACAGTGCAGATCCTGCATGGGAAGAAGAGGACTGATTAGACAGTACGAATTAATGATGTGCAGAAGATGCTTTAGAGAATACGCAACTGACATTGGTTTTGAGAAGCTAAACTAAATAAGAATAAATCCAAAATAAATTTATCCGTTAATCATGCACTGTAAGACAGAACTTATAATAGCTGGAAATGTCTTTTAATAAATGGAATAATCTGAAATTATTATTATTATAATTATGAATGTTTTGGAATATTTCTTACTATACGATGAGTCTATTTATAAAAAAATAAATATTTTATTTCGGGGTATATAATAAATTCAAATTCTATTTCTGGGTGTTTGAAGGGCCTTTCTATATTATAATAACAATAAGATTCATATAATTTATTAGACTAAATATGCAATTTGAGTTAATAAAAATAGTATTAAGATATAAATATGTGCAATGCAGTACAGAGACTGTGTTAGAATAAGAAAGAAACAATATTAAGTTTTGTTTTTAGGTTATTCAATATATTAGGATATTACAGTGGGCAATTTAAGGAGTGCATAGTGGGTTATTTATAATCTTATGTACATATCTTGATATTTATTACTTTGAGCTATTTATTTAGATATTTTTGTGTAAGAATAGACTAGGCAATTATACATACAGATGAGTAGTGCATACACGTACTTACTAAATATTTATGGTATTTTCATGTGTAGTATGTTCGACATTTCCTTGTATATTACAATAACTCAAAATAATCCTAAATTAAATATACATGTACTAATAAGTAAACATAAACTGTGAATAAAATTACAGCACAAATACATCTAGAGATTAAAATATCAATAGAAAGGAAGCATATATATTCACTGAATTTCTAGAACACTTTATATGGCAGCCCATCGCAGCCTGTTATTTTTGGATATAATACAAAATATTCCTTTTATTTTTTGGTGGATTTACTCCTTGCCTCTTTTGCTGCAGCTCTGACCGGCTTTGTCTTTTGTGCTGTCTCCTCTACAACTGGCCTTGCAGCTGATTTTTCAGCTGGCTTTTTCACTGAAGATTTTGTAACTGACTTTTCTGAGGATTTTTTTGGCTTATCTGCAGATTTTTTTGGCTTATCTTCAGTAACAGAAGATTCCTTTTTGGATGTTTTTGCCTTTTTATCCTTTGGCTTTTGTGCCTCTTTAGAACTTACAGACTTTGCAGGTAATTCATTGTTTTTCTCAGATAGACGCAATGATGCCTTTCTTCTTGGCCTCTTTGTTCTCTCGGATTCCTCTGACTCTGTGCTTATGTCATCCTCAATTACCCCTGGCAGGAGCGGTGTTTTCTTTGTTCTAATGGCTTCAATTACTGACCATATTATAATTATGGCAGACACAGAGTGTGGGTAGTATATACACAGCCTACTGTCATATTTCTTTATTAAAAAGTATACCAGAACTGAAATATCTTTTACTATACATTGTTTAATTCCTGGCCGTGTCCTTCCATCTATGTACATCACTAGAAGTATGCCCAGGCTAAATGTTTGCACTCCAAATACGTGCGATATGCACTGGACTGCTGCCATGTCCACAGTGATAAATATGTCTAATACACAGAAAATAGAGCAAAGTAGCAGAGAAAGCCTATTTTTCCTTGTTTGCAGCGCTAATTGCATACAGACTGTAAAAAAGAATGATAGCATAACTGTAATTGCTGTATTTTTCAGTGGCACAGACTGGATAGTCAGTAGTATATATACATAAAGCAGGGATATGCCCACCTCGTGGATGCCTTTAAATCCTCTTCCATTTAAAAAGCAGCAAGTTATCCCCGCCCTTGGTATTAGTTTTATCTCATCCAGCTCTTTGATTATTCTTGTATACTTTTCTATGCTCTCTGATATACTCACCGCCCAAACAAACATATAGCAAATAAACCAAATATTATTTATTAGGTATTATGTATAAAATGCAGAAATAAGATACTATAACACAGGAAAGATAATAGAGATATACCACTGCACTGTATGTCAATGGAGCAGGGCATGGTATATAAATGGAAGGTATTCTGTATACGCTGTAATATATTATGAAATACAAACAATAATATATAGAAGGGCTTATTCTACATATGTATAATACAATACTGTATAAATAATTCTTTATAACTCGATTGTTATTGTAATTTCAATATCTAGTCATAAACCTAAGTGCCTTTATCATATGCGAAGAACTTCTTATAGCAGTGCTTTAGTTAATTTAATTTCAATTTTAAGCCAATGCATGTATTTATAATTTTAGTATACCCCATACACAGCCACAGATGAAATTATTTTTATTTTATAGGCCATACATTATATTCTGAAATACTTCGGATTGTGTGTTATATATTCTATTCTCTGTGCATTTTTAGTATGGAATATTATATGAGTGCGCACATTATATTGATTTTGGGTTATATTAGGATTATTTATGTGCAACTCCTATTTTGTGTATATTATTATAAATAAGATATGAAATAGTGACTGAATATTAAGGATAGTTTATTTATCTGCTGGATTTAGCAACTCTTTCAACTTCATCTCTCTTCTTAACTGCGTATGCATTTGGGTTTCCTCTTGATGCAGCAATAAGTTCATCTGCAATTGTCTCTGGAAGTGTTTTTGTGTTCTTAAATGCAGCCTTTCTCATTCCTGTGGTAAGGAATTCTATGGCAAGATTTAATCTTCTAAGTGGGGATACATCTACAGATGATCTTTTTGCGGAACCACCTTTTCCTACTCTGGCAGTTGATTCTCTTGGCCCAGAGTTAATGCATGCATCAACAAGAATTTGCATTGGGTTCTTTTTGGTAAGTCTTTCAATGATTATGAATGCATCTCTTACTGCCTTAAGAACTAACAGTGCCTTGCTTGTGTTTCTTCCATGTCTCATAAGACCGTGTGCTAGTCTCATAGTCAATGGCATGTTTGCCTTTGCAAACTGTTTCTTACAGTAGCTTACTCCAGTGTGAGGAACAGATACTCTTGTGTGTACGTTAATGTACGGCTTTAATGACACGTCGTTGATTTCAATATCATCGTAACTGTATCTTCCAAATAATTTAATTGTGTTTTCTTTAGACTCCACTTGATTCATCCAGGGTGAATAAAAAAATGCAAAAAATGAATTCAATACTCAGAGTGAGAATACTGCCCATAGAGACGGACATAAGCAAAATTATAGTTACAAAAGAGTCTAAAGTAATAGTACCGGTTATAGTAGACGGGTACACGCTGATTAGTGAATTAAAAAATGGGAGACTAATAATTGGCGTGGCAATACATACTAAAAATGAGTTGAAGGATTTTTCTTGTTCTGTTCTAGGATACCGCAGCATAGAAGAGTGTCTTAAAGCATTAAGTATTTCTGATAGCCAGATAAATAATATAAATGTGGCCTATGACACTGCAGTGAGTATCCCAGAGGAAGATATGAACTGGGAAATAACACTGAAGTATCTTAAATCCATGTTTAATGACAATAATGCAGTATAGAAATTATTTTGATTTATATTTTAAGCTATTTTCAACTGTTTATTGATTATAGTGACTGTCTATTAAATATCTACTGGGGTGTACATCTGCGGGCGTCTTAAATAGCAGATTGTAGTGATGTTTGGCTTATTTGACTATAATTTAAAATTTGGATTGCTTGGAATTTTCAGTTTAAAAATAAAATATTTGTATTTACAGTGCAGTGTATTAAGCATATTCTATTTATTTGAGGATTATAAAAATTCTGTTTGGGCGTGTGTTGCATAGATAATAATCATTATAAATATATTTATAAGAAATTTTGGGTTATAATCCGAAAAACTTTATTTCACTTCTTTACCACTCTTAATAATTTCATCAATCATTAGAATTTTAGTAGCAACCAGCACAGCCGATTGAATGGTATTCCTTACTATCGCATAGTTGTCTACTATGTCCATCTCCATTGCATTCTTTATTTCTCCAGTTGAGATATCGATTGTTGCATTTTCAATTTCTGATGACTTTATTTTGGAAAGCATCTCTACTGAGTTGTACCCAAGATTCTTTATGAGTATTTTTGGGACAGCCATTAGAGCATCTTTCCATACGCTATAGGAAGTAGAGGACTCTGTTGTGCTCTCATCTGGGATTAGGGACTCTGCCAGCTTATAATATGTTGAAGACCCGCCAGGAAGAACAAATCCATCGGCCAGTCCACATGAGATGGACTTAAGAGCAGATTTAACTGCAGTTTCAAGATACTCCATCTGGTATGGAGATATTCCCTGTACTAGGAGTGTGCATGTTCTGTTAAATGGCGTCTTCTCTACAAAAGTGAACTTGTTATCTCCTATAGATACCTCTCTAACTAGCCCTGCAAACCCAAATACATTCTCATTCAATTCCTGTATGCTGGTAACTGGTGTGCATCCTGTCAACAGCTGCAGCCTTTCCATGTTCTTTCTCTTAGCTCTTCTAAGTGCAAGGATATTATATTTGGCAAATATCTCTAATGCGTGCTGATCTATTCCCTTCTGTGTTATAATCATAAACTGCGGGTTTTGATGCTGGTTGGTGATTGCAACTTTTTGTATCACCTCTAGCACCTTCTGTATTCTCTGCATAATTATTCGCCTTTCTCCTTCTTCCATCTTTAGTTTGTCTTCTGTTCTTCGATAGTAGAACTGCGCATTGTGCTCTGGCTTCTCGTACTCAAAGGAAATGTTAGTGCAGAGAATAAATACATTTTGCAGCCTCTTTGGCATCATCGGGTGTCTTCCTCCGTGATCCATAACCAGCCCTCGCACAATTCGAAGTGGCTCTACTGCATCAATATCTGCCATTTTTACAATTTCTAGCATCTTTAGATCAGTTTTGTTGTTTGTTCTAACTGTTTCAGCAGCAGAAACAATAATGTCTGAATACTTGGCAGCCTGCTTAGGAGAGAACTTTGTTCGAAGTGCTGTGTGTGCTAACTTATAAATTGTGTCCTTACTGTCCTCTATTGGCACTTTCATACTGCTTAATGCTTCTAAAATTGTCTTTTCTCTTTTTAGTAGCCCAGAAATAAGCACCTGCGGGTGCACTCCTTCATATATGTACTCTAGTGCCCTGTTTAGCATAGATGCTGATAAAATTACTGATGCTGTCACACCATCACCACAATCCTCTCCCTGCTGTGTCACCATTTTTGAAAGAAGAACTGCTCCAGGCTGTGCTAATTGGATGTTTTTTAACAGATTTAATCCATCCTTAACCAGACATATTTCCCCTGCCGGTGTAATTAGCAGCTTAACTGCCCCATTTGGCCCCAGCCCGTTTTTAATGGTTGCGCTTAGCTGTGAAATCGCTTCTGTGTTTAAAGCTATTGCCTGCCCTGCTTGCGTAATTTGTGTTTCTTTGCCGAGGTACGTCATACGAAATTGCGAAAAAATAAAATGAAAGTTTTAAATAGCGCAGTGTGTGAAAACTTGATTCTTTCTTCTACAAACCCAAAAGCCGTGCCACAAAGCATAAGAGATATAACAGATACAGAAATACTTTGGGGTTTCATCCGTATTCTGCATATTTTATACAGAATATTCCTGAAACAAAAATTTTATCAGTGTTCCTGGTTTTATAGCTATATTTTATAAATATACAGAATATGAATTCTGTATTTTCTATAAATTACTTACCAGTAATCATTATGAATTTTAAAATTATAATTTTGGGTTATAGTCATTTATGTTTACATTTATAATTGCTTATGGGTATTAAAATATCTATTTTTAGTATTATTTGCTCCTTGTAAATATGTACTGTATGGTGCTTTTAGTGTATTTTACTATCTAACACCCTTTTCTAGCTTGTCTGAAATAACGATTTGTTTCTTATTTGTTGTGGATCTATTTCATATTGTTTCTAAATAGAAAAATCTTAAAGAATATCTCATTCACTGCAAAGGAATTCTTTACTGAAGACTTTCATTCTATAAAATAAAAATACTTCTTATGCCACACGAAAGAAGTATAACAGCCTTAAGCACATTCTGCTAGATAAAAAGGAAAAGAAAGAAGAACAAGAGCAGTATACATGTAATTCATTATGAGAAAAGTAGAACTGCCTGTACAGGAAACTTCAATTATTTCACTGTTTCATCTATAATTGCATTTCTTTCCATACAATGTGTAATTAATAAACAAAGTGTAAACAATACAGCATATAATTGTTCATTGTATCAGAATAGCCCAAATAGATACGGCATGGACACTTCTTCCGCACATTTATCTTAATTGGGCAATTTGTGTAGTAGAATTTAGAGAAACGGTCTCAGGTGCATGCAATCGGTTGGTTAAATTCTAGATTTATTGTTTGGGGATGTATTTAATAATTGGCTTGTGTAGATATAAATACATCTGTAATAATACACAATAGATTATGAGTATCAAGGAAGAAGAGAGCAGAAGAAGAGTAGAGGTAGAGTATAGTGAAAGCGCAGGGGAGTACAACACTGTATTATCTTCCGAAGAAGGAACTTCTCTTACTGAAGAAGGCACTCCTCTTACCGAAGAAGGTGCTTGGAGAAACACAAAGGAATCAATTTTAGGAGACAAGCCGTACATACTGCCAAATGGAGAAGTATATAAGAAAAGAGTAAGGACTGTTATGACTCCCATCCAAAATGAATCACTTAGAAGATATTTTCAGCTTAATCCCTTTCCGTCATCAGAAGCCCGGGCTTCAATTTCTTCTTCACTGGGGATGCGGCCAAGAACAGTGCAAATATGGTTTCAGAACCAAAGACAGAAAATGAAGCACGTTCTTCAGGAGGAGGAAAAGATTAAAGAGTCAAGAGAAACAGCTGTATACACTGGAGAAAAGGGGGAAGAGCCACTGTGGGTCTTAGCGCATCTTTCCTGCACGATACTAAACACCAACAATGCAATGTAAATTAAGATAAACTTGCCTGATATTTATCATTTCGCTAGTTAGTGGGTACAAAACTGCTTTATTTGCCGGTATCACACTTTAGCAATAAATCTTTACTATAACTAATAATTAATATAGTATATACGTTCTACAATCTATTTTTTTAATACAAGTAGATTTACATACAATGCTTCTTTAATAGAATATTCCACTGTAGTATTAGCATGATATATAAATGATTTAAAGATATCTCAGTTATATTATAGTATGTGTATTTTTAATTAATGGATTGTTGTGTTTTTATTGCCATGGTGAATATACCATAAGTAATTTTAAACACATAACTGGTCAGTTATTAATTGAATAGAAATAGACTAAAAAGAACAAATAGAAAAGAGAATAAAATAGCTCCAAATAAATAAGCAGAGGAGAATAAAAATAGGAAAACAATAAAATATCTTTATTATTAGCACCTTACATATATAATTAGTATATATGAAAAGAGTATTATTTTCTATGTAATTTATTCGCATTAGAGAATTATATTATAATATGAGCTTCTAATAAATTAAGGAAAGAAATAATGTATAATATGAAAGAGCATTAACATGCACTATACATATAATCCGAAAAACTTAAAAAATATCAGAATCCGATATAACCCGAATTTATATTGCAAAACCATATTCTATGAGATAACAAAAGTAAAGAAAACTGCAACTATTTATAAATAACCCGCTAACATGAAATACAAACAGATGGGGGTATTTATTAGAATTAATGATTAGTAAATATTAAAATTTATTAAATTTACAATTTATATTTATAGATGGGTTTTATTATTTAATTTGTTTGCATACTGTGAAATATTCTAATACTTTATATATACTTTCGGGTTATATCTGTCTTAGTATATAATATTTGTTATAATTATTTCTTCAGTAATAGCACGTGTGTATCTTATTACTAATGATTTTTTTGTTACAGCTGTAAAATAAAAATAAACACTGCCGTGCCCTCCATTTCAGGATAAATTAAATCTATTTTTTATACCGGATTAGGGCTACAACATACATGTCAAGAATGAAAACAATAAATAACCAATCCAGTAATATCATTAGCAAGCATTACCATTCCAGGAACTTAATGAAGTATTACGCAGAAACTTCACAGTTACCACATACGGGATACAACACTTGCAATTTTTATTCAGAAGCACTCCTTTTTCTAATTCAATGCATTCCTTAGTGTACAGTTTGTTCTTTTTACCATACCTGTTTCTTAGCGTGCATAGACTGGGCTAAGTATATGTTCTGCTCCTATGCTTTTTATGCATATTTACAGTACGTTAATTTCAAATTCTATTCTATTATTGTTTATAAACTTGCCAAAATTGAATTCTCTATATATTATCTAGGTAAACTCGAGTTTTCTTATTATTTAGACGATATATAATTCTTAAGCGAATATAATATTTCAGAATCACTAGCATTCCAATCTATAGTATACCATCCAGCCAGGTAGTCATCCCGATAAGTTTTAATCTCACTTTAAGCATCTTTATAGTGTACTCTTCACAATGTATATCTTTGAATACCAAGCCTAACCAAAATTCCCACTTATTTTTAGCACTTTTCAGAATGGAGAGTTTAAATATCTTTCGAGATGCAAATTCTAATATGATTGTCTTCAACAGCAGTTCGGCCTCTCTCCATGTTTTATTTTTTCCTGCTGCCTCTTCTTCTTTAACTGGTTTGCCAATTCAATTAATTTCTTTTTAATAGTGCGCCAATTAGGATTATTTTCTACATTTAGTCCGCTCGCTATACGCTGTATTTTTTTGATGTGTGTAGATTATAAAGCGCATTGTAGCATCTCCAAATTGCCCTGAGTTGATCTAGTATGACTTCTAGGCTCTGGTTTAGTTTTACATCTTTTTTACTCGTTCCACTATCTCAGATTGAATTTGAAATCTACTAGACTACTTATTGAAAGAGGAATAGATGTCTTTTTCCAGCTTGTACATCACTCATTTTGAGCAGCTTTTCTTTTTGTATGGTAGCATTAACACTCCATAAGAAATTTTGATGTAGCTTCTTTGCAGTTAACTTATTGTCGCTATCATTACTGAATGTCATAGAATTAGTTATTAGTAAGTTTTTGCTCTCTATTAAATTCTTAATTTATATTTATATACCAGTTTTACTATATTTAATTTATTTGACATTATTTTTAGCCATTTTCATGTGATTTCTTAGAATTAGTTGTTTGTACACGTTAAACATCTATTCAATTAACATCCTATATTTATGCTTTTAAATTCTAAATTGGTTCATTTAATTCAATACCTTACCAATTTAAATCAATGCTTGGAGTATAATTTAATATTTGCCCCAAGTTTTGGTCACTTCAGCTATATATGAGGTTTTATACCCCAATAATATATAATTGATTTAACATATTCATGCTATTATTGATATAAATGTGAGCTGGTCAGGATTTATTAAAATTAAATATTATTTATGTCTTACATTCTATAATATCCCATGCATGCCAATACTAATATTAGCATATAATAAAGTGAAATAGCTTAAAAATAAAATTATTATGAATCAAAAAAGAAATAGTTTAGACTAAATATTTGTGCTATTTCAGGGTATTTTAGGAAATATGGCGGTTTATATAATATAATAAAATTTAATTTAATATAACCCGAAGGTGCCAGGTAATAAAACAATAGACATAGAGATGTACAAGAGCAAATTTGAAGACTTATGGGAAAAGGCACAGTACTTGAGATTTGCAGGTATAAAAAGTCTAAGTGAAATAGACTCTTTAGTCGATACAGAATACGATGAGAGAATGGAGAAAAAATTGCCCAAAACAAAGGAATCTATTGAAATAGAATTAAATATAAAGAGAGTAAAGGTGAATATACTTCTACTCAAAGATATTCTCCAGCAGCTTGGAGAAGACAATATGGGGTCTAATGAAAGAATTCAGGCTATACAGATGATGCTATCAAATAGCATAGACATTATTGTGCCAGAAAATGGGTGGTTTTTTGAAAAGAAAGAATCCAAAATAATAAAGCACATTATACAGTGTGAGTTTGATCAGTTTATTTCTAAAGAGCTGTCTAGGCTAAAGGCACTGGATGAAGATTCACCTGTTGAGTTTGATAGAAATACCCCAAGTCTAAATAGCATATTCCAAATGGCACTTGAGCAGATAGTAGAAAAGGGGGTAGAGAAAAGATTTAATGAAAAAATAAACACGTGGTACAATAGAATAAATCTATGTTCAACAATATCAAAAAGAGAATACTTAAGATACTATTCAAAAATATGCAGTGAAAATTACTTCAGAAATAGACATTTATGCAGGGGGCTTTGGCTTGATCTTAAAGCGCTTGTAGAGAGTACTAGAACACAAACTTATTTTAAGATTAAAAAGTTTGCTTCAGAATATCCCAAAATAGATCTATTTGCACAAGATAAAAAAGGCGAGTATAATATTGACAGTGCGCTAAACATTTTAATAAGGAAGAAAAAGTATGCATTTCATAAAAAGCACGGCTTCTTATATGCCCAAAAAATGGGCAGTCTTTCAAAAAAAGAAAGAACTCTTTTACTTTCCCTATACTACCAGTGGCATAACGTGAGCAATTTCTTCTCAAAGCTTCACAATACAATAGAGCCACAGATATTAAACATGGACAAGCATCTTTTAATAGAAAATCAGAACAATACGTACGACACCTCTAACACCGAGCAATATGGTGGATATGTGGAAATGTATCATATAAACATAAATTTGCTAAAGAATTATGTGCTAGATGTGTATAATCAAGCGCCATGGCGTAATTATTTAAAATATATATCAGCTAGAATTGACTCTTTCCATGAATTAATAAGAGATCCTGCGCGTTTAAGTAGAAATGATAGTGGAATCTTTGGATTTTCTAATGCTAAGCTATATACAAAAACTTCTATTGCTGGTTTTGCTGCTGCTACCTCTTTTTTCTTTATGGAGGATAAAGCTGTAGATGAGTTATTTAAGTCAACAATGCATAGGTACTGTTAAGACAACTTTTATCCATTAAAAAACTATTAGGGCGGTAAGATTTGCCTATTTGCTAGCATTATTAACAATAGAGTGTGCAATCATAGAAATACGGCGCACAATAAAATATTATGTTTCGGGTTATAGTGTGTTATATTATTATTATAATTATACTATAGCTAGAAAAACATAAATAGCAGATAACAAACAGAGTATAAAATTGTAAATAAATATAGACTTTGGGGGCCTAGCAGTCAAAGACATTAACTTGTTACGGCCGCCCTAGGGGCACGAGGAACGGCTTAGAGAGAATAGGAAGAGAGTGTGTGGCGCTCGACGTCCATCCGTTTGAGGCCCCTCGAAACTTATATCAATAAACTGTTTTAAGATAAAAAAAAAAAAGACTTTGGGGCATACAATAAGATTGGGCCTTATTTTAGTTAATTTTAAATAGCAACGCGGAGTCGCAGTTTCAATTTTGCGTGTAATTATGAAACATTAGACAAAAACAACAAACAATCTGAAACCAAGCAATATCTTATAGCTGGGAGAAATATTTATAATTATGCGCAGAGAAGAGCAAGAGTACGAGTATTTATATAAGATAGTTCTTATTGGGGACAGCAGCGTGGGAAAGACCAATCTTTTAGAAAGGCTGGCGCACAACAGGTTCAACACAAACACAAAGTCAACTATTGGTGTAGAATTTGACACTAAGTGCTTTGTCGTGAATGGAAAAAAGATAAAGGCACAGATATGGGATACTGCAGGGCAGGAGAGATACAGGGCAATCACATCGGCGTATTACAGAGGGGCTGTGGGCGCCATTGTGGTGTATGATATAACCCGGAAAGAGTCTTTTGACAATGCAAGAACTGAGTGGATAAAGCAGCTGAAAGACAACTCAGAAAGCGGCCTAGTGATTTCCTTGGTAGGAAACAAAACAGATCTGGAAGAGAAAAGGCAGGTTTCACAGCAGGAGGCAAGAGAGGCTGCCCAAATAGGAGACTATCTGCTTACAGAAACGTCTGCTCTTTCTGATGTGAATGTCCAGGAGGCGTTTGAAGCTCTTATAAAGAAAATCTACCAAACTCGCACAGCAGAAAGAAATAACGGGCCCAAGCCTAGCATTATAAATCTAGAAGACGATTCTTCAATGAAGGCCTCTAGCAGTTGGTGCTGCTAATTTTTTATTCACATGGGAACATCCAGCAGAAAAGACGCTGTGTGCGCGCGAAGGATGTCAGTAGGCTCAGTAGATAGCCAGTCCCAAGAAATAGCAAACATGCTAGCATATTTTACAGAGCGCCCTGCATTAATTGAAGAGATGCGCGAAGGCCTGCAGAATATTATAGAGGATCCAACAATACAGAAAATAAACAGAAGACACTCCGACCAGTTTCGTACAATAGAAACCAACAGGCTCTCGCAGGAAATGGATAAAAACAGAAAACTGCGGCTTATCCACAAATTTGAGAAGGAAAACAAAAATATATCAGATGTAACAGACCAGTGGAGAGAAGTGCTTCTTACTGCATTTGAAGACCTTGCCAAATATACACATGCACCGCGCACTGATCTATATAAAGCTTTCCATCTTAAAGCAATACATGTAGATAAGGAGGAGGTTGGCATATACAGCGACTACGAATCAGAAACAGAAAATGAATAAGATGCAAGTTAAAACATCTCTAGAGTGTTCTTAGGTTAAATAAATATGCATGCAGAATTATTTTAAAAATTTCTAAAAGAGTACACAAATTTCTCTTTTTTCAAATACATCATAAATAATCCAAAATGGTTAAGTTTAAACTATGCCAATTATTTCATTTTTATTATTTGCGTATTTATTAGCAGTGCGTTGGTTCATTAGTTATATAAATCTAGGTTAAAGAATCTAATTTTAAATTCAATTCATTTGTATAGGCCATGTAGGCTATTAAATAGAGTTTCAAACATTTAAATTATAAAAAGATCTTGTATTGGAAATTAAAATTATATTAATATGTGTAATTTATGAATATATTGCAGATAGCCGAGTAGCTTGCAGTTGGGGCGTTTGATGGATATGCTGTGTATCTTACATGGCATGCCTCTGTCCATTATTTCAGCGAATACTTAAATTTATGTCTATATAAGACATAAGAAAATTTTATAAAAATTGCGATAGTACGTGCAGTATAATAGTACACCATTGGGTCAATTTTGTTTTCTTCAAACAAGGCAGATATGCTTTAATTCAAATATAGAATACCTTGGGTCACTTTCCGGATAATCCCATATGATATGTGATTTGCGCATGCGCATTTTGTTTATAGCTCAATTTTTTCGAGATCAATGTTTTCTGATTCATCCAGCAGAGATCGTTTTGGAATAAGAAATATCTCATGAGTTTGCAAAAAAAGAAGGAAGGTTCTAATTCCCTCGCCAATGTATTCCATGTGTTCTCTGCTCAAATTTAGCGTAGAATGAATTCTTCTTAAAATAAGAAGCATTCTGAGTATATGCGTAATCCCGTATGTTTGCAATATTTTTGTTGTTTTCGGATATAAATATTCTTCATAGAATGCTCTTTCTTCTTTATACAAAATACACGTGTGTACACAGTATAAGAAGATTTCTTTAAAGCCCTTTACTACCTCCTTTATTTCCTCTGCACACTGCTGTTTGGCACTTATTTGGGCGTCGTAAAACATTGAAAATATTTCATCTGCAGACAGAGAAATTGCAGGCGGCTCTTTATACATGGCCATTGATTCTTTCTCCTGAATAAGAAGTTCTTGATATGACGGCAAAAGGTCTATTCTAGGCCAAATAATTTCAAAATCTGTCTCTTCACTTAGAAGAGACGTGTCCAATAGCTCTAATGCAGACAATGATACCCATTTTATCACGCCGGTATTGGTTTTTACTTTGTAAATAGTGATAACATTAGAGGATTCTGTCTCTTTTTCTTTCTTTTCTAATATTACACCAGCCTCTTTTTCTGTGCCTCTAACAATTAGAACTTTCTTTCCTTCTGTTAATACTGTTTTTGCAGTCTTTTCATTAAGCATATAAATTAAAAATTTTACTCTTTTTGCGCTGGTCATTATCAGAAATTTATTTCTTGGGTTATATATATTCAAACTAGTTTTGTTTACAGGTACCACTTTCTGCGCATTTCATTAATTTTAAATTGTTTCTAGTAAATATTTTATGCATTTCGGGTTATGTAGTTGGCATATTAAATGGTATAATTTCGGGTTATATACAGAAGTAAAATCCACTATTTAATTGGTTTATTTGTGTAGTATCAAAAAGATAGACAAACAGCACAATAAAATGAAAGTTCATATGGAGGTAAGATTATTTTTAATACTACGCCCAAGTGCATGTATATAAATACATATATAAAAATATTTTAGACATGCAGTAGGATAGAATATTTAACATAATACGTAATATAAGCATATTTGTTACATAGTATAACTACATGTCCTTTGCATAATACAGAATAGAACTGTGATGAAATTACTACTTACACAAATGCTCTTAAAAACTACATGATGGTTTTAGATACTTAGACTCAGAATAGTAAGCAAAAAGATTATATTGAAGTGTCAAAAAAATAAGTGATGGCTTTTACGCAAGTCGTCTATATAAGAATGACGTGAATTAAATAAATAATAAGTTTTTATATCAACATGTCTTATTCACAGCAAAATGACAATAATTTTGTTTAACAGAGCGTCAAAATTAAATCACAAAATATTTAAATAAATTGCGCGCAAAAGATAAAAAAACAACACGGCGTCAATAGCAGGTCAAAATATCACTAGTGTGCAGTAGTGCTGCATAAGATGCCATAATACACCATAATTCCCACAATAAAGAGCACTTTCAGATATCATTTATATTTCTATATCACAAACTATTTTATTTTGGCTAGTATGCTATTTTCATTGAAGCATGAAAAAATATACAGTAAGTGAACCAAGCAATAACATAAAGAGAGAAGTTAGAATAGTAGTATTAGAATATGCATTGTTTAGATAATTAATATTTAAAGGGGTATTTGTTTAAAAACCAATTAGATTTGTGCATTTAAGTATGTAGTAGGAGAATGCCAATTATTGGTTTTTTTCATATGAGAAATGACTTGCTAATTTGATTGTTAATATTTATTGATTGATGGGAGCAATTTTTTGTTGATCATTGGTTATATTTAATGTCTATCTTATTGGTTCTATTAATATTAAGTATAAATACTAAATTTTTAAAAAATAATTATGAATAATCAAGATATACAAGAAGAAAACATACAAATGAACAAAGAAGCTATGCAAGAAAAAAAAGAAAATATTGCAAATGCGGCCGCTGGATTAGAAAATCCAGATGATCTTCTGTTTAAGATGGAAAAATTCCAAAGAGTTACTTCTAAAGGGGTGGCGCTGCTTAAAAATGTTTCTCTTTCTCTACCAGAAGGAAATCTTATAGCTCTTTTGGGACTGAGCGGAGACGGAAAGACAACTTTGATGGACAGCATATCCGGTATGTGCACACCATCACATACAACATATGGAAAAGCCTATGTTAAAAACAAGAGTGGAGATCTTGTTGAAAGAGACGCCGAGAGCTGGTTTAACCGGGTGAACTACACGCAGCAAAGCATGATTTCATACAAAAAGATTTCTTTATGCAGTATATTATGCTCAATTGCCACTTGCCATGGAAAGAAGAAACAGGAGGTGGATGACTACTTGGCTCTTTTTAGGCTGTCAAAAGTAAAAAATGTACTGTTTGAAAATCTTTCTGGGGGGGAGCAGAGAAGATCTATGGTGATAGCTGGGATTTTGGCAAACAAAGAATTAAACATATGGGATGAGCCGCTTACGGGGCTAGACTCGGAAGTAGCAAGAGTCATTATTTCTAGCATGCAAAAGACAAAAACCACAGACCTAGTCACAGTCCACCAAGTCTCAGAAGACCTAATGAAGAGATTTGACCATGTGCTTCTTATGCACATGTCTACCATTGTGTATTCCGGGCCTAGGTCTGAGATGCAAAGCTATTTCGCAGAAAAGGGAATCCAGTTTCCAAGTGACATGTTCTATATAAACTATCTTATGAAACTATGTGCAGGAAATAGCGATGATCATATTGATACAAAAAACATCGAAATATTCAACGACTTGGCAAATGAGATCATACACAGCTCTCCTGGGCCAGTTGCATCAACGAATATTGGACTGCTTAAGACGCAGGCAAACGCATCTTTCCCCAGAGTTTTACAGATACTCGATAGGTCATTATGCATAGACAGATTGTTTAAAGGAAGTTCTATTATTGGGAATATAGTGATTTGTGTTATGGTAGGAACTTTTTCGTATATGCTTTATTATATTGCAGTTTATAATAGATATATAAGTAACAATACTTCAATTCCGTACTTTAAGTATAGCGAAGAGCAGTGGGCAGCATATTTGACAAACATGCTAAGTCTAGTCAAAAACAAATTAGCTTCTGAAAACACTGCAGACACTAAGTTTATTGAACAAGTTACTGCGTTGCAGATAGTTTCTGCAAACATTGAATGGGTATCTTTTATGACTCTAATATTCGGGCTTGTTATAACAATTACTTCTGTTCTTTGTTTTTTCATCGTGCCAAGCACGTTCTTGACGCTAGACTTCTATAAGCTATGCAAAAGCAATATACAAGGAAAGCAGTTTACTGTTGGTGATTTTATGTGTGCACTGAGCATTGACACTTTTTTACGAAAGTCACTCATTCTCTTTGTAATGTTAACAGTATTTCTTATAGTTTCAACTAGAATTGTTGATCCTATTATACTCAGCAGCTGTAGTGTTGGTTATACTATTCCTATTGTTTTGTTTTTTTTATGTAGTATTATAATGGGACTGCATTCTATTATGCTAAACTTTGCTCCTATTTCTCTAAAGTTATTTTTCGCAATAGGTTTTTTATATGCATTTATTATAAACATGGGGCCAAATAGTATAGTAGAATATATAAACAAGTATGATCGTACTAAAATAACCCGACCAGATACAATAATTCCATTATTTACACAAGATAACGCAAGCGCTGCTTTAAATTCCATAGACATAATTGAAATATCTTCCTTTTGGAAATCTTTTTTAAAGGTGGGATTACGTATAAGTATAATATTCACTAGGTTTATAGTTTTATATAACCCTATGAACTATTTCCCGCAAGTACTATCTAAGATATGCTTGTATATGAACTATATACGTCTCGATTCTACTATGAAAAAGTCTATCGACAGCACTACAATTAATAGAATCTTAAAGGAAATAGAATTATTAAATCCAAGTAAATCCAATAGTTCTGATACATTAAAAATTCAGGGTGGTTCTTTTGCTATAGAGAAGCTAAAGCTTTTCTGCTTTACCTCTGAGCCAAATGAGGTATTTGACAAAGCAAGATCTCTTAAAAACATATCTGCACTGTACGTCATATGGGCTGAGATTCGGTTCTGGCTCTTACCCGCCGTATTGATTGTACTAACCGGTCTTTACACATACAGGCATCTTCAGCCAAAGCTAAGAAACTAAAATGCGTATCCATAAATAAATAATTATGGTTTATTTATAATTTTTACTGGCCACCTCTATTTACTAGTTCTATTGACTCTACTTTCCAGAATATGCTCTGGGCATTCAGTCGTAATAATTTATTCTTTGTATTTAATATTTTAAATTTCTACATTCTTATATGTTCTGGCAGAATACTCTATAAGTAAATATTAACAGAAAGAGAGCAAAGCAAAAAAGGTGTGTTGTCTTTAGGTAGATAAAGAAATGTAAGGACGTATGGTTATATAATTGTACATTCCTTCAATGTTAAGTCATTTATATATATTTATAATGATTTTAGGATGTATGTTCATAATAGTTTATTATAAGAAGCAGAATTGGTATAATACTTGGATGTACTGAGTATGTTAGTGTATTTATACAGTCATATTTTATTATTTTAGTATAGAAATATTTTATTAATACATTGCAATACTATTTAATTTATGCTGTTATGCGTTTTTTGATTTGAAGAAGAATTAATATAGTAAACTATATATAATTTTTATTATACAACAGTATATCTTTTGTGTTTTCTACACATTTTTATATCACACAGTAAAAAAATATTACTGAAATAGTATGTAATTATCCTGTTGTAATCATATAGTTTAACAGATATTTAGAAATCAATGTGATGTCCAGACATTTCTATATAAACAAGTCAAAAGTCAATTTTATAATACTCTGGCATATAACCCGAAACGGCATAATTATATAATATTTGTTTTAAACAAATATGTGATGCTTATTTGTATATATGAATATACAATTAATTGGTTATAACCCGAAAGGTGTATTTAAGCTCAGAATTTTAGTGCGTATAGTTCACATATGAGCCTAATGCATTATTTTATTCTATGGCAGGCGGTTTGCATATTCGAAATCTCCCCTCAAACAATATAAAGTGTGCTATAGGATAATTTACTATTCGGGTTATAATAAGCAATAAAAGAGCAATTGCACTGGATACAGGATAATTATTGTTGTAATTTAGGGTAAAATACCCCGCTCATTAAGTGCATATATAATATATCTTGTATTTATATTGGTGTATTTATCGCAGCTCTCCACTGTTTAATTGTAATGAGTGCATATGTTTTTATATTATGCTTTAAATGATTTCATTAGAGAATTAATGCACTGTAATTAATTTTGGGTTATATAACCCAAAGAGACCATAAAATACACATGTGTACTGGAAATTTAAGATTTATTATGAAGTGTGCTATAAAGACATGCATAGACTAAATTTGGTGTATAGGGCAGAGATATTTCAAAATATATTATTGGATCGTTTACATTGTTCAATTAGAACCACTTTCTAGTAACTAAGTATATGGTGCTGTTTTAAACCAACCAATGCTAGGAATATATAGCAAATCATACTTAACATTTGATAGACCAATTAAAAATCAATTACACAGAACCCCGCCGCAGTGTCAATGTATACTCATTTATAGTTAGCAAAGCATTGTTTGCCAATGTTGGATTATTTCGGATTGTTTAATGAAAATATCTGTCAAACATTATTAATTATATAGGAGGTTAATTAAAAGAAATAATGGCAGTTTATCCAATGCCTTCTAGTTGTATGGTACCCCGAATGCCAATAAAATATTCTGAATTTTGGATTGCCTAGTCTTTCTGAGTAAAAGGACTAATTTACAATAATTTATAAATTGTGTGCAATTAAAAATAAATATTTTAATATTTACAATATACCATAAAGTTATAACAACTTTTGGTAGAAACATATAAAATCTTAATTTGATCAAATAAGTGAAAGTTTTTACGTATATGAAGAAGCAGCTTGCAGAGCGAGCGTGTGCATTTCTCTATTCTTAGCCATTTATCTTAATTAAGATTTGTTGTTTTTTTATTTTAAAAATGTTCCTTTGAATAAAAACAATGGATGGGCATACAAGAAGTAAGCATTTACAATTGGCTAGTAGTTTAGGGGTGATGTTATAAGAAAAATTTTTATTTTCATAACGAAATGCATGCACAGCCCACATATAATGAAAATACAAACGGCATTAGCAATACACACAACACAAAGCCATTTCAGTCAAAAATATTATCAAGAAAAGGAAGAGGACTAGAAGACGACAAATGGATTGGAACGGCAGTAATGGAGCACGTAGAAGTGCTTATTTTAGACGAAAATCAACTTACCCGCCTGCCAGCTGGAGAATTGGCCAGATGCTTTCCAAAGCTGAAAGTACTGAGCATGAAGAACTGCAGCATAGAAAAGCTTAGTATTGAGGTTCTTTCACACCCCACTCTTGAAGTGCTTGATTTGGAGGGATGCAAAAGCTTAACCCGCTTGTCTGTCTGGGAGGAAGAAAGTAAAAATGGCCTTTTATTAGGAGGGGTTCCTTCTCTCCAAATACTGAATCTTCTGAACACAAACATTTCTATGATGGATTCTGAATGGTTTGACTACACTCCAAACATAATGTGGCTTCATATGCACTGCGAGAATATCTGCGGTGGGTGTGGATTTGGATTCTTAGGCGGACTTGACATTCTCCGCTGTTTAAAACTCACGGGAATAGTAACTGGTTCTTGCATGAACTGCAAAACAGAGAACCATTCTGCTGGATTCTCCACAGCGATTAAATATTCAATATACAATATGGTGTGTAATATGACCTCGTTAGTTAACTTAGACCTTTCCGGGAAGGAGATGAATATAGACTACTTTATATTCCACGCCCCCCTTCCGTACTTAGAGGCAATTCGCATGCAAGGAAAGCTGATGCGGGATATGAGCTTGCGGGACTGGCCTGGTATTATAAAAACGATCAAACATCTGTCCTTGGGGATTATTGACCATGTAGAGGAGCAAAGCCCGCAAAAGGCGCTCAGCGAGTCAACTTTTTATGCGGAAAAGATACTTGAAGCCTCAAATTTAGAGAGTCTCTCATTTGATTGCGAAACAGTTAGAAGAATTAAATTTTCTTTGGGCACTAGGAAAGTTGTCTTTCCGTATCTCCGGCACTTGACTATTAAAAACTGTGATTTGCGCCCGCTTACATTTTTTAATAAAGAGAACGCTCCTGCCTTGGATAGCTTGGAAATAATAAGCCCTTCCTTCACAGAGGGATATTTCTACACAATTAAAAAAAGGCTAGGAAACAGACTAAGAAGTCTTCGGATTGGAATTGAGAAAATGGATGCGCCCCAGGCTATTTACGATTTGTTCACTTTTGTCAGAAGCCACAAGAATCTTGAGATTCTTCATTTATCAGCTTGCGATACAATAACCGAGTCGCAGAGTTTTTACAAATATTTTAGTGATCAACCTTCTTTAAAGGAGCTATATATTATAGGAAAAATGAGCGTACAAAGAATGAAGAGGTTTCTGTATCAGCTTGGGCGCTGCAGCTCTCTAACAACTCTTCTTCTTGACATAGAAGATCCTTGCCTTGTTCTGTCGTACTTCTATCCTATAAGATCCGTGCGCTTCCTCTCTTTAAAAGGAACCTTTAAAAATCATTCAAACTTTTTTGTACACCAAAGCACTCCGCAGGCTGACTTTGCAAAGCTTTCTGAGATGGGGAATCTTCAAGTCCTTGATGTTTCATACTGCGGGCTCACCAAATTTCCTTCGAGCATTCTACCTGGCTTTAAGTCATTGCAATATTTGTATTTAAATAACAATCACTTGCATGATCTTTCCGAAAGCATGGTTTCCTATCTGTCTTCGATCAAAGAAGAGCCTCTTTTTATTGATATTTCAAGCAATCCAACAGATGTTCAGAAAATTGAACAGACTATATGTAACAACACTTGGCTTGGAATATCTGGATATGTTTTATACTGAGGTCTTTGCATACGCAATAAATATTCCATACACCATCAAACATAATTTCTATAGCTGCTCATGGCCTTTAAATATTTATATGTTTGTTATATTGCTTTTCACATAGATTTACGGCTACTATCCGCATATTTAGAAGTTCGGGAAGTATATTCTCTTAATGTATAGCCGTGCTAGTTTAGTTCTGGCTAAATATATTGCGCCATGCATAGCGATTTATTAAAATACAAGAGCATTAATATAGAAGAATATGACCCGCAAACCACAATGCATAATTGGTGTCTAACTAAATTATTATTTTAGTTCCGCATGTGCTTGCATATATCCTTGCTTTTTTTGCTTTTATTAAAAGCCATGCATAGTTTTATATTTAGGAATAGTCTACCGTGCATAGCTATAATATATACAAGTTTTATTCTGCATATAAGAACATTTGGCGTACTATATACCTATCAAAACTATGTTTATAGTGTGCAGCTCAAAACACCCATATAACCCGAATATGCTATAATACATTATAACTTAAAAACATCTGAAATTGCAAATAATATGGCATGAAAACTAGAGAGACTTTAAGAACTATTTAGTTTATTTTTATTTCTAGCAATTTTGGATTATAATATTTTTAATTACTTCTTATATACCAGAATTCATCACTAGCGATATACAACGAAAGGTGGGTACTCTACGCCATCATTTCTATATTTGAGCCGATTCAGGATACTGTATTTCTGTATGTATTCATTCACTTGCTATTTCCTCGTATTTATTCTTCCTTTCTCTATTTATACCATTATTAGCCTTTCTTTCTCGGTTAGACCTATATACTCTTTCTAATTATCCATATTTTAGTGTTTTTTCAGAATATCTTTGTTAATGTGTAATATACATGCATAAATATAACCCAGAATTTTATTTTTAGAAAAATAAAATCTACACTTTTCATTCTTTCCATGTACACCATATAAAATTAATATGACTAAATGTATGGATAGGCTTTTATTCAGCAATGCTGGGATTATGCATAATAAGTACATATATATTGTATAAATAGGCATATTCATATGTTTAAACACTTTGGCATATATAATAAGAACATATAAAATTTTCTTTTACATTGCTTAAGTATATTCTTGCTCTGTAAATAAAACTAAGCACCTTTTAAATTTTATTTCGGGTTTATTATATATCAAATGAAAAATTCTAGAAGAAAAGGCGTATAGAGTGAAATTCAATCTCTGCATATATTAGAAAACAGAGAAACAAGTTATATACAACAGCTAACGAAACAAATTAAAATAATAATAACTTATGTACTCATGTTTAAAGAAGAAATGTTTAAAGTTTATTAAAAACTGCATTTTAGGTTATACCAGAAGTACTTCAGCCACTTCCAGCTCTTTGCTAAATAATAATTTTAATTTTTTATATTGGTTATATCATTAGTCAACTAAGCCAATTTAAATATTAATAAATTTTAAATAAATTTTACCTTAATGAAAAAAGATCAGTGGTATGAAACTAGATACATGCCAATGAACTATAAATTACGAGCTACAGCAATAGCAATACTAATACTATTTATGGGATATTTAGAGGCGAGGCCGACTAGAATAGTAGAAGCACTCGCACAAGATATAGGAAGAACAAAAGAGCCGCCATTAATTAGGACACTTAAGATTTTAGGTATTGAAAGGCCAGATGTTAATTTAGAAGCTATTGAGCTAAGACCAAAGAACAATGGAGCTTTAAAAATTGTGAATAACATGCACAGATCCTTTAGCATTAATCTATCTAAATATCACAATATAGCTTCTAGAATTTTTGATTTTGAAGACTCTATTGTGTATGAGAATATAGAACTTATAGGAAGCGATGAAATTAATGAAAAAGATTCAAGTAGCCGAAAAGCACAGAAAGACATTTGCATGAAATTTATACGCGCATTTAGAAACTTAAAAGCCATTCGGGTATCTATAAAGAATATTTGGATAAAGAAAGAGGACCAATTACTTGGGATTTTCGCAGAACTTACTAATAATAGAATGAAATTTCGGGCTAATATTAAAAAAATAGTCTTTCATAATGTAAGCAATTGTTTAGCTATTCAGATATTAAAGCATTATGTTTTTGACATCCCAGTTGAACTAGTATTTTCTGGAAACAGATATATCACTTGGAATTTTTTATCAAATCTGCCAAAGCATGGGAAATATAAAAGAATAGAAATAGAGCAGATAGATGGAATTGAGAATTTAAGCAGAAATAAAATTAAAAAGCTAAGAGAAATAATTCCAGTGTTGAAAATTCAGACTCTCCCACCGGTTAGTAATGTAAACGAGATTCCCCCAGAGCTAGAGGGAATCTTTGAGGGCGTAATAGAGACAACAAATTCTAACACAGTGCGTAGATACAAAAATTTAGCTATAAATAGAGCTGCGCTTCTACAGGAGAATAAGATAATAGAACTGCTTGCATATAGTTCAGATGACTTCATTATAGATGGACAGAACAATTCGTATATAGGGCAGCAATCTAATACAGCAGCCGATCCTAGCTTTGATGCAGAAATGCAAGAGTTGCTAAAGGATAATCCATATACTTCTTTAAGAAGAGAAATGCACTTCAACCACACACGATCTGAATATGTGTATGAGGTAACCATTCGGTTTGAAACCCCAGTTAAATTAACAGTTGCATTCCTGAAGCAGATCTTCTATTGGTTTGAGAAGTATATTCCAATCTGCACAAAAATAACAATTAAAAATGTTACAATGACAAAAGCCCTGGGCGATGCCTTGGGCTCTGTAAAAATATATGTAATGTTTTTGCAGCATCTAAAATACGCAGCCATTGAAGAAATTAATGGCGAGAAGTTAAAGCTGGAGCTACGAAATGTAGACCTCTATCATAACGCATCCGGTTTAACAAAAACATCATATTCAAACCATGAGCTGAGCACAAAAGTATTTCCTGCTGAGCTATACATAAAAAATAATTTACATTGTAAAGAGCGAGGACCAAATAATACTCCCTCAACTATAAAAATGGTTTATCCTGGGGCGCAGAGCAATGATGCAGTTACGCTGTGCATGGTCTGCGGAATAAGCGCATTCATAAATGAGGAGTCTAAAGAAGTATGTAAAACCACTATAGACAACCTTTCCATTAAAGAAGTAGAAAACATTACATGGGAAGAATTCTGTTCTAAAGACAACAGACAGTATATTGAAAAGCATTTACATCTTGCATATTTTATGAATTCGGATATTACTATAACAAAAGAAAATCTTTTTTCGCATATTAAATGTTTCTTAACTAAACCAATTGTGATTCTCCCGGAGTGTATGCATACAATATGTGCAAAATGTTTTTCTAATTGGCATATGCACATGCAATCAACAGAATCATTGGTGCATGAGAGAAATAATTTAGTTACCATATCATGTCCAACCTGCCGGGGGGAAAACAGAATTGCTACATTCTTTCAATACCCAGTTAGGACCTTCAATGAAGCTGATACGCCCAAAGCACATATATATCAAAGTGAGTGCCTTCAATTTGGAAAGAAAAGTATTAGAAATTATGTCTTTTATGTGTGTGATGGATTTAAAAATGATGATTATTATAGAGAAGTAATCGGATATTTGATTAAAAAAGATGTGGTTATAAGAAGTCCTGTGGTCTCGTCTAGTTAAAATACTGCTTTTTGCACACTTAGTGTATCAAGCTAATTTAGCATATGCTATACTATGCATTACAGCATAGAAAATAAGACAGAAATGTGATTTTTCAGCGAAAAGGCAGTGCATAGCGCGCCCAGAAGCTGTGTATAGATTTCACAGAATGAAAAGCTTAAGCTTGATTCTATTTATAGCCTGAAATTTCGAGTTATTTGTATTATAAATTGGTATAAAGCCATTGATGCATATTATAGAATATAGAAGTAACAGGCAATAAATACACTAAAATATACTATTTTCATATATATTAAACAATACGAATCCAAAAAAAGATAAGTATAGCAGACAAACTTATTTCTAGTCTATTAGTATTTATTCGATGGTAGATGCTCTTTGTATATTATACTTTAATGGTATTTAGTCTTTTAAGTATTTTTGAATTTTTCTATTCTATGCAATATCAAAACCAATGGTTTATTCAAATATAGCCAGAAAATTATTCTTTACAGTTTGAAATAGTTGTGCATTACTTTATAAAAAGTAAAAATCCGGCTCTTATATGTAAATAATTCCTTTATAATATGCTTAGTATACAATATTCTAAGAGCATCTTAGCAGCACTGTCATTTATATAAGTTATTATTTTCGGGTTATTAGATTGGCAGCAAGTAGAAAAATCTTAGCACATATTCTTCTTTATTCTATAACCCAAAATTTATTTTAATATGAAAGATATCTACTAGTGTACATGTTTGTTTTATAAGTTCATATAATTTCATAATTCTTTCTAGAATACCAAGGATTTACTACTATGATCTATGCCTAAATACCAAAAAATAATTTATAAAGTTACAGAGACATTACATGAGAGAAAGCAAAGACATAAAAAAACCAAAAAAGTCAGAAAACACCGATGTAAGCACAGAAGATTCTCATTTAAACATGCCCCTTGATACTTTAAACAACAACGACTACAGCAGTACAGAAGAGCATGCAGCAACAGAAACAGATACTAGTCACCAAAGCATTCCAGGCACTGCTGTCAACACAGAAAGGGATAGATCGTCAGAAAAAGAAAAGCTGGCCAAAAAACAAAAGAGTATAAAGAGCGATGAGCCCACGGAAAATGCAGTGGATGGGAAGGAAGACAAGGATCTAGACACTGAGACGCCCGAAGGCAGGCTAAGAATGAGAAATGAAATGGCAAAAATAATTGGTGAACAAAAAATTAAGTGTGATAAATGTAATAGCGGATACATTGGAATAGGGCGGTCTGGCTATTTGAAGACAGGAGAGTACACATACGGATTTAAATGTAGAAAAAGCAGCTGTCGAAAACCAGTTGGGTTCTTTGTCTCTGTGCCAGACCAAAATAATCTGGACTGGAGTGTGTTTCCACCGAAGAACTCTATTCCCGGGCCACTTAAGCTATTTGAAAAGAATCCAAACTTAGATTCTTCTGCAGAAAAGACAGCAGAAAAAAAAGCTGCTCGCAGAAAGGAAGAAGCCCAGCCTCCAGCAATAAAAAAGCAGATGGTTGAGGAGTATTCTAGCTTTAACAACACTCCAATGGATGAGGAAGAAAACAAAGCCATATGTGACAGCGTCCTTTTGGAAACAAATGAAGACTTTCTTGATTATGAAAACACAGAAAAAGAGGATACATATGAAGAAATAAAATATCTGTTTAAGGCATTCCAAGAAGATCTTAAGCACAGTATAACTGAACTTAGAAATGAAATGATGCATGATCTTGTGGGTCTTCGAGATGAAATAAAGCACGAGATACAAAGAGTTTCTAACAATATTCAGCATAATGTTAAACAGCAAATAAGCGAGTATGGGCGCGAGTCTGCACAGCATATTAAAAAGCTGTGTGGTAAAGCATCTAAAAACACTCTATGAATTAGTAATGTTGTTTTAGAAAATAGTCCATAAAGTAGTAAAAAGGACAATTAATTAGCAATGCACTTAGGCCACCTGGCTATATGGGGGTATAATAATATGTTGTTTTTCATTATATAATATTTAACTAATAATTTGGCACTTATACATCAATATGCATTACAGAAATATATGCTGTTACCAAAGTGTAATTATTTAGTAAATTATCTATTGCATGCTGTGTAATAAGAGAAAATAAAATAATTTCTGTGCAAAATAGTGCCAACACATTGAAGATTTTTAAATACTAATAAATATTTAATTTATTATAATAGCAACTGTCGTATCCGAACAAATAAAAAAATACAGACAACTATCTTTGATCAAAAAATTTAAATACTTAGCCGTATGGCAGTGTGCTCCTCTATTTGATAATATTTTAGAGAAATAGTTAAATCTGGGGCTATTAGGTATTTTATGCAAATATATCTTTATAACTAGAAGGGTAGAAGACTCTCTTATATATAATTCTTGCTCTATTAAAAAAATTCTTTATTTTAAGCAAAATATAGCTTTTTGTCGTATCCGAACAAATTAGGATAAATTAATTTATTTTTTTTATACAGGTCAGATTAAAAAAACATGTCAGGAAGCATACCAATAAAGAAGCAATCAATTAATATTAATAACAAGCTTTGTCGTTCCAGGAACTTAGTGGAGTATTACACAGAAACTTCACAGTTACCACCCACGGGACACCACACTTTTTATAAAGAGGTGTGCATTTTTGTTTAATTTTTTACTTTTAGTTATTAGAAGAAATAAAAATAGTTTTATTTTTTTCCTGAAAAAAATTAATATGATCATACGTCTGTTACTCATACTATGCGCTGTTTATGCAAGAATGCCGTTGCACAAAATAAAAAAGGCGCAAGAGATTTTATTTAGAGATGATAACAGCATGACAATCAATCCTGATGGGCCATTAAATCTTCTAAGCGGATATATCTCGCACAAGGCTGGATACATGCACAATATGCGATTTTTTTCTCCTGAAATAGAAGCAAATTATAGCATGAAGAAAAGTGCAGAGTCCACAGAAAGTGTGCATGTATACACATATACTAGAAATCCAGAAAGCGATAAAGTATATAAAGATCTGTTTTCTAACAGAAAAAAGATCCAATATCTGTACAATTTTCATCTGGCAATGATTTACATGTTTCCATCAGAAAGCAACAGCCTTTCTATTGAATTATGTAAATCAGACTCGATTACTCGATTCTTAAGATTCCACAGTGACAAACTAGACAGTATGTATCTTCTTGCTTCGCTGCTGCTTCTCTCTGAGGGCGTGTATGTCCCCATTAAAATAGAAAAAAACATCCCAGGAGATGAGACAATTATTCTAAGAGGACAAGATCACATACCCCCATATATTAATCTAAACATGCGTTTATTAGGTATTTTACCCAATGAAAGAGGGCAGTTAATTTACCAGAAAGAAACAGAAGAAATTATAGAGTTTTTTAAAAAGATTAATACTCCCCAGTACATATATTTGTTAAAAGAATATGGCGAGCCAAGAACACAAAGTGAATTTACTTCTGGTGAATTTTTAAATAGTCCGAGATTCCTCATACAGTCTTATATTTTTGAGTATATAGATGAAATAGAGCAGTATAAGACATTAGTAAATTGTGTAATGGAATTGCTGGATTATATAAATTCGCATAGAAGAACTTCAAAAAATAGGAACAAACTGGCTATAACAGCGAGTAGAAGTTTATTTGTGAAAAAAGAAGTTTACAGCACTATGAAAAATCATATTATACCGTTTTGCGATCTTAAATCTGAAATGGAAAAAACGGCTGTTATTCCTTTTACAAACAACGCTATGGCGCTGGCATATACTCGGGTGCCAGAGTACTGCCAGAATGATAAAACAACTATAAAAGATGAGACACTTTATTATAACAATCATGTGGAAACTATGCTTTTAAATCTTTTTTGCTGTCTTACATATAACCCAGAAACTAAGATGTACACAAAAGAATGGATTAAAAGCGCGCCGGCTCCTTTAAGAGAGTTTTTTGATAAGCATTCATTGCCAACTGAGTGTGCAAGCCAGGAGATGCACAGGGACTGGTGCAAGGTTGTATCTGGCTTGTTTAATCCGAATATTGGCTATGCCCGAAACAGCAGAAATGAACTGCTAGGCGGGTTAGTAAACATTCTCTATGTTATATCCGAAATAACTGGCGGCAGCACTATCATAGACAATGCAATTAGGTACATAACAACCGTTCCAATGAGCACGGAAATAGAAACACATATACTTAATAATATATCAAATCATTTACAATTAATTTTTTCCTCTCTTACAAAGAGTCGAAAAGTCTACATATACATTCCCTCTTTAACCAAAAGGCCAAGAAAAAATGGGGTACTTGATATATTTGGAGATGTTATATTAAAATTTGTGTTTAACAACGAAAGAAGAAGTGTAATGTTAAATATTATGCCAGTGTTTTCTAAGTTTTCTTTAATAGCAGCAGAAAGTTGCATTTCAGTAGAAATATGCACTAAACTTCAGATGATTAAAGAGAAATATGAAAATGCAAATAACTACATTGGGCATATTATTCTGGAGTTTGCTAATGCAAATCTAGAGTATATTGAGGCCAAGAAAAAACCAAAGGAAGACGTTGTCTGCTATTCAATGCCAAATATAACCAAGTATACGCCTAATGAAATATTTGTATGGAGGCCAATAGATTCGCTAAGCTATAAATGTTTTTTGGTCAAAACTTTTTTAATAAGCGCCAGTAATATAGACATATCTATAAACAAACAATTTGCGCGATTTACTAAAAATATTATTGGAAGTGTATCTCTTGACAACCAAATAGAAAGAAAAAAGATTCTGTCTGGATGTGTGTACAATCCACAATATGTAACATTCTACCCCAATATTGAATATCATATAGAACATCTTCCAGATTTAGAGCTTGGTATTGTTGATATAAGAGAGAGATTTGCTGAGCTAATAAGTGGTAAGTATTTAGAATCTGACATGCAGGCCTCCTTTTACCATCTGCTGCTTCTTCCAATTTGTAATAGAGAAACATTCAATCTATTTGGAACACTAGAGTGTTTTAAGAGTATTTGTGTTACACTAGCTAAAAAATATACAACTGTGTATAAAAACAGCCCAAAGAAGAGCATTTTAATGCTGTATTGGACTCTATTTTTCATGAAGCAGTATCTAAATCCTATTAACCCACATGCATTAGACAATGTTTTTTTCGCATGGCTAACATATGCATGCAGTGAAACCAATTATAATTCAGAAATTATTGCTTGCATATATGGCATTTTAAATTATAAAAATGTCTCCATTGAGCTTACACACAGCCCTGCATATATAATGAATACCGATTTTAATCGGATTTTATCTGTTTTCCTGTCGGAGAAGAATACACTTTGCATAGCAAATAATCCAGAAAGCGAAGAAAAATATGAGATGATTTCAAACTATTTTAAGCAAAATACTGCCTCTTCACATAGTAGGGTTTTCTTTACCAATCCAGTTGTCATTTGAAGATAAAATATAAACTTTTGATGAATACACGGATTTCGGATTATTTATACATAACATGAAATTCTTAAGAAGCGAACTAGTTTTTTAACAGTTGGTTATTGGCTTAGCCACTAATACAGCGTAATAATACTATAAATAAACATGTTTATGCTATTCTCTTTAGATAACTTTAAAAATTATCATTTTATTTAGTATGCCGGTTTGCTATTATTATACTCTGATGATTGATATTCTAGCTATCTTAAATATTTAAAAATTAATTTATTCGTGTGTTTTAAATGTGATTTTATACTGCTATCTTGTATAATATACTATAATAATAATGCGCTACTATTCTTTAAATAAATATTTATTTTTAAAATAAAGTGTATACTGTTATTAATTGCAAATGTGAATAGGTTGTTTAAATATTTATATTCAAAAATAAAAATAGAAAATTGTTTAATATTTATACATTAGAAACACCTATACATTATTTTATGTAGGCATAAATAATATTTTATTTTTAATAAATCATGGATAGTTCACTTTTATTACTGTTTTATAAATGGAAAAATCTTTTTGATAGCTGAGCTACACGCATTGATAGCCTTTAAAAGCTTATTATCTGGTTTAGAAGAAACATTAATCAGCTCTTTGACCAAATTAATAGTATATGAATAATTACTTAGCCCCCTCTTTTCATCTGCCAGGGCTAAGTATTTATCTACATATTTTGCTATTTCCTGCACATGCTTTTCGTGTTTTTCTATATTAAGCCACGTAGTTTCAAATTCTTTGCACTCTTTTTCTAAAGGAAACAATGGATTGGCCTTATTACTTAATGCTTTGTAAGCATCTACATTCTTTTTTCCGCTTTTAAAGTCTAGCGTAATAAAATTTAGCATTTTCAGTGCCTCCTCTGCTAAATACTCTATGTTTGAAGAAATACGATTCATCTCATTAATGTCGTTTTTTAATACATCTACCTCAGCAATATCCATTTTTACTGTATAAATAAACTTGTGAATTAGATTGAAGCGTGCGCTTTTTCTGATCATAATCCTATTTGAATTATCATTGTCATATAAATACTTTTTAAATTCTATCAATCTATCAGGAGTTTGAACATTTGACACATTCTCTAGAAATTGAAACAGCTCTGGCATCTGCTGAATAAATAAATTGCTTGTAAACTTCCATGCTTCTTTAATTAGCTTTATTCTTAAATTAAATATATTACTGGTCGTATCATCTAAGGGCAATTTATAATTTATATCAGCAAGATCAAAATCTAGCCTTTTCTTATTAGAATTAAATATAGGATGCCCTGCTAGGAATAACTCTATCTGGTAAAATAAACTTCCAATAAAATTTAGTAATTTTATTTCAATCTGGTGTATTTTATCTTTAAGAGAATTAATCGTGCTAGAGTCTTTTTCTGGTGTAGAGAAATCAACTATATTGTGGCTGTATTGCTTTGAGCTAGTTTGGAGCATATCTCTAAAGTCAAAACTTTTGTACAATCCAGGCGATTTTATCAGTGTTACAAAGACATTCGCGAGTTCTGAATTACTTGGCACATCCTTTTTAAGCCCCTCTAGCTCTTGGCTCGAATTGTTTATTAATGAATTCTTTGCATTAAGCATATTTTTGAGGTTATCTTTTACGAATAGATAATACTCGCTAGCTCTAGGACTAAGAATAGGCAAATTCGAGAATTTATATTTCGGGTTGTTGTATAGTTTATTCACGCCTACAGAAGGATCATTGTTATTAGCTCTAAAAATGTCTAATAATTCATTAAAAATATTTTCCTTTATAACATCTTTATTTGCAATATATTCATAAATATTATGCTGTGGTTTTTGAATGCATCCTGCCCAGCTCTCTATATAGTTGTTTAAAGATTGTCCTGTGATTCTTTCAAAGTTCTGCCTGTATTCTTTTATAATAATAATAGATTCATGTTGCGGCTTGAATTCCACATTTTTGTTGCTATTGCATTTGTTTTTTCCAGATTTTTTTATTGAGTCATTCACTGTAGCGCACCCTCTTCTAATATTATTTTTTTCTTTAGTTATACTTGAGTTTATAGTATCCATAGAACTACTCAAGCCAGGTTCCATTTGGCCTTGATGCGCATTTGTATTATCCATTGACAGTGCACTACTAGCTTCTACAAATATAAATTTTATTTTGGCATACATTAATCCTAATATAATCGCTGCACATATTCTTCTCTTAATAAAATGCATTTTTTTCACACAAAATAGCATATATAAGCCTTAATATATACTTGCATTGTACCTCTTTATATAGATGTAATTTTAATTTACTCCATAATTATTTCTCTCCTTTATATAAGGGGAGAACTCATTTTGATTGGTATTATTCATCAGCCTATTGCTAGATGCCACTCATTAGTAAACTTTAAAGACCATTAAGTTCTTTTAATTCGTATATATAGATAAATTTGGTTGTTTATTTTGTTTCTATATGGTTAGTGTATTTCTAGAATTATTTAGTTCATGGAAGAATGCCTACACAGCATTCAAATAATATAAGCCTTTATTAAAAGATAGTTTAAGCTAAAGATATTTCAATTCTAAGAGTAGTTTATAAAAATAAAAAATTAATTCTCTAAAACGCACTAATAACAGGCCCAAGCATGTATTTTAAATACGCTAGTATAGGATGAATGTCTTCATAACCTGAATATCTGGAAATATAGAGAGAATTTTAGGACACTGCTTCTTAAATAATCTAAATTTAATCTATTTCTTCTTGATTATGCCATATTAAATTTGTGAGATTCACTTGTTAGTGCATGCTATGATAAAAAACTTATGTAAATACAAGTAGGGGCAGTGACACCACTGCAAAAGTAATATTGTGGTGCAGTTTATATGGAGGTAAATTAAATTATTTTTATCTCTAAATTATTTATATGAATGAAGCTCTGATATTTAAGGAGTATAGATAGAAAGTATTTAGAACAAACATAATTTAAATGTAATGCCAGTATTTTTAAATAATAAATTATGTTGCCAAGGGGCTATATATTAATAATTAGTTTAATAAAATTTTTATCTTGGTTTAATTTGTTGGCAACAAATTAATTATCTTTGTAGATCAACAAAAGTCCAATCCAAATATATATAACCCCCGAATAACCAGAATTATACAAATAATATTTTAATTTTAAAAAATGGAAAGGATGAATGCAAAGCGTAGGATTATTCATTTCACACAAGAAACTATACTAAAGAAAATATGGGCCATTATGGCGCTAATGACAATGACACACACTGTGTATGCATGGCTGTCAAGTAATGAAGAACAAGAAATACAAAAAATGAGATTTGGTGATTCAAACCAACTAATAATGCACCCAAAAGGAATATTTTCTTCATTTTGCAAATATGCAATGGAAAATAGTAAGTTTATGCACAACTTGAGAAATTATTCTTATGTAATAGAAAGATCCGAGAGCAATGAAAATGGCGGTAGAAATACAATACGCCGTGATCTTGACAACTATCTACAAGAATTTGCACAGCAGATGATTAATATGTTTCCATCAGAAGATGGAAAATTGTCTATTGACTCAAAAGGCTCAGATGCATTCATAAAGTTTATGGAAAACTATAAAGATAGTTCAGACAGCCTTTATGTCTTAGCTGCTCTATATCTTCTTTCTGAAAAAATAAATATTCCTATTGAAATAGTAGGTGATGAAAAAAGTGGAATGAATCTAACTCTAAAGAAAAAAAATAAAAACTCTCTGCATATTAGCTTAAGCATGACAATATACAAAAATACTAACGAGGGTGTTTACCAAAAACAAACCGAGAAAATTATAAATTTTTTTAAAAGCACTGCAGATCCTTCTTCCCATATAACGGTGCCAGCAAAATTCTCGATGCCTTCTACATACCAGGAGTTTCTAACGGGAGATTTTTTGTTCAATCCTAGATTCCTTATACAATCATACATATATAAGTATATAGACACAAAAGAAAAATACAGCCAGTTTATGATGGCAGTATACACTTTGTTGTGTGAGAACATGCCCAGTGAAAATCAGGCCCCAACCTCTGAGATAGAAAGGCATGCACAGCGAGTATGTGAAAGCCTTTTTATTAACGAAAGTTCAGATACAATGAAAAATAGTCTAGACTGCATTACCAATTTATGTGCAATTAAAGACATGGATGCCATTAAAAATTGGGCATTGGCATTTAAAGGGGATTCATTAAACCATTTGCATACCCGATTGCCAATATTCAATAGGAGTAGTGACGATTTTAATGAACATGCACTCCCACAATGCGGGTATGATAATTGTATAGAAGGATTTCTTCTAGGAATATTCCTTTGTTCTACCTTTGAACAAAAATCACAGAAGTACAAACTAGATCATCTGCCAAATCCATCTAAAGAATTAAAGGACTTTTTTTGCAAGTACAATGAACCAACAGCCACCACAGAAATTAGTATACATAAAGACTGGTGCAGGGTTGTAGCTGGACTGTCTGATGACTCAAATGTATTATATGACAAACTTTCTAGAAACAAGATTTCTCCTGGCTTGCTCAATATACTCTATATAATAAAAAAAATTGCAGGCGAAAATGACGAGCTAAATAGGGCAATTTTATGCCTAGAAGAAATCATCATAAAGGCCAAAGTCGAAGAGAGTGATTTAAAAAAAATACAAAACTGTATGCAAAATGTGTTTATGTCTCTTTCATATAGCAAAAATATAGAAGTTGTATGCGATTCAATCGCTTTAGCTCAGATTGGCATTAAAATCCAAAGAAGAACAGACATAACACCAGACAATGGGCACTCTTTTCTGGTTGTGTACAAAAAAGGCGAAGAAGATATGGCCTCCACAATTAAAATACAGCTAAGCAAAGAAAAATCAATGCCCATTATTAATTGGTTTGCTACAGAAGATCTAAATTTAAGGATTGGTTGTGCAAAGAGTCCATTTAAAAAGATGCAAATAAAGTATGCTGAGCCAGAAACCTACAGCGAGTATATTATAAAACAATACATAGATATTAGACTGTATCAAACCGTCTTGGGAATAGAAAAAATCAATGAATTTACCAAAAGGATTCAAACTACGCCAATGCCAAAGAGCAATAATATAGCCCAAAATCCAAATGCTTTACTGCTTTGGGGTACTCTGGAGAATATACGCTACAAGTCGTGTATTATTGAAATGTTTTTAATCCACACGAGTCCAAACAAGTTAGATACAAAAAATCGCATGGTTCAGTTTACTAAAAACCTTATTGGAAGTGTTTCTCTTAAGGATCTGAGGACAAAACAGCAAATTCTAAAAGGTTTTGAATTTAATGAGAACTATAAAGAGTACTATACGCAGTATAGCAAACAGGCATCAGAGATATTTAAGTCCTATAGAACTCTTAAGGGCACACAAATATTACTTGAATCTCTATTATCTGTAAATGCTTCTCCTGTCGCTATTATTAGCTCATTCCAGGCACTAACAAATGGACTGCAGGGAAGTAATTGTGGGTTGAATTTCTTTGGATCGGATTATGTATGTAAGAATCTAGTCAAAAAATTATCTGAGCTTGAAAATGACAATGATATAAAAACAAATATGGAAGTTATTCTAAAATCAATTAAAAAATGTGAGACCACATTAAGCAAATACATGCCAGAAGATATTTTTATGGCCTGGTTTATTCACATCGGAAAGTGGGAGGTATATCATAAAAAATCAATCATCAAACCTATCTATGATAGCATAGATTTCAAAAAGGTGGATATAAAAAATGTTAAATCTATTTTAGAAATTAAAATTTCTACTTTAAGCTATCCTACTATGCGTTCTATCGTGGAAAAAGCAGATAAATTATTGGATGACAACAAAACAATGCTAGTAGAAAATGCAAACATAGATGACAAAAAGTACAGTCTTTTAAAGGAAATCCTGCAAAAATTACTTATTAATCCATTAGACACAGCAAAAGAAACAACAAGGGCGCTGCCCGTGGCTAGTTTAGTAACAGGATAACTATTTTTAAAGAAGATAGCTCAGTGAACAATTAATAAACATTAATTTAAAACATGTTTATAATTATCTTTTTCGGGTACGCATATATATTATACAACATATTGCATAGTGCATGTTTGATATTTCAGAGCTAATTGGATAGGTTGTGTTCTAAAACTAACATAAGTATAGTAGCACATATATAATCTGATTGTTTGGACGAACCTGGCAGCATAAATTGCATCAAGATTTATTGTTGGCACAGCATGTTAAAATAAATTAAACTAATATCACAGTTTATAAATACGTGCTAAGAATTCAATAAAGGCCAAATTAACAATGGCCACTTCAAAGAAATAAACTATTTCTATTTATACATTTAATTCGGGATACTTGGGTTATATTGTGATATTATAATCATAAATACGCCTTGAAACCCCATAACAATTAATATACAAAAGACTTTTTAGAAAACGTAAAGAATAAATTATTTTAAATACTTTTATTTTATATAGAATATGCTATATAGATAATTATGAGAAAGCGGATAGCATACAACTAGTTTATCTGAATAGAATATTTTATAATTAAGAAGAAAAGATATCAAATTATTCTACCTCGATAAATTAAATGTACTATATACTCTGCTCAAATTATAATTAACTAAGAAATATTCCAAATTTTTTGAATAATATAGGCACTAGCTGCAGAAGTTGCGAAGGAAAATTTTCTAAAAAGTACTTGGCCAAATATTGCATAGAAAACAAATATCTACTTTGCCGGTCCCTTAGTCAATCCTATATGCTCAACCGCGAAATTAGTTATTTTTCTTATATAGTCTACGTATTCTTCTATATCAAGTTTTTTATGATATAACTCGCCAATGTCCTTTTCTAATGGGTATAGTTTAAAGTTAGTTGCATTTGTCAACGAAATATAGCTTTGTATATCTTTTAATCTGCCTTTGAAACTTATTGCAATCAAATTTAGCAGTTTTAGAACTTCTTTAATTAAATCATTAATCGCAGAAGACGCCCAGTTAACATTATCAAAATTTGTGTTTGTATTGTTGACGCTATTGATTATTCTTTTTATTTCGTTTGTGGTGACACCACCATTCGGACGGGAGCCCCCAACGGCGATCCGTCTGCGCGCCAGCTCGCGCGGTGATCCCGCCAAAGCAAAGGCCGGGATCTCTGAATCAGTATATCAACTTCCGACTATTTAACCGGAGCTCTTCCCTCAATTTAGGGGGAGACTCAGGGAAGCATCAACGGCTTAACTTTAGCGCCAGGCCTAACACACCTGCGCCCGAGACTCCGTGTCCGCGCAGGCTTGGGCCGCTTCCTAAAGACAATAAAGAGCTCTCCCCTTTCACTCTCTTCTCTCTCTTGGCTACGTAGCAGGGCGGCGGTGGCGTTACTCCTCGTGGGTACGTCAATTAACTACAGTATATTATTATAATACAGCAGTATTTCTCTAAATTCTAATGGATTGAAAGTATCATATATTCTAAATTTAATTTGATATGTCTCTGATAATCAGTTTATGTTTTGTGATTTATACTGTTTATGTTGATTTCTTCTGTTGTATTGTGTATTGTATTTTAGTGTATTTAAGTATAAATTGTTTGTTCTTTATGTTCTGTAAATAAATATTTTACTTTTAAAATAAAGTGTATAGTATACTAGTAATAACATGAATGGATTTATTTACAAGCAGTTTATATTTAAAAATAAAATAGAAAAAGAAAAGAAGAAAAAAGAAGAGAAAAGAAGAAAAAGTGATAATGGAGTATATAAATGTAGAATATCACAAGTAAAGGCAAGGAAACACACAGAATAAGAAAAGAAGGTGTGATATGACAAAGCACTTATTTGCAGTCAGAATATAATTATATTTAAAGATTTCATGTTCTATACTAATAATAAGAGTAATTCAATTCATGTAAATTTTATTTTATGCAGAATATATATACCGCAGGGATAATTTAAGAGAGTAAATTAGTTGTTTTTTTACAAAGCATTAAAATAATAGAACAGGATTATTATCAAGTTAATTCTATTTTAAAGTATATGTTGCCAATGGGCTATATATTAATAATTAGTTTAATAAAATATTATCTTGGTTTTAATTTGTTGGCAACAGTATAAAAGAAAAATAATTTCAACTCGAATTTAAATATGAAAGAGAGAGACAATATACTCAAAAAAAACAAAAACATGTGTATAGAAAGAAAAACATTAAATAAGAATAATATACTTATAATACTATTACTGACGATACACAGTATATATGCAAGATTAGACACAAGAGATGCTAGTACTATACAGAAAATGGAACTAGGAGATAAAGACAGCCTAGTAGTAATACACCCACAAGGCGGGCTTTCTCCATTCTATCAGTGTATTATGGAAAGAAGTGGGTATATAAAGAACTTACGGGGATATCTACATGCCATAGATGGGAGTGGAGACCAAGTTGGAGGGTATGGGTCTACTATACTCAAGGAGTCTAGTGAATACATGCAGGCATTCACACAGCAGCTGATTAATATGTTTCCTTCAGAAGATAGATATTTATCTATTGAGTCAGAGAGCCCAGACTCATTCACTCGGTTCTTAAGAAGGCATGAAGACAAGTCAGATAGTTTGAATTTATTGGCTTCTTTATTTCTTCTTTCGGAAGGGATAAATATTTCCATTGAAATAGTAGAGGATAAAGTGAATAAAAATAAAATACTTATTCTAAAGAAGAAAAAAGTAGAGAGACCAGAAGAAGAAGATAGAAATAGTAGTTCTGAATATGATGAGTTAGAGAAGAGAAAAACGAGCAGAAGAGAAGGATTTCACATCAACTTGCATATGAATATAAAGAAAAAAAACAAAGAAGGGAAGAATGTAGAGAGAACACCCCAAAAGAAAACAGAAGAGATAGTGAGCTTCTTCAAGAGTCTTGCCACCATTAATTCATCTTACTGCTTAAAAGTGCCAGAAGAGTTCTCAATGCCTACTACATATGAAGAGTTCTTAAAGGGAAATTTTCTGTGCAATCCGAAGTTCCTTATACAGTCGTACTTCTTTTAGTATATAGACAGTGTGGAGATGTATAGAGAGTTTGTGAGAGCGGTGTACGGGCTGCTGCGTGAACAAATATCAAACAAAGATGAGAAAAGGAGTGAGAATATAAGCATGGAGACAGGAAAGAAAGCACAGAAGGTGTTTGACAGTCTATTCATTAAACAGGACTCAGCCGAGCTGCCTAGCAAAGTGAAATATACTGAGGATTTTAGATTGGTTGAACATAAATTGAATGATGAACTACAGCCAATACCATATTTTGAGAGTGAAAAATTACCTATTTATGATGATGATTCTCCAGACAGCCATAATGTCTTTTTACAGGAATATATGCCATTATATAATCGAAAAACAGACGAGTTTATTAATGATAAATTGAGCGAGAATGACATTGTTATTGAGCCTGCTCTTCTATTTTTGTTCTTTTTATTTGCATTTGATTCTAGCACTGGGAGGTACGATATAAGCCACATGCCCAATCCATCGAAAGAACTAAAGAGATTCTTTGCTAAGTATAGCGATCCATTGCAGGTTATGGACTATACTATGTACAGAGAGTGGCACAGGGTTGTAAAGGACCTACCCAATAAAGACATTTCCTACCGTTTACATTCATCTGACAGCAGAAATGAAATTCAATTTGGTATACTAAACATGATATATGTTATGAGAGAAATAGCAGGTAAGAATGACACTAAAATTAATGAAAATATTGAATCTATAAAAATTATTATAAATAACTGGAATAAAGATTCCGATTCAGATAAAAATAAGCTTTTAATGGGTATACAAAAAATATGGATCTCACTCTCAAAAAACAAGAAAATTAAAACACAGTGTAATAAAATTTTTACAAAAAGATTAGAAAATAACATAATAGATATAGGTATGTATTCAAATTCGCCTTTAAAGATTATATATAAAAAGAAGGAGGAAGACCCGGGTTCTATTGTAATAGAGATGGATGATTTTAGTAGTTATGCTTGTTGGTTTCTATCGTATGAGAGGAACCATATTCCATGTGGGAGCCTCACGCCCACATCCGTGAAGTCTTATAGAGTTGCATAATTGGAAATCGAAACTATATAAGGCGAAAAATAATAAAAATTTGCATGAGTTTTAATAATGTTCAAGGGAGTAACCAACTATGCTGATAGTGATCATAATGGCCGTGTAAAATGCGAGGTTTCCGGGAATATGCTAAGAAATAAGGGCAGCAATGCCGAAAAACCATTATATGATATAAAAAAGATGTATACTGAATCAAAGAATTACATTGGATGCATTATGAGACAATACGCGAATCTATATCTAGACAAAATCTCGTATGCAATTAAAGGTGAGTACAGATTCATTAAAAGAATAAAGTATATTTTAAATAGTGAACACACTAACCCAAACGGCCTACTACTGTGTGGTAACCTAGAGACCATGCATTACAAGTATGAAATAACTAAAATATTTTTGGAAAAACACCGAAGTTATACTAAATCTTATAGAAATGCAATAGACATATCTAATACTATGGTGCAGTTTACAAGAAACCTTATAGGAAGTGTTCCAATTAATGAACACGCATTAAAGGAAAAATTTCAATCCAGTGGTATTTATGATGGCGAGTATAAAAATTGGTATCCTTGGATAGAATAGGATGTTTCTATGGATACGCCATCAAACAACAATTTACAGCCAAATACTTCAAATGCCGTATAATTAATAAAGAATGGCAGTTGAGGTATAGAAGAGTATGTGAAACTAGCGGGATATTTAGTTGAGACTTCATGCTTTATATCAATAATCAATAAACTATTTTGCATTAAACATACTTTTAACACCTCTATTTATATTTGATTATACTACTACTATGCAATAAACAATTAGTTTTACACCTATTTGTTGTTTTATACAACTAGATTGTTCTATTGTATTAATTATATTATGGTATGTCATGTATCACTTGGTATATTCTATTTCTGTTGTTTATGTAGTATATTTGTTATTTTACTACTTTATTCTATTCATTATTCTTTCACTATAGGTATTCAAAAGATTTAATTTTAATTTTAAATATTCTACTGCTATTCTATTATACATACACAGCAAAAAGAATAGAATATAAATAGAAGAAAGAGGAATAAAATTCAATCTATAATAAGAACAGGAGATACTAAAAAGTAAACACATAGGGAAATAGAGAACAGTGTGTCTTATTATAAAAATAGGATACACGGGAGGTATATACAATAAAGACAGTGTCACTTGGAGTTGATTCTGGCTAGTGATATAGTACGTAGTTAGGTGGTCCAAATTGGTACGCTATATAAGAACGAGTTATATTGGCATAGACAGGTATAGATTGGAATATATTGAGTGAGTTTGTGTGAGTAATACGCTTTGTTAAAGTATTAATGTATATATAAAATTGTTATAACAAGAAATAAAAAGCATAATAAGAATATAAAAATTTTAAAAATAATTAAGAGATGATAGGAAAAGAGAATATGCTTAAAAAGAACAATATTCTTATAATAACTCTACTAATAACAATGATACACCATACATGTGCGTTTCTGGATTCATTAAATACAAATCGGACACATGAAATAAAATTAGAGAACAACTTAGTAATAAATCCAGATGGTGGGCTTTCACCAAGCACGCATTATATGTCTTATTTATGTAAGTTCATGCACAACTTCCGAATGTACTGGCATGGTGTATACAGAGAGTGGTATTTAAAGAAGAAAAACAATAACTCAACAGAAAGTGAATATATCGGTGAGTATTATAAAAATTCACTAGAATGGAAAGTACACAATAATATAGACGAAGATACAGAGAAGAACAAGTATTTACAAGCATTTGCACAGCAATTAATTAATATGTTCCCATCAGAAGGTATACAATTGTCTATTGAGTCAGAGAAGAGTGACTCATTCACTCGATTTCTAAGAGAGTACAAAGACAAGTCAGATGGTTTATATGTTCTTGCTTCTTTATTTCTTCTCTCAGAAGGGATAAATATTCCCATTAAAATAGTAGAGGATAATAAAAAGAATGCTGGAAATAAAATGCTCGTTCTAAAAAAGAAAGAAACAGTGAGTCCAGAAGATAAATTCCATGTCAACTTGATTCTGGCTATAAAAAGTAAAACAGAAGAGGATAATACTGCTGAATCAGCATATCAGAAGAAAACAGAAGAGATAGTGAGCTTCTTCAAGAGTCTTGCCACCACTAATTCATCTTACTGCTTAAAAGTGCCAGAAGAGTTCTCAATGCCTACTACATATGAAGAGTTCTTAAAGGGGAATTTTCTGTGCAATCCGAAGTTCCTCATACAGTCGTACTTCTTTGAGTATATAGACAGTGTGGAGATGTATAGAGAGTTTGTGAGAGCGGTGTACGGGCTGCTGCGTGAACAAATATCAAACAAAGATGAGAAAAGGAGTGAGAATATAAGCATGGAGACAGGAAAGAAAGCACAGGAGGTGTTTGACAGGCTGTTTATAGATGAAGAAGTATTAAAAAAACAAATGAAAAACATAACCCGAAACCATTACGAATGCTTCTGTGAATTAAAAGAAAATAGAGATGCATGGGCGGGCACTCCATTTATAAATAGTGAGCTAAATTGCATATATATCCCCAAGTACCTTCGAAGAGAAAGCAGATTTAGTGTAAACATAAACGACAGACACGAGGCTCAAAATTCCCAGGACTGTATTCTTCTTTACGTATTTTTCTATTTTGCCTTTGATCCTGAAACTAAAATATATAACATAGACCACTTGCCAAATGCATCCAAAGACCTGAAGAACTTCTTTGCCAAATACAGCTATCCTGTAGAAAGCGTGGGTATTATTATGCAGTGCGAGTGGTGCAGGGTTGTATCACGCCCCCTTGAATTGAAAGATCGAGAGATTATTGACGATTCAACAATTAGCCACGGAGTACTAAACATGTTATATGTGATGTGTGATCTAGTGGGGAACACACCAGAAATAAAAAGCGCAATTAACTGTATAAAGGGCCTGCTTAACACAGATGTTAAGAATGACTACAGTGGCCTAAAAAACTGCATGCTGGAAGTATTTTCTTCTCTTTCCAGGAATAAAAAGGTAAAACTAGAGTGCAACTTCATTAAATATATGAAAAAGTACAATGAAGAAGTAAATGAAGATATAGAAGTAAAATTACAGGTTCTATATGATTTTGGCCAAGAGTGGCAAGGAATTCAATTTGAAACATCTAACTCATATAGAAACCCGCCCGTAGAGACAGTAAAAGAAGAGAATGAGGACACTGATGAATTGTGTTCTATTGATTCGCGCTCTGATGATTCTTTCAGCGAAATAGTATATACGATTAACAATGGCTATAAATTTGTAGACACTTACCAAAAAATGATTATAAATCAATTCATTATCTCCTCTTCCTCTACAAACCATACACGCTATGATTTAGAATATTCATTTGAGAAGAATAAAAAGAAAATAGTGGTTAATAAATGCGACACCCCAAACAGTCTAATGCTATGGGGCAGTCTAGACAGCCTGGAGTACAAGTCACACCTTGCCAAGCAGTTCCTAATCCACTCTAGTGGAGCTCTTTTAAACAGTAATACTCCCATGGTACGGTTCACTTCTAATCTCATAGGGAGTGCTCCCTTAAATGACTTAAGGAAAAGACAGCACATTCTGTCTGGCTGTGCATACAACGAGAACTACAAAACATACTACCCACAGCTTGAATATGATGTGTGCACTGTACCCAAGACAGAGCTGTCATTGGCAGGTTTGTATCCAATGATAGAAGTTCTGGTTAAAATGCGAGGAATAAAGTACTTCTCTGTTGTTCACTCGTGCTTATCGCTGCTGCATGTGTACAAGAGTGATATAGAAGTACTTTATGCTTTCTCAAATGTGTCCGTGCTTATTAATATAATAAAAGAAATTCAGTGGTCTAATAATAAAAAAGAAGAATATACACTGCAGCCTTCTCAATCCAAAAAACTAAATAGTGATTTGTCAAACAATCAAGGTATAGCATGTTTATATTATAAAAGGGCAAACAGACCGTCGATTTTTGATTATGTTCACCAAAATATGGCAGAGGCACTGCCTTCGCACAGTAAGTACAACCACAATATTATTTACATATGCTGGCTTTTTAGAATACTTGAGTCAAATTGGGGGTTTTTCAAAGTACATGATATTAAGCCACTGTACACACATATAGACCCGTCCAGTCTTTCAGACGAGTTTGTGGATGTTTTGGGTGACTGTCTGACCCCAGAGAATGCCAGGTCTGTTATAAAGTTTTTAGAAAAGAATAAATTAAGATTATACGGCAGCACGGATGAAAAGGAGTGCGAAAAGAAGCACCGGGCAATAGTATCTCTCTTTAGAAAGTGTACTACAAAAAAGCAGCCGGTCATAAATAAATAATGCTTAGTCATACACACTGCAAGTATGCAAAGTATATAATATGTGCATATAACAGCCAGTTCATACTCCATCACAGTGTCTGGGTTATTAAGGCATGTTTTAATTATGTGTGGTGTGTGCTTGTGTAGTAGTCTGTTTGTGGCGTGATGTGTAGTTATGTGTGGTGTATTAACTGTGTGATGTATTATAATTGGATATGTTTATATATATATTTATATAAGAGCAAATAAATAAACTTAAAATAAATTGTATAATAATATTTTTATTAGTGTACGTGTTACATATTGAATTGTTATATCTTTTATATAAACAGAATACTAAAAATAAAAAGAGAAAAGAGAAAGGAGAAGAGAAAGAAAAGAGAAGAGAAGAAAGAAGAAAGGAAGGAATGGGTAGAGATGGAGACTAAACAGAAAGAGAACAAATAAGGAGATAGAAGGCAAAGTATGTATTATAGGGCGTAGCAGTATATTTAATCCAAAGAGCCAATGTGTTATTGTAAATACTGCTATACTATGAAACATACGAATCAAATAGTGTACCAATCAAATAATGACCAATTAATTAGGCGAAGTTGATTTGATCAATCAATATAACGAAGAACAGTATTTGATTGGTCCGTTAAGAGGTAAGCAACAACCAATTAGTTGAAAGACCCCTCTAAATTAAGATATAAATATCAATATAACCTGAACGTTAATTAGATTAAATTAGAAAAAACGAATCGGGTAATAAAAAATATTTTTTTATTCCCAGAATGAAAAACCGTATGATCATAAAGCTACTAGTGATGATGTACACAGTGTGTGCAAGACTAGAGATGAGTGGTATACAAAATATATGTGAAACCCCATTTAGTATAAATAAAAACATACTAATCAATCACAATGGACCGCTAAACCCACTCAGAACGTACATCATGCACAAGAGCAGTTATATATACAACAAGCGGATGTTTTCACAGGAAATATATACTGATTATAGTCTGAAGAAAAGTGCAAAATCAACAGAGAATGAGCATTTCTATATATATACCAGAAACCCAGAAAATGATAAAGCATATAAATTTAATAATAATAGGCGTAGATATACCCCTAATTATTTATATTACTACCACAAAACAATGATTTATATGTTTCCGTGTGAAAATAATAATCTTTCTATTGAGCCATGTAGAAACGACTCTTTCACACGATTTCTAAGAGCGCACTGCAACGAGGTGGACAGTCTGTATCTTCTTGCTGCACTGCTGCTTCTTTCAGAGGGTATTGATGTTCCTATTGCTATAGAAAAAAATATACATAGTGGTGAGAGAATACTTTTAAAATTTGATTTTGACGAATTTTCCTTTATTGACCTGCCTTTATGGTTGGAAAGCATAGTGCCCAAAGAGGCAGATCAGCAGATGCACGATGCAAACAGTGTATCAGAAGACATTGATCTATACATACGCCAGGAGAATATTATGCATGAAGTGGAAAGAATGATGGTATACCAGAAGGAAGCAGAAAAGATTGTGCAGTTTTTTAAGAGTCTGTGTATAGAGCCTTTTTTATCTGATTTAGAAAAGTGTAGAGAACCAGAAACACAAAGTAATTTTAATCTGGGTTATTTTCTTGACAGTCCAGGATTCCTTATACAATCTTATATTTTTGAGTACATAGACAATGTAGAGCAGTACAAGCTGTTTTTAGACAGTGTACATATGTTGCTACAGAAATTATTATACTACATGGAAACAAAACCATCAGAGCAACAAAAAAACTTGATTAAGGAAATTATAGATTATTACTTTATAGATAAGAACGGTTTATATGAAGATATGCACCTAAATCATATTATAGACATGTGCAGCCTAAAATATAAAATAGACAGATCTTCAATTCTTCCATTCACAAGTATAGAAATGGTACCTTCCTACACCCGTGTGCCAGAGAATGAATACAATCCAGAGAGCATAGAGGACTTTGTACAAGACGAGACATTACAGTACAACAACCATGTGGAGACAATGCTTTTGAATCTGTTCACGTGTCTTACATACAATCCAGAAACCAATCTATGTTCAACTGAGCATATGCGCGGTGCCTCTGTAGGCCTAAAAGTATTTTTTAATAAATATTCAGTACCCACAGAGAGTGCAAGCCAGGAAAAACACAGAGACTGGTGCAGAGTTGTATCAAGGTTAAACAATCCAAGCATTAGATATGTAAGAGAGAGTAGAACAGAGCTGTGTGGTGGGCTAGAGAACATTCTATATGTGATATATGAGCTGTTTGGTGAAAATATTAATATAAGAGCTGCTATAGAAGGTACAATTAACAGTTCACACAATAGAAGGGCAGAAAGAGTAGAGAGCATAAAAGAATTATTTTTAAATATTCTTACTTGTCTCGCCACTAGTCACAAAATCAGTATTGAATCATCAGGGCTAGAATACTTACCTACTGAGAATCTGATATTTGGTATGTTTGGAAGCATTGTACTTGGTTTTGAGGCTAAGGGTAAAAAAGAGAGTATAAAACTAGACATTTTGTCTAAGTATTCTAAATTTTCTCTTGTGTCTGATTTCAGTGCCTTTTCAGAAGATGCAAAAAATGAGCTAATGGATATGCAAAGAATATATAATTATGCAAGAAACTATATTAAAATAATTTTTTGGAATTATTTAAATAATAGCATAGAACGGCTTAATAAAAAACTGCCAGCTCAAAACTACAGTGCAATTGTTGGCATGCTAGATCAAATGAAGATATCAGCAAACTATATTTTCTTATGTGGGCGTATAAACTCTCTATGGTATAAAATGTCGATTATAAATTATCGTTTAATGTACAATACTATCAACAAATTGCCAGAGAGTAATCACTTATTACGGATTACATCAAATATTATAGGGAGTGCTCGTCTTGATAATCCAAGAGAAAGAAAGATGATTTTACTAATCCCATTTATATGCAATTGTAACCATAAAAAATACTTTCCAAGTATTAAGTATAATACATATAATCTTCTCATATCTGAGCTTGGAGTTATTGATGTGAGAAACGCACTAAGTATTTTAATAGATATAAGCAAAACAAAGGAGTCCTTTCAAAAGTGCTTTAAAAATATATTGGCACATGCTATTTGCTACAGGAAATTATTTGGCATATTTGGATCATATAGGTCATTTGAAATAATGTGTGTTAAACTAGTTAAAAAGTATAAGCTTGTAACATTAACATGGACATTACAGCGTATAAAATCATCCAGAGTAGATCGTAATAATGTGTTAGATGCGATTTGTTTCTTATGGCTATCATATGCATGCATAAATACCCCATATAATTTAGAAGTAATTTATCATCTATATACAAACATAGATCCATTGAAGATTACCAGCAGGTGTATAGCGCATATGACAAGTATAAGAGGAATGGACTTTAATCGTATTTTGATGGTTCTTGAGAAAGAAAAAGGCTCGCTGGTTTTAGAGACGAATGCAGAAAGTATAGAAAAATACGAAAGAATAAAAAAACATTTTCAAAGCTGTGCTACGTCTGTAGTTCCTGGAGGTTCTTCAATCAATCCAATTACTATATGAACAAGAAAGCACTCAAATGAGTAGACTGTAGTTCTATTGCAGTTTTTATAAGCACATATATATTATAAAACCCAAATTATTATTAATTAGACTGGAGTGTAGTATATATTGTGTACATTCAATAAATAACTGGATTTATATAGTTTACTATTTATATGGCTAGGGCATTGTACTCTATTGTGTACTCATTAATGTATGCAGTTAAGGATAGCATTCACAGGTATTTCTTTTGTAATATATTTAACAATTCGTATTATACCACGGCAAAGGTCTATAATAAGTAAGTTTTGATTATTGTCCACTGGAATCTTATTTTTATTTCTATATAATTTCAAAGCACTCTTACAAATACTAAAGAGAATAATGCAATGCAAAAAGTAAAAATATTAATAGGCCATGCTATTATATATAAATATATATAATTTAGGATTTCTATATTTTAAGGAAATATTTTAACCTCTGTCATATGAATAAAGAACATAAGTCTTATAAGTCAGTTTCACTTCCAGATAGAATAATAAAAAGAAAAAAGAAAGAAATAATAAAAAGAAGGGAGAAGAGAAGAGAGAAGGGAGGAATGGGTAGAGAACAAATAAGAAGATAGAAGGCAAAGTGTGTATTAAAGAGTGTAGCAGTATATTTAATCCAGACAACCAATCTTATTGTAGTATAGCTGGAATAAATTAGATGAGCATTTAAATAGGAGATGGTATGAATTGCAATAAGTAACCAATCAAAGAATAGTTCGTGTTATACATGCAATCAGGCACGCCTATAAGTGTTTATTATGCATTGACCAATCAATAGTAAAGATAGCACGGAGTTATTAAAAACAAAATATATATATCTTTAAATTTATTTCTAGGGTGAACAATAATATGATTATAAAGCTACTAGTGATGATGTACACGATATGTGCAAGACTTGAGTTGAGTGATATAAAAAGCATAGGAGAATCCGTAGTTATTGAAGAAGGTAACTTGGTAATACATCCAGATGGATCACTTAGTCCATCCAGAGCAGACATTATGCGCAAGTGCGAATATATACATAACAAACGATTATATGCATACGAAATAGACACGATGCATAAATTGATAAAAACATATGAAAATGGCGAAGAAATTTATGAATACGAAAAAGAGCCAGTCAAAGACAAAGCGTATGATGATATATATGACCCGAAAAAATTTAAAGCAAAGAATGATTATTTTCTTAGATTTCATACACATCTAATCAATATGTTTCCATGCGCGGATGGTGCACTTTCCATCATAGCAGGAAGACTGGATGCACCCACTTCTTTTCTGCTAAAAGATGAAGTGCAGCCACAGAGTATGAACATCCTGGCAGCCCTTTTCCTCCTGTCTGAGCAGGTGGATATTCCTATTACTGTAAAAGAAGAAAAAGGAAAAGAGAAAAAACTTATTCTGACAAGTGTTAACAGAGAAACTGCATATATTGACCAGAGCCTAGTACTTTATGTAAACAAGAAAAATTCAGAAGAAAAAATTAAAACTTACCATACAGAAACAGTTAAACTTATTAACTTTATGAAACACTATGCAGGAGATGCAATAACTTACATACAAAAAGAAGGCTACACTGAGCCAACTACATATGAGCAGTTCATGGAAGGAAAGTTCTTAAGTACCGTGCAGTTCCTTATTCAGTCGTACATATACGAGTTTATTGATACAAAAGAAAATTACATTAAATTTGTAAATGCTGTATATACTCTTTTGAATGACCAGATAGTAAATGACAATAAATCTATTTCAAAAAATAAAAAAAAGTCATACAAAAGAGTATTTAACAAGTGCTTTATACAAGAAAGTGCACGGAAAAGTAAAATCGACCACACTAAGAACATTTGCGATCTTAAGGATACAATAGACAAGTATAGAATATTTCCATTCATGGATTCATCACAGCTTCCATCTTATGATCGGGTTAAAGCATATGATCGGGAAAAGGACGAGTTCATAAACGATGAAAGCAGAAAGTACTCCAACTGTGTAGAAGCAGCTCTGCTAGGACTTGTGTGCTGTTTAGTATATGATCCAAATAAAAAGAAGTACAATACAGACCATCTGCCCGACAATGAAGAAACTAAGCCACTGAAAGACTTCTTTAAAAAGTATTCTGAGCCAAGAGAAACCACTGACTATGAAATGCACGAGGATTGGTGTAGAGTGATAGCAGACTTGAAGAATGGCAAGATTCTTTACTTAAAGGAGAAGAATGAGCTGGACAGCAGTTTGTTGAATATTCTCTATGTTGTATCGGACATAACTGGAAGCAAAGAAGAAGTAGTTAAAGAAATTAAGTGCTTAGAAAAGCTTCTTTCTAATAAGAATATTAATGATAAGCTTGATATAGAAGAAAGCTTGACTACAATGTTCAAGGAGCTATCAAATAACAAGAATCTTGATGTAGAGTGTGACAAATTTACAGTAGATACACGAGAAGATAATAATCTGGACTTATTTGGTGAGTTTAAGCTAATATATACTTTTAATGAGAAAAAAAATGGAATATTAGTGAAGATAACTCCTGGTCATTCCTCATTAAGCTTATTGGAAGACCTATTATCTAGTGAAGACAAAAATATTATTAAAAAAAAGTTGACTGAAATGCAAAATACTTATAGTAATATAGAGAGTTACACTGCATACATGATGCGATCCGCCTGGAGATAGGCGCACTATCTCAAGTATCGACAGACAGTTTGGTCGATGCGCTTCTTGGGGGGAAGTTACCTAAACACGCATGGAGGACTCTGTTCCGGGACTATCCCGAGACTAAGGCCCAGTGCGTAGACCGTAGCGTGAGTACTACTCGCGCGGTGGCACGTTATCTCAGTGCCATCATCCCATTGAGGAGTGACCGTATAAAGTCCTACTTTATAAGCCACGTTCCTCCACCCCTAGCAGTCAAAGACATTAACTTGTTACGGCCGCCCTAGGGGCAGGAGGAACGGCTTAGAGAGAATAGGAAGAGAGTGTGTGGCGCTCGACGTCCATCCGTTTGAGGCCCCTCGAAACTTATATCAATAAACTGTTTTAAGATAAAAAAAAAAAACAACTGCATACACAATTAGACAGTATATAAACATAGAACTTGCTAAGATGGAGCAAAAATCTGTATTTAGCCGGATTAAAGAAAGTATTAAAAATAACCATGATAATATAAATGATATTTTCCTTCATGGGATGATTCGATCAGTTGAACAAAAAGTAAACATTGTTAAATACTTCTTGATTATGAATGTAAAGAATACTCTACCAAAAAACAATTCACTAGTTCGGTTTACCAATAATCTTATAGGAAGTACTCCACTTGATGATTTTGAAACAAGAGAACATATGCTGCTTTATTGCATGCTTAATAGAGACAGCAAGAACTACTATCCAAGAATTGAGAGCTGCTGGGAAAAGGTTTCTAGAATTGCTGTATATAATTGTAGTAAAATAGTTAGTGGCATCTTATATGATTCAAACTATTCCCTAGATGTTAAATTAGAATGCTTTAAAAAGTTGATGATGGTCTTGGCAAATAATAATAATAAGCGTGCTATTATTACAGAATCTTTCTTAATTAACAATATAGTGAATTTTTCTATAAAGACTAATAAGTCAACTGAAATACTTTTAGAGCTTATAAAGATAATATATGAAACAGTTATGCAGCCAGATGGATCAAATATATTTGTTATTTACTTAAGATGGATTGTCAAAGTAGGATCTGGTAATTATTGCAATTTAAAAGATAAGAAAGTGATTATAAAGATTCTAATGAATCAAATAGATGTTAATTATAATTTTAATCTAGATAACAAATGGGATAGTTGGATTCGTGTCAATTATTTCAATATATTGGAAAAATTAAAAACGAGTAAGAATCTATTCTGTGATGAAGAATACCCAGAAATTGTTGAAAAATACGACTGTCTTATGAGCAAAATAAGCGAAATTATTGAATTGAACAAAAAAAGACGTTCTAGAGCCTCTTGAATCGTTTTACACATAGAAATGCATAAGTGAATATTGAATCTGGTGTACTCATGAGAAATAACACCATTATTACCCTGCTACATAGCCAAGATAGAGAAGAGAGTGAAAGGAGAGAGCGGTGAGAGCTATTCATTGTGTTTAGGAAGCGGTTTAAGTGTGCACAGATTCGTAGTCCGAGGGGCACAGCAGTGCTAGACCTGGTGCTGTAGTAAGCCATCTCTACTCCTTTGAGTCTCTCTCTAAATTAGAATAGATGTTTGGGTTAAATAGTTGCAAGTTGTTTTACTGTGCTGTATGCTATGACTAGCACAAATATAGCACTGCATGAGTTATCTGAATATTTACATAAACATGGCAGTATAAATTCAATTGATGTTACGGTCTATAGATACATATTCAAATTCAATAAATTTTGGAATTCTATATTTAAGGAAGTATTTTAACTGCTGTATGAGCAAAACAAATAGGGTGCAGGAACCAGTTTTATAACCCGATAAAATAAATTGTATAATAATATTTTTATTAGTGTACGTGTTACATATTGAATTATTATACCTTCTATATAAACAGAATAATAAAAAGAAAAAGAGAAGAGAAGAGAAGGAAGGGAAGAGAAAAAGGAGGAATGAGAAGGGAAGAGAAAGAAAAGAGAAGGAGACTAAACAGAAAGAGAAAAAATGAGGAGATAGAAGGCAAAGTGTGTATTAAAGAGTGTAGCAGTATATTTAATCCAAAGAGCCAATGTGTTATTGTAAATATTGCTATACTATGAAACATACGAATCAAATAGTGTACCAATCAAATAATGACCAATTAATTAGGCCAAGTTGATTTGATCAATCAATATAACGGAGAACGGTATTTGATTAGTCCGTTAAGAGGTAAGCAACAACCAATTAGTTGAAAGACCCCTCTAAATTAAAATATAAATATCAAAATAAAAGATCATTAATTAGATGAAATTAAAAAAAACGAATCGGGTAATAAAAAATATTTTATTTATTACCCGAATGAAAAACGGTATGATCATAAAACTGTTATTGGCGATGTACACAGTGTATGCAAGACTTGAACTGAGTGATATAAAGACAATAGGAGATTCAGTAGTTATTGAAGAAGATAGCTTGTTAATACATCCAGACGGACCATTAAATCCGCACAGAGGATATATCATGCACAAGAGCGGATGTATGTACAACAAACGATTATATGCGCCAGAAATAAACACAATGTATAAATTGGAGAAAAAATATGAAAATTACGAAACAATTTATACTTATACAAGAGAGCCAGTAAATGACCTGGCATATGATGATATTTGTGTGGACACAAAAAAGAATGAGTATCTCACACAGTCCCATGCACTGCTAGTCAAAATGTTTCCTTCGACCGACGGGTCATTTTCTATTGTATCAGGAAGACAGGATTCAATTTATTCATTTCTTATAAAAGATAGAGTAAAGCCAGAGTGCATGTACATTATGGCAGCCCTTTTCCTTCTGTCTGAGCAGGTGGACGTTTCTTTTACTATAGAAACAAAGAAAAAAGAGAAAAAACTTGTTCTAAAAAGTGCAGATGGAACAACTGCATACATTAACCAGCCAAGAACAAACGAAAATTTACTGAGTCTTATTGAGTTTCTAAAAAAGTATATAGACAACGAAGGGGTGAATCCAAGTGCAATGAAAGGACTGTTCACCGCGCCAACTACGTATGAGCAGTTCATGACAGGCGAATTTTTGAACACATCCGAGTTCCTTATTCAGTCGTATATATACGAGTTTATTGACACAAAAGAAAATTACATTAAATTTGTAGAGGCTGTATATACTCTTTTGAATGACCAGATAAAAAATAAAAAGTCATACAAAAGAGTACTGAATAAGTGCTTTGTAAAAGAAGGTGCACGGCAAAGTAAAATCGACCACACTAAGAACATTTGCGATCTTAAGGATACAATAGACAAGTATAAAATATTTCCATTCATGGATTCATCACAGCTTCCGTCCTATACTCGGGTTAAAGCATATGATCGGGAAAGGGGCGAGTTCATAAACAATGAAAGCAGAAAGTACTCCAACTGTGTAGAAGCAGGTATACTAGGACTAGTCTGCTGTTTAGTATATGATCCAAATAAAAAGAAGTACAATACAGACCATCTGCCCGACAATAAAGAAACTAAGCCACTGAAAGACTTCTTTAAAAAGTACACTGAGCCAAGAGAAACCACTGACTATGAAATGCACGAAGATTGGTGTAGAGTGATAGCAGATTTGAAGAATGACAAGATTCTTTACTTAAGGGAAGGAACTAATGAGCTGGACAGTAGTTTGTTGAACGTTCTTTATGTTGTATCGGATATAACTGGAAGCAAAGAAGAAGTGGTTAAAGAAATTGAGCACATAGAAGAACTTCTTTCTAATAAGAAGGTTGATGATAAGCTTGATATAGAAGAAAGCTTGACTACAATATTCAAGGAGCTATCAAATAATAAGAATCTTAATGCAGAGTGTGACAAATTTATAGTAGGTACACGAGAAGATAAAAAGATGGACTTATTTGGTAAGTTTAAGCTAGTATATACTTTCAATGAGAAAAAAAATGGAATATTAGTAGGAATAGATTCTGGGCATTGTACAATAAGATTATTAAAAAACTTATTGTCTAGTGAAGAGAAAAATATTATTAAAGAAAAGCTGACTGAAATACAGAATACTTATAGTAGTATAGAGAGTTACACAGCATGCACAATTAGACAGTACATAAACATAGAACTTGCTAAGATGGAAGAGGGGTATGCATTGGGCCGAATTCAAGAAAGTATTAAAAATAACCATGATAATATAAATGATATTTTACTTCACGGGATGATTCGATCTGTTAAACAAAAAGCAAGGATTGTTAAATACTTCTTGGCCGTGCACGTAAAGAATATTCTACCAAAAAATAATTTACTAGTTCGGTTTACCAATAATCTTATAGGAAGCACTCCATTGGATGATCGAGCAACAAGAGAAGATATTTTGGTTTTTTACTTGCTTAATAAAGACAGTAAGGGCTACTATCCAAGAATTGAGAGCTGCTGGGAAGAGGTTACTACAATCGTTCGATATAATTTTCGTACAATAGTTAGTGACATCTTACATAACCCGAATTATTCCATAGATGTTAAATTAGAGTGCTTTAAAAGGTTGATGATGGTCGTGGCAAATAATAATAATAAGCGTGCTATTATTACAAGTTTTATCTTACTTAAAAGTATAGTGAATTGTTCTATAAAGGCTAATGAACCAACTAAAACGCTTTTAGAGTTCATAAAGATAATAGATGAAACAGTTATGCAGCCAGATGGATCAAATATGTTTTGTATTTGCTTAATGTGGATTGTCAATGTAGGAACAGATAATTATTACATTTTAGA